AACTCCTCTCTGTTGGTGTACCCCAAGGTTCAGTCCTTGGTCCCCTACTGTTCTCCATCTATACTGCCTCCCTTGGTAAACTCATTAGCTCCTTTGGCTTCCAATATAATTTCTATGCAGATGACACGCAAATCTACCTGTCCTCTCCTGATCTCTCCCCGTCCCTCTTGACTAGTGTCTCTGACTGCCTCTCTGCTGTTTCTAACTGGATGGCTGCCCACTTCCTTAAACTAAACTTGACCAAAACTGAAATTCTGGTCTTTCCTCCCTCAAGTGTTGTTACTCCTGTGTCTGTCTCCCTCCAAGTCAACGGTGCTACCATCAGCTCCACCACGCAGGCTCGCTGCCTAGGTGTTCTCTTTGACTCCGACCTCTCCTTCAAGCCTCATGTTCAATCTATCGCCAAATCCTGTCATTTCCATCTCAAAAACATTGCGCGCATCCGCCCCTACTTAACGCCAGATGCGACTAAGTGTTGGTCCATTCCACTGTCCTTTCTCGCCTTGACTACTGTAATCCGCTTCTCAGTGGTCTTATGTGCTCCCAACTAGCGCCGTTACAGTCCATAATGCGGCGGCGAGGCTCATCTTCCTGTCCGCCCGCACCTCCCATGCCTCACCCTTCTGTCAGTCCCTACATTGGCTTCCTATAAAATATAGAGCTCAATTTAAAATTCTGGTTCTTGCTTTCAAATCTCTACATAATGCTGCTCCCACCTATCTATCCTCCCTTATACACAAGTATGTCCCGTCTAGGCCCTTACGATCTGTTGAAGACTTACGTCTATCTTCTGTCCGTACTCCCACCTCTGATGCTCGCCTTCAAGATTTCTCGAGGGCTGCACCGTTCCTGTGGAACTCGCTTCCCTCCTCCGTTAGATGCTCACCCAGTCTCCACTCCTTCAAAAAATCGTTAAAAGCCCACTTCTTCATAAAAGCGAATCAATTAAACTGTTAATAGCTCCTGACTGATTCCTCTTCTGCAACTGTCATTAGTCTAATACTATCCTTACCTTTTTGTGTCATTTTACCCCACTCCCTCTAGCATGTAAGCTCATTGAGCAGGGCCCTTAACCCCTCTGTTCCTGTGTGTCCAACTTGTCTGGTTACAACTACATGTCAGTTCGTCCACCCATTGTAAAGCGGAATTTGACGGCGCTCTATAAATATCATAATAATAATAATAATAATAATAATAATAATTACTACCCCCTCCTATTCATATTACTATCCCCACAGCCCCACCCCTCTAGTCATATTGGTAGCCCCCTTACCCCCTTCATTCATATTAGTACCCCCCTCCATTCATATTAATACCCCCTCTTATCCCCCTCCATTCATATTTGTATCCCTTCCTAACCCCCTCCATTCATATTTGTACCCCCTCCTACCCCCCTCCATTCATATTTGTACCCCCTCCTACCCCCTCCATTCATATTGGTACCCCCTTCTACTCCTATTAGTACCCTTCCACCCCCCTCCATTCCTATTAGTAGCCCCTAACCCCTTCCATTAATTTTTCTACCTACCCCCCTCCCCCTCCCCAAATTATATCTCCCTCTAACCCTTCCATACTCAATACCTGGCAGTGGCAGGGCAGGCAGCTGCTTTTTTTTCCAGAGCCGGCGTCTGAGCTTATAATGACGCCAGCTCCACTCTCCCCCTTGCACACTGTTGTCCCCCTCCCTGCCATTTTACCGCACAGAGCAGGGAAGGGAGACCTCTTCAAGTGGCGCCTATGCAGTGTACACTGCGTGCGGTTCCATTATGGAGCCGCACGCAGCCTGTCAGGGGGACGGCAAACATCACTTGTCAGTCTGACAAGTGATTTTTGTGCTCCCCTTCGGCCGGCGGACCTGGGGGGGATTTCTGCATTATCTGTCACCCCCGGATGATTTCCTGGGGGGGATGCGTCCCCTCCATCCCCCCGGTTCCTACGCCCGTGTTTGCATACATAACTCTCTCAAGGATCTTGGAGACAAACGGCAGTAGCGAGATAGGGCGGTAGTTGAATGGGGAATTGGGGTCGAGGTTGGGCTTTTTCAGAATCAGGGTTATGGTTGCATGTTTTAAGGGTGAAGGAAATGTGCCAGAGGAAAGAGAGAAATTTAAAATTTTTGTGAGAGGCAGAGCAAGAGAAGGAGAGAAAGTGCAGATGAGATACGAGGGAATAGGATGGAGGGAACAAGTGGTGGGGCGGGAGGAACGAAGCAGAGCAGAATGATGAAGGGATGTGTCTGAGGTCTCTCAGTTCCCCGCCCCACCCGCCGAGAGGTACCACAGCCAGGGCGTCCAAGAGCGAGTACATTTCTCTTGTCTATCATGCAGCGCCGCTGTAAGGGATTCCATGTTGTAGATTTCTCCCACCCTGTCTATCCACTGCCGGAGCGTGGGCGCATCCCTCTGCCTCCACCTTGTGGGGACCAGGAAATTGGCTGCTGTCAGTAGATGTTTTACTAGGGATTTTTTTTATGCTGAGAGGGTCATGTCTGTGTGGTGTAATAGCATGGTGAGGGGCTGGAATGGCAAGGCAATGTCTGTGATTTGTTGGATGGACTCTTGGATCGTTGTCCAAAAGGGGGCGATGCCGGGGCAACCCCACCAGATGTGGAGAGCGGAGCCATCGTTGGCGCCGCATCTCCAGCAGTCGCCGGGCGTCTCCGCATTTATGCTATGCAGAATATCTGGGGTTCTGTACCAGTGTGTTAGGATCTTAAAGCTCGTCTCCTGGAATTTGGAGCTGATGGAGCATTTATGTGTTAATATAAAAATCTTTTCCCATTCCTGTTCTGTGAGCGTGGTCCCTGTCTCTCTCTCCCATCTATTTATGTATCTTGGGTGTGGCAGGTTTTCCGAGTCGAGGAGAAGTGCGTACAGCATGGAGACTCCCCTCTCAGGGTGGGCCATTTTGGTGCAGAGTGTTTCAAACTGCGTGGGGGTTCTGTGTAGGCACCGTTTGTTCGGGAAGGCCGCATAATATGCCCGTATTCGAAGGTAGTGGAATTTGTCTAGGCCTGTAGGTACTTTGTCCCCGATAACATCAATCATTGGCTTGCCACTTCACTAGAGTTGCAGAGTAATGGACGTAGAGGGGGTTCCCGTGCCTGTCATATTTTCTCATCCGGGGTGGGGTTGTCCCACCGGGCCAATTGATTCAGGGCAGGGGGTGGTCAACCCGGTGGCGGACAGTCAGCGGTCTCATACTCGGGGGTGTGGGTCATTGTCGTGGGGGGGTGTAAGTCACTCCCGGGGGGGGATTATTTGGCGTCCCGATGGGGCAGGGTCACACTTTTGGTGCCGGCACCGCATGTTCGTAGTGCTCATGTAGCGTCTGAAACATAACTTAGTCAGCACACAATATTACAATATTAAGTTAAGCGGTTTCGAGGCCGCATCCGTGGCTGATTTGGAACTGGACATAAGAACACTTTTCGGCTTGTAACAAAACTTAGTCAGCACACAATATTACAATATTAAGTAAGCCGGTTTCGAGGCCGCGTCCGTGGCTGATTTTAAACTGGACATAAGAACACTTTTCGGCTTGTGACATAACTTAGTCAGCATACTACATTACAAAATTAAGTTAAGCGGTTTCAAGGCCGCGCCCGTGGCTGATTAGAAACTGAACAGAAGAACACTTTTCGGCTTGAAACATAACTTAGTCAGCATACTACAGTACAATATTAAGTTAAGTGGCTTTGAGGCCGCGTCCGTGGCTGTCTGTAAACGGAACATGAAAACACGTTTCGGTTTGTAAAGCACCACAGCCATGGTAGACCAAAGTAAAACAGACTGAAACAAGCGGATAAGGCCCCTAAGATTCCCCCCCCTCCCCCCCCACCACTCATATTCAACTGGTTGGGACCATATTATTATTATTATTATTATTTTATTATTTATATAGCGCCAACAAATTCCGTAGCGCTGTACAATGGGTGGACTAACAGACACATAATTGAGATCAGACCACTGACGTACAGGAACAGAGGGGGTTGAGGGCCCTGCTCGATGAGCTTACATGCTAGAGGGAGTGGGGTATAGTGACACAAAGGGTTAAAGTAGGGGAATTAAAAAGTTTGTTACAGAAGGGTTTATTGAGTGCTTGGTAGGTCATTTTTGACAGGTGAAGGAACGGAGTCATGGGGTGGGGGATGAGAAACCTGCTGACAGTTTAATGGATACGCTTTAATGAAGAAGTGAGTTTTCAAATATTTTTTGAAGGAATGGAGGCTGGGTGAAAGTCTGATTGAGGAGGGAAGGGAGTCCATATACCTCCCCATTACGTCTGTGCAAGCTCATTTGCAGTGTGTGAGCCCAGGGGTACCTTATAGTGACCATGGGGGGCAGTTAGGTGTGGGTGGTGGAGTCTGGCCGGTATGTGGTTGAGTTCTCAGTTACCAGCAATGCGAATACGAGTGGGAGGTCTGGTTTGTCCTGCTGGATCCATACTCCTCTCTGACCGGAGTCCCGTCTATGTGGGATGTGATTCTTAACACGAGACCAGAGTTATATTGAGCTTAAGAGTCCCTGTTTTCCCTGGCAGTCTCAATTAAGCTTAGCACCCGTTCACCCCCCCAAATTGGCAGAAGCCTCTAGGTGTCCTTTCCCATCCCCTTCTATCCGTGTTGTCCCGGGAGCGTTGTGAGTCCCTTTCAGGATTCACATCCTGGTAGCCACCCGGCCATTGAGATGGAAGTGCCCGTGTGGGTGTAAGTTTAACTACTTAGCTGTTGTTGTTGTCGCTCGGGGAGCGCCCTTGAGTTCGATGCCAGTCCGGAAGGGCCAACAGTCTCCGGGCTCGGGCCTTGATACAGGTGTTTACTCCTCGGGTCCGTTAGGGCCTCCCCAGCGCGTGAGTTGCACTTCTCTCCGTGCTTGCTTGCGCAGAGTGTCAGGAACCTCAGGGTGATTTGTGCGCTGTGGAGGCTGATCCAGGATCCAGTTGTGGACAGTGACTGGTGGCAGGTCTAATGCTCTCAGGAAGCTGGGTATTTCATTGGGTCATGGCATGGAGCGCCACGTATTTTCTTTTTTGGCTTGGAGGCAAAAGGCGAAACCCCACTTATAGGGTATGTGTTTTTCCTGAAGAATGTGCGTTAGCGGCCGCAAGGCCCTCCGGGCATCTAGAGTGAGGGAGGACAAGTCATGATACAGCGATACCGAGGGGTCGTGGAAGGTTTGCGGCCGTGGCACTCGCATGATGGCTTCTTTAAGCTGGAAAGAAAGTAGGCAACATATCACGTCACGTGGGAGGCCGTCCCTCCTCGGGGGACCTAGGGCCCTGTGGGCCCGCTCTATATGGAAGTCATCTGGGGCCTCCTCACCCAAGATGTGTGTGAAGAGCTGTGTGAGGGCTTCAAAAAGGTCTTCATTGTCGGCTTCTGGCAGGCCTCTAACGCGTATGTTATTACGTCTCCCCCGGTTGTCCAGATCCTCCACCTGCCTGCGGAGGTCTAGTAGCACAGAGCCTTGCCTGGCTGTGGCATGGTGGGCAGCCTGGGAATGTTGGATGGCCTGTAGGTTTTCACTCTCCAACTCTGTGACCCGTTGTTCAAGGGCTGTGAGGTCCCTGCGTACCTCTAAAATCTCCTCCCGTATCGCCACCCTCAGCTCTGCAACCATGGCGGCTTTATCCCGATTAGTGAACATGTTGGCCGAGATGGCCACCAGTTCTGCTGTAATTTGCGCCAGGGCCTCCCCTTTTGCTGAGCTAAGCTTTATGTCTGTGCCGCTCTCAGCGTCCGGGAAGGCGGCCGCCATCTTGTCTGCGGGCCTCGTGGCTTGGAAGCTGTCCGGGTTGGAGAGAAAGTCGTCCATCAGACCTGCGTGTTTTCTCGATGGGCTGTTGCCCGAGGGTCCCGAGGTGCCCTGGCGTCTGGTCTTCCCCATTTTGAGTATACTAGTAGGCATTTATTTGGGGCTTTGTGGGTGGAGGTTGCAGAGCTCCGTCAAAGAGCGACTCACTCCATTCGCCGACTAACCACGCCCCCAAATTGTACATTCTATGACCAGAGAGATGTGTTATCCCGCTGATTTCTGAAGCATAGATCAATGTCACAACAACTGTTCATTTACAAGAGATAAATGTATCTCTGGTGTAAGAATCCAGATCGCAGCACTGAATAAAATATTAATAAACACCCAGGACTTGTGTCAAAGGAACACTCCAGACTCCAGCATTATGACTCATATTTCTACAGTTCATAAAACCTCAACAGAATTCGTGATTTCTAAACGTTAAACTTCTGATTATCGTTTTCTCGCACTGACTGTGCCGGGGAGAAAGGGGATGGCTTGCGAGGGCTGCAGACCGTCTATTTTCTTTTCATATACCCACAAAGAAAAAAAAATATCCATGCTCCTTGGTATATTATGTACTAAATAGTAAAAAATAAATAACTAAAAAAAACTTTAAATGGAGAGATCCTTTAACTTTTTTATGAGATACTTTGTTTTACTTTAAGCAATCACTTCTTTAGGAGAGCATATCAACTAACCTGTTAATAGCAAACTGTTAATAACTAATATTACTGTTAATAGCTTTCCCTCCCCGCACCTTGGTAACCCACCTGCTTCCCCTCCTGCAACTGCGTGATCTAATAAACTAAGCCTTCACTGTGGACGATTCTAGTAACCTAGTAACTCTGCTCCCTCTAGAATGGAAGTTGGTTTGAGCAGGGCACTCAACACACTCTGTTCCTGTGCGTCCAACTCGTCTTCTTCCAATTCCATGTCTGTTAGTCCACATATTTTACAGCGCCACGGAACTGGTTGGCGTTTTATAAATAATAATAATTATAATACTAATTGTCCTCACGTTCCAGTTTGTTCCTGGCACACAGCGCGTTAGAGAATAAATAGTAATTTGTTGTTTCTTTCTCTTCCTCTCTCAATGCCGGTAGGTGTAAAAGACAGAGTGTACAATGACGGCGGACAGAGAGCCAAGATGGCGGCGCCCAGTTCCAGGATAGTGGGAAATAGAGCGATGTGAATTGATATGTTTAATAATATTTTACGTAGTAATGTAGTAATATGGAAATGCAAAAAATAAATCACATCATTTTTGCACCAGGTAATTACACAGCAAGGGGCAAAGACTGAAAAGGAAGAAAATCAGGAAACGTTTTAGGAAGAAGCAGGTCTGATACTGGGAATAGCAGAATAGCGTCAGAGCAGAGCAAGGATTGAATTAATGAGATATTCTCTGGGTCACAGCTTGCTTTAAATTCGACTTTTACAATGTTAATAGTAATAAATTAAATGAAATTTTAAAAAAATGTGGCAAATATAAACAGACAGCTGTTCTTCAGCATTTTTTAAAGTGCTATGCTCCAAATGTATTGCAGCCTTTTTATTGCCTCATTTAGATGAGATGAGAATTTCACACTTGGCACCCCCTATAGGCCAGGCAGTTGCAACAGAAACTGCACATTCTCATGCAGCATCCAAGCATACTGGACAACACAGCTGACAGTCTATGCTCTTATTTATTTACAGCGCTACAGTGTTTGCTGGCGCTATATAAATAATAAAATAATAATCGTAAAAAAGTAAAGCAAGTGAAACGAACAGCAGAGCTGGTGATAATTTCTTTTTTTCTGCAGAAGTCACCTTTCATCTGAAGAAATGTTAGAAAATGGCTAAGGAATAAAGCTGGAGGCTGTGGGAATGGGTGAGAAAACATGTTTTATCCCCCTTAATACAATATGGCATTATCTGCCCCTCAGGGTAATATCTAACACCAATTAAGGCATTGCCTTCACTGCCATCTCCAGAATATTACATCTCTGCATTTCTTTATTTCCCAAGTGATCATTCTGTGATTGGCACAATGCTGCAGATACCAGCTCTGCACCCAGTGCCAACCCCTAGCTGTAGCATGTTTGTATTGCTGCAATGAGTGGCTGTGTCATTTGCAATGTGTGCTAGCAAATGGCAAATGAATCCATTCTCTCCTGACTCCAGGATTGGAGCCCTGTGCCTGCCCCTGGTTTGGTGAGATAGCACAGTGACTGCTCAGAGCATCAGACAGGCTGAGGAGCTGGGGGAGCACACTGACAGCTAGCCCTCTACTGGGGGAGCACACTGACAGCTAGCCCTCTCCTTTACATGATGGAGATACATTATCACTGCAGAACTTTAAATATGGACATGAACTTCTGTGAATGATTCTGCTGCCAGGGAGCCTATAAGGTAAGTTAAAGCCCACTTATTCTGTACATCCATTTCATGCTCAGGTCTCCTTGAATGAGAAGCAGATCAGCCTGTGTGTTGCCAAATTATGTAATTGTTTGTTGCACAGCACAGATCACAGAGATTCTAAAAGCTGGGAGTTTGGATTCAACATGTTTTATAATCTGTCTGCATTTCTTAGGAAGGAATGGAGGAAGCTACCGATGGGGAGGTCACACTGGCTGATCAGTAAGTCTGTGCAGGGGGTTGTAGCTCTGGGATTTAATAATAATATTGATAGTATGGAAGATTATATCATGGACTGTAAAGTTAATTAATTATTGTAAGTTATTTAGAAATGGATGGATTAAAGGAATGGTGTGCTGTCACAGAGTTACCAAATTAACTCTTAATTAGTGAATAAATATCCATTAAGGCTGATGGGGGTACATGAAAAGTGTTGATCTGTAGTATGGAGCATTCATATCCTGCAGGAGGGAAATCAACCAATGAGACATCACAAAGGAATTGTCTTGATAAAAACACTGACTGCCCCCCTGCAGGGCATGCAATGCTGCAATATACCCAGGGCAACACTTTTAATAAACTGCCCATCAGCATGGAGGAGAGAAAGAAGTGCAGAATAACCGGTGGATTTGTTCCATTTGTCACTGACCCATCTGACTATTTAAAGGGGAACCCCAGACCCCTAAAGCACTTTATCTCGCTGAGATGCTTTATGTGTGGAGAATACGTCCTCTTTTTAAATTTTACAGAAAGTGCAGGTTTCAATAGAATTTGGCACATTTAAAAATGAACCTTGTTACACCCAATGGCTGCCAATCAGACAACCAGTCCTGTTACTTTCTGGCTGAAAAAAATAAATCAGTTTTTGGTGGAGATACACTCGAGGCAGCATGTGGCGGCTTAACTGCAGGCGCTCTGGTTGTCCATATAAAAGTATAAAGAAAATGGGATACAGCTGGATACCTAGAACCAAAAATAAATAATAATGCAACACTGTTGGAGGTTTGCAATGCCCCCACTTTATATGGAACTCACAGACTCCAGATGAAAAGAACGCATTGAGGCTGCCTTCCCCCCCCCCATGGGAGGTCTGGTCTCTCAGTCAGAATGGTGCTTTTGGATCTAAATCAGGAATCAGGTAGGTAGGTAAAAAATGATTTATTGCAAATAAATTGAATAAAATAGATATTTTCAAATTGATGGTATATCACCGGTCCAAGGCGTTTCATTTCTATGGAAACTTCCTCAGGGACCACCTTTTATACAATCATAAAAACATAAAAAATATGTCTAACAATTTCATGTCCTACCCTTCCGTTTCCACCCCCCTCTTAAAGGGACACTATAGTCACCAGAACAACTACAGCTTATTGAATTTGTTCTGGTGAGTAGAATCATTACCTTCAGGCTTTTTGTTGTAAACACTGTCTTTTCGGAGTAAAGCAGTGTTTACATTACAGCCTAGTGATAACTTCACTTACTCAATGCTTTCCTATGGACGTCCAGCGTCTTGAGAATCGCGGAAGCGCCTCTAGCGGCTGTCAGTGAGACAGCTACTAGAGGCTGGATTAACCCTCAGTGAAATTGGTTTTCAGCTGCAGGGTTAAAACTAGAGGGACCTGGCACCCAGACCACTTCATTTCATGCCTATAGTGGTCCTTTAAGTGTATGTATCTGCATGCAGTGGCGTACATACTGTGGTCGCAGGGGTCGCAGCCGTGCGACCCCTGCGACCAGGTGCCTGCCTCCATGTTTTGCAGCCCTGGCCCGCCCAGAGTAAGCGCGGGGGGGCCCATGGATTGCGTGTACGCCACTGCACTGAACTTTCCTAATAGAGATTCATTGAGTCAATTAATCTCTATGCGGAGATGCTGATTGGCCAGGGCTGTGTTTGAATCATGCTGGCTCTGCCCCTGATCTGCCTCCTTGTCACTCTCAGCCAATCCTATGGGGAAGCATTGTGATTGGATCAGGCTACCATTTCTGATGATGTCAGCAGACTGCTTGTTTTTTCTGAGTCTAACAGCATACAGAGTTACAGCTTCAGGCTTGAATACAGTAAGATTTTGCTATATTTATGGAGGCATGAGGGGCCTAGGGGGGCTAGATGGTGGTATTAACACTATAGGGTCAGGAATACATGTTTGTGTTCCTGACCCTATAGTGATCCTTTAAATAGGGTTCTTCCTGATTCCTTCTGGTGTGTCTTCGTGGGTGTTGTCTTCTAATTTACCAATCTCTGGAGCTTGTTTCTCCTTCACACCGCTGATCGTAATCTTCTCAATCTCCGCTGTGTATTCCTCCATGTGGCTGCTATACTTCTGGCTTGCGTTCCAGTTTGTGCGTTCCAAATGTTCACAAAACTTTATTGTCCATGTAATTGTCCAAGCAATCTTGGAATAGTTTGATATCTATTAGAGAGAGGAAGTTACTCAATAGCCATCAGCATTTTTACTTCTTTTAAACCTTTGTTTTTTGGATCCAAATTTGGATCAGAGCAAATACCGAAACTATACTCGATCTATTGTGTGCATTTTTTTGTGTTCTAACTTTTTTTTTATCACAGTGACCCCTTACGGCAGATCGAAATTCATAGAGTAAGGAACTTGTCCACTTGGAAATAATCCATAATTCTTAACAGAAAAATGTATAAGTAATAAGCCCCAAAATAGGCTCCTTATGACAAAAATGATTCGTTCTAATGGGCAGAAAATTAATATATTGGTAATAAATAAATAACAATAATAATGAAAATAAGAATAAAAATGAAAATGAACATAAAAATAAAATTAAAAAAAATAAATATAAATAAATATAAATATAGTAATAATGAAAAATAATAAATAATAATGAATAATGCAAATATAAAAATATAAATGTGAAAAAATATATATAAATAAAAATAAATATAAAAATAAATAGAATTATATGAATGATAAAAATATTAGACTTTATATGTTGAGTTTTCAATTTCCCTCTTGAATGTCAACCCTTCTCTCTCCATATTGACACCAATATTGCATTTTACAGAAAACAAAGCAAATCAATCTCTATATTTAATCCCCTTGGCTCCAGCGTCTGCAGTCTATGTATCCAAAAGGTTTCACGTTGGGACAGAGATCTCAATCTGTCCCCTCCCCTCCAATGTAGATCAATCTTTTCTATTCCAATGCATAGTAATTTTTTAAGATCAAACGTGGGACAAGAATTGCAGTGCACCGGAACCGAGTGGGACACAAGACCGTTTCTAATGTTGTTGGCATGTTCCAACAATCTGACCTTTAGTAAACGCTTAGTTTGTCCTACATATTGTTTGCCGCACGGACACTTCTTGGGGTGAAGGGGGTTATATTGGCCACATTCCAGGTTCTGTTGGTGGCCTGTACCCTCCGCTGTCATGGACCATCTCCTAGTCCAATCGCTGCCAAGAAGGTGGTGGCCTCTGCCACGTCAGTGATCTTGATTTTCTTTCCATCTCTGGTGACCATATGGGATCCATCTGTATGGTATTCCTGCCTTCTGAAGCCATTGTGTCATGGGTTTCATTGTTTTCCTCCATAATAAGGTGGAGCGGTATAGATCCTGGAAGATCGATATCTTATGAGACTCAAAGTCCATTGGTGATGTATTGTGACCGTCGCCGTCATTTGCGGCTACTTTATCTTCCACCTAATAGGAACCTTGTCAAAAAAACATGGCCAAAAAGACAAAACATGGCCACCGATATTTTCGGCCACTGTTTGACCTTCACAATATGGCCGCCACAATTTGCCTCTTGTCCTTCACAATATGGCCGACGGCATCCAGATCGGTTATGTAATCATTTACTATATATCCCATGTGGCATTGCGACCAATTACACACCCACGTCACGTGACCAACTTCCCAATGCTATTTTCACTTAATGTAACCCTCGTTTTGTATAACATTTATGATATTTAACCTCTGTACTACACTAAGAATATAATTTAATACATTTTATGTACTTTAAAAATGTTTTTAAATATGTTGAATTCCGATTGGATAATGCTAATTTTGGTCCAATTTTAAACACAGTTATCCCTATATAAACTCCTATAGCAAGGTTGAGTGTTTTTATTCCATTTGATAAAGCCTGTAAAGGTGAAACGCGTAATGGACTATTATGACTATTGTGTATTTTAACTTATTAAATGTTTGTTGGTCACCTTTTTGTGCCAATTACCTTTGTTATATGCACTTTCCCTGGTCATTTTTAGTTTTAAACTTCAAGTAATCCCAAGGTGGGGATAATACCACCAACGCTGTGTTTATAAAGCAGTCAGCCTGCTCTATCCTTGTAAGTATAATTTTACTTCAGTTTATTAGAGATTACTTTATTTTATTGAGAGCACTATCTGTTGCCTTTTTTATTCCTTCCTGAGTGTGTGGACGTGGTGGACATTTGCTGCATATCCTTTAAAGCGGGGATTATACCGCTGTACGCCCATACAGCTAGAGCTGGCTATAGCTCTTCTAAATGTAAGTGTTCCATTGTTATCATATACTGTTATCTGATTGAATTATACAGTCTGCACTATCACCTGCTCCTGTTTCCTGACTTTTATATCATCTTGGTGTGAACGTGGTTGACAGCTGCCGTTTATCCTTTAAAGCAGGGATTATACCGCTGTACGTCTATACTGCTAGAGCTGGCTATAGCTCTTCCAAATGTGAGTGTGCCATCGTTACCTTTTCCTTATATAAAAGACTGTACTCAACTAGCTACACTATCACCTATCCCTGTCTTTTGTCTCCCATATTATCTATGGTCAAGCTGAATTGAGGACAGTACATCCAATCAAGCACTGACTTTTTCATCTTTGGATTATAAAAACTTTCTTTGTGAGAATTTGTGCCAAATAAGTTGTACTATTAGTGTTTACCTGTGGCACAGCCCTTCCCTTTTCTTTTGTTCTTCTTATTATGAATAGCTCTCATCAAAGCTTGTTTGTTTTGTCTTGTCCCACAACAAAGTATTATGTCCCTTGGGGCCATAGGTGGTGCCTTAGGAGATTTGGCTATGTGGTAAGCTCCGTCGTTTGTGAATTGCTTGGCTTGCTTTCAGGGCCAGCCTTAGGCCTTTAGGCGCCCTGTGCGAAAAATCTTTACAGCGCCCCCCCACGTCCCCTGTCATCCATGTATGATGTAATGTTTGTGTTGTCTGTGTATGTGATAGGTGTGAGAACTGCGTGATGACTGTGTGTGATATTTGGGTGTATTAACAGTGTGTGATATGCGTGTATTGGTTGTATGTGATATTTGTGCTGGGTTTATTGCCTGTGTGTGATGGTTATTTAATTCAGATAAAAACATGCATTTAGGCCTGTGTGTGAATGCAGAGTTATGTGCACACAGTCTCAGAGTGAAATGCACACAGCTATAAATATACACTGTCAAATCCACCACATGCACATAGTTGCAGGCAGATAGTCACATACACAGGATCAGGCAAAAACACACAGGTACAGGCAGTAACACACATACACAGTTACAGGTAGATAAACACACACACACACACACAATTACAGTCAGACAGCCACACACACACATACAGTTTTACACACACACACACACAGTCTTACACACACATACTTACATGCAGACAGTCACACAAACACACGCAGACAGCCACACACACACACAGGCAGCCACACACACACAGAGAGCCACACACATACGCACAGGCAGACAGCCACACACACACACACACACACACACACACACACACACAGGCACACACAGACAGACATCCACACACACACACAGAGGCAGGCAGTCACACACAGACAGTAGTCACACACAGGCAGACAGACACACACACACACACACAGGCAGTCATACACACAGACACACACACACACACAGGCAGACAGTCATACACACAGACACACACACACACGCAGACAGTCATACACACACAGGCTGACAGTCACACACACACACAGGCAGAAAGTCATACACAGACACACACACACACACACAGGCAGACAGTCACAAACAGACACACACACAGACACACACACAGGCAGACAGTCACACACAGACACAGGCAGACAGTCATACACACATCGACACACATACAGGCAGACAGTCCCACACAAACACACACACAGACAGACAGTCATACACACACACACACACACACACACAGGCACACACACACAGACACACACACAGGCAGACAGTCACACACAGACACAGGCAGACAGTCACACACACACACACAGACACACAAAACACGCACGCAGACAGTCACAGACACACACAGGCAGACAGTCACACTCACACTGACAATCACACATAGTTACCTCTGTTCATTGTGGAGGCAGTGCAGCTCCTGGAGACTGTTTGTTGGGGAAGCAGGGACTCCTTCTTGCTTTCCCTGCAGCAGTTACCCAGCACTTTTAGCTTCGCCCCGTCGAAGGAAAGCCCTGCCCCCGCCGCAATTTTTTTTTAAATTTGTTTTTAAAATCCCAGCCATGTGTGAGCTGTGTCGGCCGCACGGCGCCCCCTGCTTCATGGCGCCTTGTGCGGCTGCACACCCCTAAGGCCGGCCCTGCTTGCTTTACTGGGAGTAGTGTATTCACTAATCGCCTAATGAAGTGAGGTAGCTCTTCTATCGCCACTGTGTCCGAGACCCCTTTTATCTTCAGGTTTTTCTGGCGAGTTCACTTTCAGCGTACTCAATAAAATAGAGTAATCTCTATCCACTTTCAGCGTCAGGGTCGATTGGTGTGCATGCAGCTTCCTGACCGAGTCTCCCACTGCTGCAAGGTTGCGCTGTAGGTCGGTTATATAGGTTTCCGAGGTCTGAATGCGGGTTGTGACCGCCTGTATTTCAGACCGCACCACAGCTATTGGAGTAGCTGTTGGAGTCTTACAAAGATATTCTCAATGTCCTGTTTTGTTGCAGGGACCATACTTGCTGGGGTAGTTGTGGCTGGGTGTCCAGTCATGGGAGGCCCCAGAGCATTCACATTCTCCCCTTCTTCCTCCTGAAGGTTAGAGGCCTCAGCCTCTGCTTGCTCCATCCCCCTTAGTTTGGGTGTGCGTTAGAGTAGTGTGCCGATGTCTTGTACTTCTTTGGGTGTTTGTACCTGAGATTTTTGGGTCTTCTTTCCCATCTCTTCCGGCTGTTGGGGCTGTGTCTGCCGGGATTCGGGTGTAAGCCAGTCTGGGTCCCACCAGGCCGCAAAGGCATTTGTTGTGCTTTTCAGGCTGGCCGTGTGGGAGGTCTTATTAGGTCAGCATTTGTGTTTCGTGTCCGGCGGCTGAAAGAACGGCATCAGTGTGTGCCTCTCCGTCTCCTATAGCCGATTCCAGTCCACAGGTAGGTCGATGCTCGACAGAAATTAAGATTAAGGTTAGGTTGCTATGTTAGATGTGTAGAGCTCCAGAAATGGCATCTGTGCTGGCTCGTTGCTAAGTTCTGGTTCTGTGCACGGAGACTGTTAATGTCTGTCTTATTACATACTGTTTCTTCTATTAGAATTACATTTTCTTTTTAAAGGCTGGAATTATTTAAAAAACAAAACAAAAAAACAGCAAGCAAAATGTTTAATATTATTTAAAATATGACAAGTACGATAATATTACCATATAATGAGCATATACTATGAGATACCAGCATTGAGAGGCTTAAAATAGCAATACAACACACCTATCACAAGGCCTGCTGTTTAAGGTGTGATTAGGAAAAATGGATGCAGGTGGGCGGTAGTCAGAAAACCTTATATATTTATATTATTTCTTTTCTTACGTAAACTTACACATGCAAGGACAATGGTGTGTAATTCTGTTTTTCTGAATGGTCGGCTTATTTAATTTTATCATCGAAGGAGATATAAATAGAACAGATCGCTAATCCCTTCATTGATTTCTGCCACCCAGACAACCAATGTTTTGTTTAGTGCTCAGAATTGATCTGATTGTGTGTGTTTATATACGAGGTCTGTATGGAAAGTATCCAGCCGTGTAATATGAAAAATAGAGACCTTTATTGAAGGAGATACAAGATATATTGTACATAGGACAATGACGCCTCAGTCCCCTCCAAAGTTGGCACCTTGTGATCTCACACGTTCTCCCAGAGTCTCTTCCACTTTTCAAAAAACTCAGCAAAATCCTTTGTTGGATCCGCCATCAGCTGCCTCGCCGTATTTACCTGATTTACGTCAACAGTCTGAAATCTCTTCCCTTTCAAACATGATTTTGGTTTTGGGAAAAGCTAGAAGTCAAAGGGCTCCAAATCTTTCCACAGATTCTCGACCATCTTTGAAGCGTTTGTGCCACACTTTTATTTGCGCTGCACACATTGCATCGTCCCTGAAATCGTTTCTGCATTCGCGTTATATTAACAATTACTGAGCTTTTTCCAGACAGACCTTCATTAAACAGCAATTTCAAAGATCACAGGATGTAATAGTTTTATTTTTTAAAACACATCACCTAAAAATAACGAGGATTTAGTTACAGTATATGATCATGCTTTGCATAGGCCTGCCACAACGTCAATGTACCCCATTCTATATATGATATACAATTAAAATGCACCCTGCACTGCGGCTAAACACACAATATATCGCTGGGAGCTGCATAAACAACTCAACTATATAAATTTAAAAATCATCGGCACTCTTCTCTACCACAATCTTCCTGTATTCCAATATTTCAGAATTAAAATGAACGTTTCAGCTCCCATTTGAAACTTTCGTGTGTGAGTTTGTGTATTTATGTATAATATATAAAATCACTAGTCTAACAAGCAGTTTGGGGATAATAAATTAACATTAGTAATATGAGCTAACCGTACTGCATACTGTGACCACATTTAATTGCGGAAATCTCAGCAGTGCAAATCCATATTGTTGGTGTGTCTGAGTGTATAACAGAGCTCCACAGTAATAATACTCCCAGTAATGTGTCTGAGTGTATAACAGAGCTCCACAGCAATAATACTCCCAGTAATGTGTCTGAGTGTATAACAGAGCTCCACAGCAATAATACTCCCAGTAATGTGTCTGAGTGTATAACAGAGCTCCACAATAATAATACTCCCAGTAACGTGTCTGAGTGTATAACAGAGCTCCACAGCAATAATACTCCCAGTAATGTGTCTGAGTGTATAACAGAGCTCCACAGCAATAATACTCCCAGTAATGTGTCTGAGTGTATAACAGAGCTCCACAGCAATAATACTCCCAGTAATGTGTCTGAGTGTATAACAGAGCTCCACAGCAATAATACTCCCAGTAATGTGTCTGAGTGTATAACAGAGCTCCACAGCAATAATACTCCCAGTAATGTGTCTGAGTGTATAACAGAGCTCCACAGCAATAATACTCCCAGTAATGTGTCTGAGTGTATAACAGAGCTCCACAGCAATAATACTCCCAGTAATGTGTCTGAGTGTATAACAGAGCTCCACAGCAATAATACTCCCAGTAATGTGTCTGAGTGTATAACAGAGCTCCACAGCAATAATACTCCCAGTAATGTGTCTGAGTGTATAGCAGAGCTCCACAGCAATAATACTCCCAGTAATGTGTCTGAGTGTATAACAGAGCTCCACAGCAATAATACTCCCAGTAATGTGTCTGAGTGTATACAGAGCTCCACAGTAATAATACTCCCAGTAATGTGTCTTAGTGTATAACAGAGCTCCACAGCAATAATACTCCCAGTAATGTGTCTGAGTGTATAACAGAGCTCCACAGCAATAATACTCCCAGTAATGTGTCTGAGTATATAACAGAGCTCCACAGCAATAATACTCCCAGTAATGTGTCTGAGTGTGTAACAGAGCTCCACAGCAATAATACTCCCAGTAATGTGTCTTTGAACTACAATAAATGAGTTTAGAAATCAGTCTGTGTAAATAAGATACATTGTTCTTCTTCTAAATTACAGTTAGTTCTATAAATTGTTATTAGTAAGTCACATAAAAGTTCTCATATCAGCCCTGCCCCTGGACACACCACAACCAGCACCCTAAAATTAAAGTGTCCCATCTTTATCCATTTGAAATGTTGGGAGGTGTGCTGCTCCCTATTGCTGCCACAGAGGGAGATTTGTGGTATCTGCATTTATCATTATAATAATGCGGATTATGGAAACTATAATGAATGGCTCACTGTTTTAAGAAGATATTACGTTATAATAACCAGCCTTGGTCCCAGAGGGCACCATAAACATTACCAAATCCAAATGGTTAACATTAACCAACTTAATGAACAGATTTTGTTAAACTAACCTTTGACTCTGAAATAGAACAGTTGGTTCACTAAACACTGAGCTATCTGAGGGGCACACAATGAGTATTTTGTTCTCATTTTATTGCTTTTCCAAAATAATAAATTGAGGGCTTTCTACTTCTGTAACAGAGAAACATGTTTATATTCAGCGTGACTCTGTAACCCAGAGATGCCGTCCCCCTCCCCCTTATCTGTATTTCTCAATGCTGTGTCTTCAGGCCATCTATAACATAGTTCTGATTATGTGATTGCTCACCATATGCAGAAATTCAATTAAAAATGAAATTAACTGTTACATAGGTGTCAGATTCCAGGGAGTTGGGATCCACAGTCAGTTTCGATTTTACGGTGCAGAGATTGTTGGTAAGGATCAATCGATCCACGATCAGTGCAGGTAGTAAAACATGCGCAGAAACCTTCCCTAAACAGAGTGTTATGGAATGTAGCAATGAGACCTTTCCTTCCTAAGACACACATCCTGGCTTCTTTTTTTCTTTATGTGGCTCCGCGTGGGTGTGACTTTGATGCTGGGAGATGATGTCATACATCAGTAGCCAATCGGTGTGACTAAGAACTCGCCAGCAAACCAAGCAAAATATATTTCTTCCTATGCCTGTGCTATCTTTCACTATACAGTGGACTGATGTGGGTCTGCCCTTGAAGCTCAGTGTTAATTGCAAAACCATCAAATCTAATTTCTACCTTACCGCAGACAAGGCAAAACCAAATCCTGTCTGCATTATCACCATGAGCAGCAGGGCCTATGAATAGGTTCCTACAATATTATTCCGAGGCATTAAAGGAGACTCATAGATGGTACAACAGCTGCCTCTGTGCCAAATACTTTATAAAACTCACAGCATCAACGTCGCTGTCTCTGCACCTCAAACATTAGACCTAATATCTGAGTGTATTTCTGGACTCCTCATATCTCTCTTATTCAGTCTTCACAAGGGCATGGTTTCAGTGACATAATATAGATTTTCTTTAGCATGAAGATATATTGACATTGAAAGTGTGTTTGCTAAAAGGTCAGTTTCGTCAGACAGATGATGTGCAAATAAAAGGGTTTTAAAATCTGTTGAGATGTGAGATAGCTGAACATTAACAGCTTCAAAGAAATGGACGGATAGAGGTACAGAGAAAGAGATAGATGAATCATTTTCAGTTACATTGCAATTGTAACAGTATAAAATACTATTTTATGGTGTCGTGTGCTATAATTGAAGGTTATTCTAGCTGTAATGTACCGATAACTCTTTAATAATTTGCTTTAACTCCAGTAGTGGCACAATTCACAAAGACTAACACACAGACGATCAAAAATAAGTTGGAGGTAATAAAAGAGCAAGTTCTCTAAAGCGTCTCCTCTTTGTTTGGTGGGACACAATAACAGAACAGTACTTAATACAGAATTGTAACAATAAAGATCTAGAGATGATTAGAGGAACAAAGGATCAGCTGTCAAACTCTTGGTGGCACACTGACATCCGAGGTCAAGCTGAAAAAGCAGAAAGAAACACACGGTTAAAGGTTTCTCAAAGTGGAAATAGGTCAATAACACAGTACATGGATAGTCAAATATACAGCCAATTATATGTGCATAACTAGCCAAAATATCATCGATATGGACAACATGTGCATACTGAAAATACAGCGAATAATCGAATACTATGCGAACAATGGAAAACAACTACATGTCTGTTCGTCCACCCATTGTAAAGCGCTGCGGAATTTGATGGCGCTATATAAATAACATCATAATAATAAAGTGAAATAAACAAGAGATACCAAACACAACGTTCGAGAAACAGTGAAAAAAATGAAACCACAAGAAAAATAAAAAGAAGTAAATCTCCAAAGGGAGGGAGGGAAAATATTCGCCATTTGTCATTACTTAAATTAAGGTTATAGGTACACTAAAGCGAGTATAATCTTCAGTTTTATCACATGACCGGAGGCTTCGTATTCATAAAGGGCGCCGTCACCTTTAAGAGCCGACAATACGCAAAGTGTAGGGATCTCTCGAAAAAAAGAGAACATTCGCTTATATTACCTTGACTGGTCTATGTTTGATTTAGTAAAGAGAATTAAAGCAAATTATTTAACTCCTGTCGTGGTAAAATGTGTTCCTATTATTATCTGGTATTAAATCCAACTGGGCGTAAATATCCAAATCAGACGGCAATCCCATCGCTAGATCTCAGTATAAGCACCATGTTTCATTTCTATACAGATCATATGAAGTATGACTCATGAGAATTGTTTGATAACTTTCAACAAAGAGCTCCCTATTTTCTCCATCAGATTCTAAATGAAATCTCATCGCTCGCTACTCACCATGTGATACGGACATTAATAATATTTCTTTAGTATAATGACTTTTTCCCTTATTAGTCCGTTTTATTTCTGTAGCCTTTTCCTGAACTTGGGATAAATGACTTAATATGAAAGTTATTTAATGACATAATCGTTCTATCGATGGGATTGACTCGGTCACCTTTTAATTATTTGGCGATTTAGTTTTGCTTTATATTTATATTTACTGCTATTAAATTAATAAACTGATAGCATTTTACTATGGTTTATTCAATAAACAGTCAATTGTAGTCAATTGAAAACAGAATTGTAAAATTTACTCTAAAATAACTAAGTTTTGGCTATCAGTGAAATGGAGAATTTTTTCTAATTCTAATATTTTGGATTAAAATCTCTGTTCTGAAGAAATCAGTACATCTTTACAAAATGTTTCTAAAGACGAGCTGAAAGTGAAGCAGATTGTAGATGCAGGTGATTACATTCTGAAGGACGTGTGACGTAAGATGTAATAAGGATTGAGCGTGAATGAGAGAACGTCAAGGTTCCCAAACAGCATCATTTTCTGAATTCCCATTACAGCGCAGGTCACTTTGATTAGCAGAGGTGACTTTGGCAGAATGACTGAACTCAAAGGAACACATTAAATGTTAAATTCTGCAAGAAATTCGTGTGTTGTACAAGTTAATGCCTTAATGGTCTACGAACGCAATTGAATGTAATGCAATTGAACGTTTGTTGATGCAGTTATAAGGCCTCTTGTTAAGAGTATCTGCATTCGCACATTTATTCTGAATTTATTTAGAAAAATAAAAACATTGTCTTTCTTTTTAAATATATAAACTCTTAATGGGAACCCTAACTGTGGATATTTGAGGACCAATGTTATTGGGCCTTGCAGAGTTTTCGTTAATGATCAGTACGGCCAGATCTGACGGGCTGCTGTTTGATTCTTATCCCAAATATCTATAGGATGACCTCTCAGTCTGACTCTTTATCTCTCAATCCAAATTTTACTTCTTTATCAAAAGCCAAAGTGCATGCAGCTGAGACCAGGATGTGCCAATAAACAAAGCTAAATCCTTTATCTGTGACAGCCTGATCGGGAGTTTATCGGGAGTTTATCCTGGATCCCTTTCAAAGTGCAGAGTGACGTCAGATATTGCTGGTATCTACAGGTAGATTTGGAGCCTCTGATAGTCATAATGGATGATTTGGCAACTTTGTTTATGCTGGGCCATTGAAATCCGTCTTATCACATTTAGTTAATTAGTTTACAGAATATAGAGGAAAACAGGGGGATGTGGAATTGTCAGGGCTCAAAGGAACACTATAGTCACCAGAACAACTACAGCTTATTGAATTTGTTCTGGTGAGTAGAATCATTACCTTCAAGCTTTTTGCTGTAAACACTGTCTTTTCAGAGAAAATGCAGTGTTTACATTACAGTCTAGTGATAACTTCACTGGCCACTCCTCAGATAGCTGCTAGAGGTGCTTCCTGGGGCAGTGCTGCACAGTGTGACTGACATTCAGTGTCTCCACCCTCTGCATGCAGACACTGAACTTTCCTCATAGAGATACATTGATTCAAAGGATCTTTATGAGGAGATGCTGTGGGTCAGATCTGTGTTTGGCTTTTCCTGTCTCTGCTCCTGATCTGCCTCCTTGACAGTCTCAGCCAATCCTATGGGAAAGCATTGTGATTGGCTTTTGTTCAACACATTTGATGATGTCAGCCAAGCAGGCAGACAGGGGCAGAGCCAGCAGCTACAGACTTGAATACAGGTAAGATTTTACTACATTTAGGAAAAATTAGGGTGGTCCATGGGGACTAGATTGTGTTTTAAACATTATAGGGTCAGGAATGCATGTTTAACCAATGTTGTTGAGCTGGAACCTCAATGAGAAGAAGATTTTTTTTTTTTAGTTTGGTGAATATGCAGTTCCTTTGTGGATTTTGATGTCGGAGCCAATTTAAGAGTTTTCTGGTCAATGTGGGTATTACAGAGTGCAAACATAGACCGTGTCTAGGTATATCACCACCGACGCCTTGTGACAAAGCTGTCCAATTTTATCCATAAGCAACACGCCTAGAGTATAATAATAATCTCAATATATTTCTTTAACCTACTGTAGCCTGATATCTATATCTACCTCTGCCCTAGACGTCTTTCTTCTTCGCTCCACGAGTCTAATTTTCTTCAGGAATCATCATCATTTCATCTCTCCTTTCTTTTCCAATTCAACCTCCGCCTTCGCTTCCATATCTCCGCTCCTTCCTTTTACCGCTTCTTCTTCATTCACTCTTCCTTTCACTTTTCATTTCCTCCTTCCCATATTATTCTGTCTTTACATTAATCTCACTTTTTTTACACAAATATTTCCATTTCAGTCAAATTCTCCATTAGACCCCCCATACCATCTTCCTTTAACGATCTGTATCTCTATCCCCCCATTTTAAATGGGACCATTTTATATTTTCCAAGTCAGAATTCTCTTTCAATTGCCTCTGGTCTCCTCTCGATCCAGTGTTCCATCATTTCCCCGTCCCTCTGTCCCTCCATCCCTCGTTCTCCCCTCCACATTTGTTTCCATGATGCTGTGTTTTGTTTCCAGATCAGAATGTCATCCGCTGTTCATCTACCACATTTTAATGTAATGCTATTTTACAAGAGACTAAAAATGGCTTATTTTATTCCCTGGAACTGTGTTTCACAGGAAAAATAAACTGGATTCTAGGGGGGAAGGGAGAGTGAGCAGACAGCAAAGAAATTAAACGTCAGAGAAAAAAAAAAAAACAACTGTAACTAAATAAATAGTGGAGGAACAGATAGAATTGGAGGTAGCAGTATAAACCCAGGATGGTTGACGGATAAATATAAGAATTACAAAAAATTTTGAATTGCAGAGTATAACATTCATTACACTGTGCCCCGTAGTATGACCATCAATACACTGTGCCCCATAGTATGACCATCAATACACTGTGCCCCGTAGTATGACCATCAGTACACTGCGCCCCGTAGTATGACCATCAGTACACTGCGCCCCATAGTATGACCATCAATACACTGTGCCCCGTAGTATGACCATCAATACACTGCGCCCCGTAGTATGACCATCAATACACTGTTTCCCCCGTAGTATGACCATCAGTACACTGCGCCCCGTAGTATGACCATCAGTACACTGCGCCCCGCAGTATGACCATCAGTACACTGTGCCCCGCAGTATGACCATCAATACACTGTTTCCCCCGTAGTATGACCATCAGTACACTGCGCCCCGTAGTATGACCATCAGTACACTGTGCCCCGCAGTATGACCATCAATACACTGTTTCCCCCGTAGTATGACCATCAATACACTGTGCCCCGTAGTACGACCATCAATACACTGTTCCCCGTAGTAGGACCATCAATACACTGTTCCTCGTAGTAGGACCATCAGTACACTGCGCCCCGTAGTAAGACCATAAGTACACTGCGCCCCGTAGTATGACCATCAATACACTGTGCCCCGTAGTTCGACCATCAATACACTGTTCCCCGTAGTTCGACCATCAATACACTGTTCCCCGTAGTAGGACCATCAGTACACTGTGCCCCGTAGTAGGACCATCAGTACACTGTGCCCCATAATACGATCATGAGTACACTGCACCCTGTAATATGATCATCAGTACACTGTGCCCATAGTATAACCATCAGTACACTGTACCTCGTAGTTCGACTATCAGTACACTTTGCCCCGTAGTATGACCATCAGCACACTGTGCCCCGTAGTTCGACTATCAGTACACTGTGCTCGGTAGTAAGACCATAAGTACACTGTGCCCCGTAGTTTGACCATCAGTACTCTGGCCCTGCAGTATGACCATCAGTACACTGCGCCCCGTAGTAAGACCATAAGTACACTGTGCCCCATAGTATTACCATCAGCACACTGTGCCCCGTAGTTCGACCATCAATACACTGTTCCCCGTAGTAGGACCATCAGTACACTGTGCCCCGTAGTAGGACCATCAGTACACTGTTCCCCATAATACGATCATGAGTACACTGCGCCCTGTAATATGATCATCAGTACACTGTGCCCATAGTATAACCATCAGTACACTGTACCTCGTAGTTCGACTATCAGTACACTTTGCCCCGTAGTATGACCATCAGTACACTGCACCCCATAATATGACCATCAGTACTCTGGCCCTGCAGTATGACCATCAACACACTGTGCCCCGTAGTAAGACCATAAGTACACTGTGCTGCGTAGTACGACCATCAGTACACTGCGCCCCGTAGTATGACCATCAATACACTGTGCCCCATAGTATGACCATCAGTACACTGTGCCCCATAGTATGACCATCAATACACTGCGCCCTGTAGTACGACCATCAGTGCAATGTGCCCCGTATTATGACCATGAATACACTGTGCCCTGTAGCATGACCATCAGTGCACTGTGCCCCATACTATGACCATCAGTACACTGTACCCCGTAGTATGACCATCAGTACACTGTGCCCTGTAGTATGACCATCAATACACTGTGCCCCATAGTATGACCATCAATACACTGTGCCCCGTAGTACGACCATCAATACACTGTGCCCCGTAGTAAGACCATAAGTACACTGTGCTGCGTAGTACGACCATCAATACACTGTGCCCCGTAGTAAGACCATAAGTACACTGCGCCCCGTAGTATGACCATCAATACACTGTGCCCCATAGTATGACCATCAGTACACTGCGCCCCGTAGTAAGACCATAAGTACACTGTGCCCCATAGTATTACCATCAGCACACTGTGCCCCGTAGTTCGACCATCAATACACTGTTCCCCGTAGTAGGACCATCAGTACACTGTGCCCCGTAGTAGGACCATCAGTACACTGTGCCCCATAATACGATCATGAGTACACTGCGCCCTGTAATATGATCATCAGTACACTGTGCCCATAGTATAACCATCAGTACACTGTACCTCGTAGTTCGACTATCAGTACACTTTGCCCCGTAGTATGACCATCAGCACACTGTGCCCCGTAGTTCGACTATCAGTACACTGTGCTCGGTAGTATGACCATCAGTACACTGCACCCCATAATATGACCATCAGTACTCTGGCCCTGCAGTATGACCATCAACACACTGTGCCCCGTAGTAAGACCATAAGTACACTGTGCTGCATAGTACGACCATCAGTACACTGCGCCCCGTAGTATGACCATCAATACACTGTGCCCCATAGTATGACCATCAGTACACTGTGCCCCATAGTATGACCATCAATACACTGCGCCCCGTAGTACGACCATCAGTGCAATGTGCCCCGTATTATGACCATGAATACACTGTGCCCTGTAGCATGACCATCAGTGCACTGTGCCCCATACTATGACCATCAGTACACTGTACCCCGTAGTATGACCATCAGTACACTGTGCCCTGTAGTATGACCATCAATACACTGTGCCCCATAGTATGACCATCAATACACTGTGCCCCGTAGTACGACCATCAATACACTGTGCCCCGTAGTAAGACCATAAGTACACTGTGCTGCGTAGTAGACCATCAATACACTGTGCCCCATAGTAAGACCATAAGTACACTGCGCCCCGTAGTATGACCATCAATACACTGTGCCCCATAGTATGACCATCAGTACACTGTGCCCCGTAGTACGACCATCAGTACACTGCGTCCCGTAGTATGACCATCAATACACTGCGCCCCGTAGTATGACCATCAATACACTGCGCCCCATAGTATGACCATCAGTACACTGTGCCCCGTAGTATGACCATTAGTACACTGTGCCCTGTAGTATGACCATCAATACACCCAGACCTCTTGGTAATTGATAGAGCCCACCACCTGCGCAGACCTAGCCACCTACCTGCCACTACAGGGATGTAATTGCACGCATCCATTTCTACCACGTGAAGAAGCGAATTACAAAAGCCTGTAGGAATACCTCCCTTCCTGAACCACACGCTAACATCAAAGTCTTCGCAGACCTGTTGGCTGCCATGCTGCAGTTTAGGAAATAGATGTCCCTGATCACTACCACGCTCCGATCCAATGATATCAGCTACCTATGGGGATATCCGGCGAAGTTGCTGGTGCAGAAACGGAGTGATCGATGCCGTGGCGACGGAAACTGATGGCCTAAAAAAGCTACAGGACTGGGGTATACCACTACCTATGCCTCTGGCGTCTTCACCGACTAAAGTCCCCAGACTGACATCGGAATAAACTCCCGCCTAAGGGCAGAAGGCCCTCCCGTGTAGGGTATTGTGTACTGGTGCACATTCTATGTTCTTACTAAAGAGATACTAAAGAGATGCTTATGACACTTATGTTTCATGCAAGCTGTACACTTAGTTATAATGCGCTAGATTTTAAGGTTAGAACCCGACACTGCCCGATTAGCAAGACCGCTCACAAGAATGTATAGCAGTAAAGCAGAATGTAGAGAAAGGAAAACATTTTTAAAAATAAAATAAAAAAATTTAAAAAAAGGGGAAAAAAATTAATAATTTATTTTTTATTAAAAATGAAAATAAAAATAACGATTGTATAGCACTTGAGCATAGTTACGCTTCAAAGCAGAAAACCTTTAGTTGTACGGCACCTTAAACCAAGGCACATACTATGCCTTAGCATATGCGATGACTCAAGGTTTGTATATCTACTCTTCTAGGGTTAGACCTCAGAGTAGTACATTCAGCTGTTTATAGCCAACACCTGCTACGATTTGATTGCTAAATATCCTAGAAGGGCCCATGTTAGCAAAACACAGGTATACCCTGGGACGGACGCCCGCCCGCCCGCCCGCCCGCCCAAGGTGGGCATCATACTTAAATACACACTATATATCCTCGCTTGAGAGAGATGTTGTGACGAGAGCAATCTCGCCACATTGCATTGGAGAAGCCTGGTTGCTCGCCTGCTGCCTTTGGATTATGGCCCCATGTTAAAAGACCTCTTTTCTGAATCCATACGCTACCTAGGCCTGACAATCACTAAAAATCCTGCAAACCTTATGTCAGCAAACTATGTTGCAGTTTGGAACAAGTGCAGTCAACTACTGAAACAATGGTACTGGACAGACCGCATCGTGACACTCAAAATGTTGATACTACCGAGGCTGCTGTACCTCTTTCGCCCTATTCCCCTTCCGCCTCCCTCCCACCTACTTTAAGACCATTCAGGCTGATATGGAGAAGTTTGTATGGGCAGGAGGCAAAGCCAGAGTAGCCGCGAATGTCTTACAGGCCCCCCAGAAACAGGGAGGTTTAGCATTACCTAATGTCCATGGCTACTATTACGCGGCAGTACTAGCTGCTGCTATCCCCCACATAATCTCTGAACCCAAACCACCGCTCCCTAGAGCGAGATCAATTAGATAACCATGAAAACCTGCACCTGCTTTGGACACCATCGCATCTCAGGCCTGACTTGCCGACACTTCCCCCCAGATACTGCTGTTGTTTCAAATCTGGGATAAGTACAGACCTAGGTTAGGCAGTACACCTAGCCTCTCCCTGGCATCCCTCCTAAAGGCCATACCCTACATCATCCCAACATTTAATGCCCTACTGTGGCACCGAGGAGGCGCGATGCACCTATACCACCTATTTGATGCCCATAAACTACTAGACTACACGAGCCTAGCCGACAAATACGCACTCCCACAGTCCTCGCAGTACTCGTACCTCCAGCTACACTCCTATATCTCTAAAGAAGTGAAACGTTTCTTAGACACCTCTAGAGATGCTAATAGGTTACCTGCATGGGAACAAATGTGTATAGGTTACAGTTAGTTATACTGGGTAGGTTTATATTATTAACGGGACACTCCAGGCTCCCACACACATTAGATGCACTGTGTAGGTTAGGTTACAGTTAGTTATACTGGGTGGGTTTATATTATTAAAGGGACACTCCAGGCTCCCACACACGTTAGATGCACTGTGTAAGTTAGGTTACAGTTAGTTATACTGGGTGGGTTTATATTATTAAAGGGACACTCCAGGCTCCCACACACGTTAGATGCACTGTGTAGGTTAGGTTACAGTTAGTTATACTGGGTGGGTTTATATTATTAAAGGGACACTCCAGGCTCCCACACACGTTAGATGCACTGTGTAGGTTAGGTTACAGTTAGTTATACTGGGTGGGTTTATATTCTTAAAGGGACACTCCAGGCTCCCCCACACGTTAGGTGCACTGTGTAGGTTAGATTAGTCAGTTATACTGGGTGGGTTTATATTATTAACGGGACACTCCAGGCTCCCACACACGTTAGATGCACTGTGTAGGTTAGGTTACAGTTAGTTATATTGGGTGGGATTATATTATTAAAGGGACACTCCAGGCTCCCACACACGTTAGATGCACTGTGTAGGTTAGGTTACAGTTTGTTATACTGGGTGGGTTTATATTATTAAAGGGACACTACAGGCTCCCACACACGTTAGGTGCACTGTGTAGGTTAGGTTACAGTTAGTTATACTTGGTGGGTTTATATTATTAAAGGGACACTCCAGGCTCCCACATACGTTAGATGCACTGTGTAGGTTAGGTTACAGTTAGTTATACTGGGTGGGTTTATATTATTAAAGGGACACTCCAGGCTCCCACACATGTTGGGTGCACTGTGTAGGTTAGGTTACAGTTAGTTATACTGGGTGGGTTTATATTATTAAAGGGACACTCCAGGCTCCCACACACGTTAGATGCACTGTGTAGGTTAGGTTACAGTTAGTTATACTGGGTGGGTTTATATTATTAAAGGGACACTCCAGGCTCCCACACACGTTAGATGCACTGTGTAGGTTAGGTTACAGTTAGTTATACTGGGTGGGTTTATATTATTAAAGGGACACTCCAGGCTCCCACACACGTTAGATGCACTGTGTAGGTTAGGTTACAGTTAGTTATACTGGGTGGGTTTATATTATTAAAGGTACACTCCAGGCTCCCACATACGTTAGATGCACTGTGTAGGTTAGGTTACAGTTAGTTATACTGGGTGGGTTTATATTATTAAAGGTACACTCCAGGCTCCCACACACGTTAGGTGCACTGTGTAGGTTAGGTTACAGTTAGTTATACTGGGTAGGTTTATATTATTAAAGGTACAATCCAGGCTCCCACATACGTTAGGTGCACTGTGTAGGTTAGGTTACAGTTAGTTATACTGGGTGGGTTTATATTATTAAAGGGACACTCCAGGCTCTCACACACGTTAGATGCACTGTGTAGGTTAGGTTACAGTTAGTTATACTGGGTGGGTTTATATTATTAAAGGGACACTCCATGCTCTCACACACGTTAGATGCACTGTGTAGGTTAGGTTACAGTTAGTTATACTGGGTAGGTTTATATTATTAAAGGGACACTCCAGGCTCCCACACACATTAGGTGCACTGTGTAGGTTAGGTGGAGTTGCTGTGGCGCCCTCCCAGAGTAAGTAGTCAAACTGTTTAAAAAAACGTTTGATAACTTATCAAGGTCTGCCGGGTTAGGGGTTGTAGTGTGCGTGTGTGAGAGGGGTGCAGTGTATGTATGGGGAAGCAATTTGTATATTGGGAGCAGTGTGTTTGTGTGTGTAAAGGGTGTAGTGTGTGTATTGGGAGCAGTGTGTTTGTGTGTGAGTGGCGCAGTGTGTTTTTGTGTGAGGGGTGCTATGTGTGTATGGGGGGCAGTGAGTGTATTGGGGCTGTGTGTGTATTGGGGGCTGTGTGTATTGGGGGCTATGTGTAAGGGGCTGTGTATGTAAGGGGCTGTGCTGTGTGTGTGAGGGGGCTGTATGTGTAAGGGGGCTGTGTGTGTGAGGGGGCTGTGTGTGTAAGGGGGGCTGTTTGTGTGTGTGTGTGTAGGGCTGTGTGTGTGGGGGGCTGTGTGTGTGAGGGGGCTGTGTGTGTGTGAGGGGCTGTGTGTGTGTGTGTGTGGGGCTGTGTGTGTAAGAGGGGGGCTGTGTGTGTGAGGGGGCTGTGTGTGTGTGTGTAAGGGGGACTATGTGTGTGTAAGGGGGGACAGTGTGTGTAAGGGGGGGCTATGTGTGTGTAAGGAGGGGCTGTGTGTGTAAGGGGGGCTGTATATTTGTGTGTGGTGTAGGGGGTTATAGTTTGTGTGAGGGGATAGGGGGCAGATTAAAGATAAAAAAAAATTATTATTAAATAACTAAATAAATAAATATAGATAATGTCCCCCCTCCCTTCTTACTTTTGCTGAGGGAGGGGGAGACATTGCTTTCTCTTCCATTCCCTGGTGGTTCTAGTGGTGGAGTGAACTCTAACCTGCAGCTCAGGCTAGAGTTCACTCTCGCGAGCATGGAGTGTTGCCATGGTAATAGCTCCCCCGGGTTCTCTCTCTCACTCCCTCCCCTGCCGGCCGCCCAGCAATCTGCCTGTGGGCCGGGGAGGGAGATCACTGATCCGTGATGGCAAACAGCAGGCCTGGTGCTTGGATAGCACCAGCCCTGCATGGGCCGGCAGGGGAGAGCCTCGGGCAGCTATATTTTCTCGGGGGGCAATTACTGGGTGGGTTCTTATTATTAAAGGGACACTCCAGGTTCACACAACAAAATGTTTTGTATTAAATTATCTTTCCTCTTAATGTGTGGTTTTTCTTTTCTTCCAGATGGGAAATGGATCCGAATCCTTAGAATTTCATTCCTCAATATCGGAAAACAACGATATCATTTTAGGTGTTCTCTATTCTGTGTTTGGTAATGTATTTACAGTATTGTATTGTTTTTGACATTCTGCACATTATAAATTCTGTGTATTCAAATGAATTTTCTAAGCACCAAAACAACTGTAACTTAACAAAACAGTTTTGGTGTATAGATCACGCCCCTGCAGGATGCAGGAGATAAAAAAAAAATTCTATAGTAAGTTAATACGTGATTGGAAACTATTTTGTTTCATGCAGGCTGAGTGAGTCACAGCCAGGGCAGGTGTGGCTAGGGCTGTATAAACAGAAACAAAGTGATTTAGCCCCTAAATATCAGATACATGAGCAGTGATACTGCAGGAGCGTGATCTATACACCAAAACTACTTCATTAAAGAGACACTATAGGCACCCAGACCACGTCATCTCATTGAAGTGGTCTGGGTGCAGTGTCCCTGTCCCCTTAACTCTGTAGCTGAAAAATTGCAGTTTTACAGAAATGTTTACATTGTCGGGTTAACACTGCCCCTAGTGGCCGTCTCCCAGTTTAATTCTGTGTAACAACACTTGACGTCCTCACACTTTGCGTCTTGCAAATCCGAATTGGAAAGCATTGATTTAATTCTCGCTAGTTCAGAATCAGTCCTTTTGTACATGTTTTTATTCCTAACATTATATAGTGCTCCCTTAAGCTGACGTTGTTTTGATGGCTATAGTATCCCTTTAACTTGTATCATTCTTTAAATTGGTGGAGTTCTAATTGATCCCAGAATATTCCTCCATTGAATTGTAAATGTATCCAGATAGGCATCTGTCCTTTAAAACGCTCAGCCGACGAGCTTGAAATGAGCTATTATCTGCAAATCTATTTGTAAACAGATCACTTAAAATTTCTATTACAGATAATGTACCTGTGTGCAGATGTTATGTTAAAAATAGTTTGTCAATGCCTGCACCATTTCAATTAGTAGCGTCTGTCTCCCTTGCTACGAGACTAGAGAAAGAGGTCGTACATTCGGCAACTATAAAACGGTTAATGTGAGCAGGTTCATATAGCGTGACTCAGTCTGTAACAGGAAAATAAACATGAAGAAAAAGAAGTTGTATAACAGCAGAATGTCTCATGATGGGTTTTGCAGAAATTAGTCACAGGAAATTTTTAAAATTTTTTTGAATTTCAGTAGGGTCAAACTTCCTGTAATCCCCTCAAAGCCGCAGCAGATTCCTCTGTGTATCTGAGTCTTGCTGCTACATCCCCCCCACCCCCCAATACAGGAATTTGTTATTGATTACATTTAACCATACATTGATTGATTAAAAGGAAAATGTAACTTTTCTGAATATCACACGCTTAAAAAATACATTGGAAATCACCTAAAACACGTGTTAACCTTTTTTCCCTTTCCTTTTCTTAGTGAGATGCTCTGTTTTCTTTTAAATGTATATTACAATATTGGCTAATGACATCACAATCCAGTTCAGTCCTGGCACAGCCAAGGCACAGAATGCATTGGAAGAGGAGAAATAGAAATATTGTATGTTTCTCCTCTCTCTACGCTCTCTCAGTGCTGACTGACAGGTAGAAGGGGCAGGGCTTATAAGAATGACTGACTGACAGGGAGATAAGATGGAGGCGCTTCGAATATAGATAAATACAGAAGTGCTGATTTCTACATTTAATTTAATTTTTCAGACACCATAAACTCTTTTTTTGTTTTTTTTTAAATGTAGCTCTCCTGGGGAGAGAGAGTTATCCTTTTAATTCATGGTTGTTTTCCTATTTTTTGTGTTATATTTGAGGTTTAATGGCTTTGCAGTTGTAAGCGCTAATCTGAGCTGTCTTCGCGCAGGTCTCTTTTCGCTGTCCGGAAACTCAGTCCTGTTATTGGTGGCGTATCGGAAACGATCTATACTCAAACCTGCTGAATTCTTCATTGTCAACCTTGCAATTAGCGACCTCGGCATGACCCTCACTCTGTTTCCATTGGCCATTCCTTCGTTGTTTGCGCACAGGTATTTCATTGGCTAATGAAGGGCGACCATGGATCTCTCAAATCCTAATTGTTACAATTTATCACACTGATTAAACCTGTGTATTTAATGGTGATCACAATAATACATTTATTAAATAAATTGGTTTCACACTGAACCTGTCTTAGGGCGACTTCTGCATTTAAACAGTATTTAAGTCAAAGAAAATAATTTAATAAACTTGATTTTTATTTATTTGTTTATTTCTTTCTTTTTGCATTTGAACTGACAGCTTATATTAAATAATTCAATACAGTAGTAGTGTACAAACTGGAGGGCAAGAGGGTGACAAAATGACATCGCCGTAGGGTGAGGGGACCAGGGCACTCTCTACACTTAATAAAAATTCATTTATGGTGGTCTTACTGCAGTTAATCATTAACCCTGGTAGTCCGGTGAGGTGTAATAATCACCGTTGGTCCAGCAGTAGTTAGTAATAAATCCCTGGTGGTCCGATGGGGTGTAATAATCCCGATTGGTCCAGCAGTAGTTAGTAATTACTCCCTGGTGGTCCGGTGGGGTGTAATAATCCCTGTTGGTCAAGCAGTAGTTAGTAATAAATCCCTGGTGGTCCGATGGGGTGTAATAATCCCGATTGATCCAGCAGTGGTTAGTAATTACTCCCTGGTGGTCCGGTGGGGTGCAATAATCCCGGTTGGACCAACAGCAGTTAGTCATTACTCCCTGGTGGTCCGATGGGGTGTATCAATCCCGGTTGGCCCAGCGTCAGTTAATGAATCTTTGGTTGTCTGGTGTGGACCTATTGGCCTCCACGTTCCTGTCCAGAATTCCAGAATTCATACCGCCCAATGTGGCACCCAGACCATTTCATTGAGATAAGGCAGTCTGGCTGCCTATCGTGTCCCTTTAAACAGCTTCTTCACACTAAAAATACAATATGACTTCAAATAAATGAATAAATACAGATTAGACTCGAGGGACGGATCACATTATTAACCAACCCCAATTTGGCTATTTTGTCATAAAATTTGAAATATCCTGAGCATTCTCACTTTCATATGCACTTCAAGCATCGTAACATAAGGCGATGAATTTAATTTATGTTACTTTGATAAATGGGAATAAAAAATGTACGCAGTAAATATCTTCGGCAAATAGTGTGTTTGAATGACACAGTGCATTTAAATTACCAATGTGTGTGCTGACGCTGAATGCAACAACTTGACGCATTTAACACAGGGAAAATTGTGTCTGTCTGACAGCTTAGGTAGGTTGACCGAACTGCAAAAAATGGGTGTATGTCAGAAAAGAAAGGTAAGACTACAGGGACATTGTATGGACTATAACCACATGATTACGCTGAAGTGGTTTTGGTGCTTAAATTGGCCCTTTAAGGTGACACATGCCTCACTAGACCAGACACGCTTTGGCTCCACTGGCCTCGGCTCTAATTGGGATTTATTCTAATTTCATCAAACGATCCTGAACTCCAAGAAGTACATTTATTTGCCCGGATGAATTAGGATGCAGATTCTGTGATTGCAGCCTGATATCCCCCGAGACATGGAAATTAATCTGCAAACATGCTGGCGCTATCAGGAGTACGTCACTTGCTGCCTCTAGTACAAACTGAAATAGTAAACGTTCGCTATTAGTTGTTGTGTTGAGCATTTTTAATGTAAAACCTCATATTAAATTTGTTTAATCATATGCTTTAATGCACAGAGACGAACGTGATACAAATTAACTTTAATTCTCTGGATCCCTGGTGGAAACACAAGCTCAAAATTGTCTGGGAATTCGTTTTCATAGCATGAGCGCTCTCCCGCGTCGCGCACCATCACCCACCATCACTTCTCCGTCAGATCTTTAGCCAGAAAAGCAATGTTTTACAAGTTAATGTGCAGCATGTAAAGGGTGAAATTATCGCTAAGCATTTAATAGAATGTCTTTGTCTCTCCTCCCCTTCTAGGTGGCTGTTTGATAAAGTCACGTGTAAATATTACGCCTTCTGCGGCGTGCTATTTGGCCTGTGCAGTCTCACTAACCTCACAATGTTGAGCACGGTTTGCTGTATGAAGGTTTGCTACCCAACTTACGGTGAGTTTCATTTTATACCTTTACACAGTAAAAATAAAGATACTTCTGTATGTGTTTATTATTTACAGGGATCTAAAATATGTACATGGCAATAGCTTGGTGACCCAGTCGTTTAAAATAATACCATACCTCCCAAGTGACCCTGTTTAGGAGGGACAGTCCCTATTTTGTGGCTGTTACCTCCCCACCCTGAATTCATGTTACTGATAGTGAGAGTTATGTGTGCTTACCAGGGCACTTACCGTATGTATCCCTAACTATACATTTAGCAATGAATCACACACATATCTGGTCACATGTCCTTGACACAGCAGCCATTTCTTCAACAAGATGACATTCGCGGAGGCTGTACCCAAAAGTTAAAACCTTTATTTATTTTCAAAACAGAATATTGAACCCATTGAGGAATATTTATTTTTACTTTCTGTGTTCTACTTAAAGGGTTAACAAGAATCTAATAGTTAAAAAATAAAAACCATTTTTGAGGTTATAAATACACCCCCCCCCCAAATGTAGCCCAATAACTACTGATTAGAGAGGGAAGGCTGGCTCGCCAATTGTGAAATATTGTACTGTCAATTAACATAATCATTTTATGGTTCGCTTCTTACCTCCACCTCATTAGCCGGCACTTGTAATGAACGGAAATATTTCAGTTCTCCAGAGATGGGATCTGATGATGGCTGCACTGTCAGAAGATGTAAACCAAATAGAAATCAGTAATGGTTTATACCAATTAAACATTGCATTCATCGTTAATGTGATTAATTAGAAAGCTATTGAAATGCAGGTGCACCGAGAAATCGCAATTAATTAACGTCCTAATGCCTTCCTGCAATATAGCATTCTTTCATATTGGGAAGAATTCTCAGAGACTTGGCGATTTGACCGAATTGGGCTGATCCGGTGCATTTCCAAATTTCACAATAGCCAGAATACCCAAATGACAATAGCCAGGCCAATTCACTTCATTCGGAATTCGTTTTGTGGAGCTTACGGCTAGTAGCCACTGCCACTTAACACCGGCTTTGGAGCACTCATTTACAGTTTGAGTGGATGTAGTTTTTTGTTAAGGGGATACTAGAGACACCCTTTCCCCTTCATTTTTAAGCTTCCCTGGCAATGTTTGTTTCGATCTGAATTTTCAAACCTTAATACATTTTTTTAGAACCAAAACTTTTTACTGCACACAAGTTTATTTCTTCCAAATAATATAACCAATGAAGGACATGTTACCAATCTAAATATATAATATAAGAATACATTTTACCGAGCTAGGACCGTGTGTATCATTTTTGGCACCTGTCTATAAAGGTTATAGGTCCCCATTCTAGGTGGACATGTCTGGACTTGGTTTTGGATCCATGTTTGATGTCACACCTTCCCCAATGTTTATATAAGAGTGAATAAGGTGATACTATTGGGCCCCAGCTGTATGTTATATTGGTCTGGCAAACTCCTGTGCAATACATGGCATTCAATATACTAGCTATAACATTGTCCGTTGCTTTATCCAGGAAATAAATTCTCTTTGTCACATTCCCGAATCCTGCTACTTTGTGTCTGGGCCTATGCATTCGTATTTGCAACGGCTCCATTGGCTGATTGGGGGAGTTACGGACCAGAGCCATACGGTACGGCTTGCTGTATTGACTGGAAAGCCTCAAACCGAGAACACAGGGCCATTTCCTACACAGCATCCCTGTTCGTATTCTGTTACATCATTCCCTGCTCCCTGATACTTGTATCCTACACCCTGATACTCCTGACTGTAAAAGGCTCCAGGAAAGCCGTACGGCAGCATCTCTCCCCCCAAACCAAGGGAAATGGCGTCCACTGCCTGATTGTAAAGGTTTGTAACTTTCATTATTGAACGTAGTATGTGTTTAGATCCTGGATGGAATGAGAAGGGAGCTGGGGAGATCTAGATTGAAGGCAAATCCAAATAGTGCTTTTATTCAGTTGGCTAATTCACCAGTCTCTGTGAGGTGTTTCAAATTCAGGGCTGCAGGTTTCATTCCCAGCTGTGTCTGTTCGATATTTTATTCTTTCAATCAGTCATCAATAATAAATGTATACCCTGAATATATTAAAAAAAAACTAATAGAAAATCTTATTGTAATCCGTATGTTTAAGAAAGATGGTTCCTATCGATAATTAAATTTGACCAGTGACATGTTATTCCTAAACTATGAATGCGCATGTTATCTAAGCAGTGTTAACAGTAGTGTCTGATAACAAACTTCCTTTCTGATAACATAACCTCCTGTATGGATCAAGAGAAAGCTTAGTTTTACGTTGCTAGGATTGTCCTTATTTGAATATCAGCATTCTCCTTGTGTGAATGAAGGATTAAATTCCACACTATTTGTATATTTTAAAATGATTCACTAATAAATAAAAATAGCTAATTCCTATTCTAACTCAGCTGGGAAATAATTCCTTATATCCACCTCATTTTCTGTGAAATAATATGAAAACACTTTCTTTTAGAGATGTGTAACGGGGAACAAAATTGTTTCGACTTGTTAATGTTCTAATTTCAATTTGTCTCAAATTCAGAAAATATCGATTTAGACTAATCAAATTTTCTCTAAAAAAATGAGTAATTTCCAAAATTGAGACACCCACCATTCCCTATGTGGAATGAATAAAGGTGGCAAGAATCGCTAATTTGCGATTCTTGCGTAAGATTGACGTAGAGTTACCAAATACCAAATAAGAGAAATATTAACTAAACAGCACCATAATTTGTGTGCAAATCCCGTGTATGGGTACCAGTTTAGTGACCTGTTAAACTGCCGAAAGATCAAAATTTGGAAAACCCTTTATCGTGTGCCCTCCAGCTGTTTAGTAAATAACTTCCTAGTTTGCTATCCTCCTCAAAAGGAATGGATCTGAAATAAAGAAGGGCGAGGCGAGGGAGGTGCGGGTGGACAGGAAAATGGGCCTCAATGCTATAGACTATAACAGGGCAAGTAGAGAACACGTAAGACCACTGAGAAGTAGTCAAGTTGAGAGGGGATAGCAGCATGGACCAGCACCTTAGCTGCATCCAGTGTTCAAAAGGGGCGGATGCGGCATTGACTTGGAGGGAGACAGACACACGAGTAGCAACACTTGAGGGAGGGAAGGCCAGAATTTTTGTTATGTTTAAGGAAGTGAGCAGCCATCCAGTTAAAAATAGCAGAGAGACAGTCAGAGACATGAGTCAAGAGGGACAGAGAGAGATCAGGAGAGGACAGATAGATTTGCGTGTCATCTGCATATAAATGATAATGGAGCTGATGAGTTTACCAAGGGAGCCAGTATAGATAGAGAACAGCAGGGGAACCTTGGGGAACGCCCACAGAGAGAGGTTGGGAGGAAGAGGCAGAGCCAGAAAAAGAAACACTGAAAGAGCACTGGGAGAGGTAGAGGAGCACCAGAAAAGAGCAAAGTCTCATAAAACGAGATTACAGAGGATGAGCAGAAGTTCAAGTTATTGAAGATCAACAGTGTTAAAAGCAGAAAAAAGGCCTAGGAGAATTAGGAGAGAATAGTGACCACTGGATTTAGCCGTAATTAAATCATTGGATAATTTGGACAGGGCCTTTTTACCAGGGTGACGTGCAGAATCCAGAGTGAAGTGGGTCAAGTAGAGAGTTGGATTCAAGGAAGTCTGTCAATCATGCATACACAACGTCGCATACCTCTCAAGGATCTTGGAGGCAAACGGCAGTAGTGAGATAGGGCGGTAGTTGGATGTGGAATTAGGGTCAAGGTTGGGTTTATGGCTGCATGCTTGAAGCATTAAGGAAATATGCCAGAGGAGAGGGAGAGATTGAATAGTTTAGTGAAGAGCAGAGCAATAGAAGGAGACAAAGCGCGACTGAGATACGATGGAATATGATTGATGGAACACGTGGAGGGGTGGGAGCTCCTGAGCAGAGCAGTTGTGAGTGAACATAGAACAGAGGAGGGAGCAGGGTTTGGGGACGTTTTGGCATGAGTAAGATAAAGTAAGATATACATGGGTCAGCCCGGCGTTATACGGTGGTAGAGGCTGGTAATGTGGTGATATCCTCAATTTGAGGAATGAAACATTTACAAGACACAAGTTAAAACTATAAAGCTACTAGCAAATTGACTTGCGTAATAAAAGGCCTTGTTTTATTTCTTTTTATTTCTTGCCACCTTTAAGTCACATTGTTCTTTTTTTGTAGCTGAGTGTTGCGGTTTGTATTGGATTTCTGTTGGCCTGGACGCCTTATGCCATAGTCGCCATGTGGTCAGCGTTTGGAGATGCAGCACAAGTGCCACCAATGGCGTTCGCCCTGGCTGCGGCATTTGCCAAATCTTCAACACTCTACAACCCTATGGTGTACCTTCTACTGAAGCCCAACTTTCTAAATGTTTTAACTAAAGACCTGTTGGTGTTTCAGACCATGTGCTCGATGGCTTGTGGAAGCTGTAAGTCATCAGTTTGGAGACCTCAATGTATTCGCACAGAGGGCAGGAGCTCGGCAAAGCTTGCAAGCCATTTTAGGGAAAGTCAAAGAACGAACAGTAGCTGTACTGATACATTCGAGTGTTTCCATAACCACCCGAGGTGCTGTAGTGTGGGGCCCATTGAGGTCAGTCCACCAGTAGCTATGTCTATGGTCAAAAACCCAACTAATAACTTTGGATCAGCATCAGCTGTACGCCTTGTGGTATATTCCTCAAGGTCTAGATCAGTTGAGGAGACTATCGAGAAACCATTGGGCTCATCGCCACCAGACTTTATGTAAGACTTTATCTGAACATCTGGAAAATATCAATGATCTTTTAGCATTTTAAATACTTTTGGCCATTGCCTCCGGATCAAATGGTTTTAGGTGGACTAGGTTTCAAGAATTTACATTCACAAGACTGAATGAGTCAATCTCTGTTATACGTTAAAAAATAAATAATATGAACTACAATTTTTTTACCCATTGTCTGTCATATCTCAACGTACCACTAGGTGTCACTGGCACAGCATGTGTGTGCAATAGTAATGTTATTTCTATAAAATGGTTGATTTTCTTTGCTTTTTTTTTTGTTTCCACTTGCATTTATCTCCTGTTTTTCGTAAATGTTTTCCTTTCTGTGCTTTTACACATAATTTTTTTTTTTATCAGATTATTCCAATGATCTCCTTTCATCACTGATTTTATATATAAAGAACTGAACTGCTGATAAGTTAATGCTATCTTTTATTTTAAAGGCAGCTTTCACTGCAGCTCCTCACACGTCCTATAACACACACTACCTGAGCAGCACGCTCACTGCAGCTCCCCACATCTCCTATAACCCACACTACCTGAGCAACACACTCACTGCAGCTCCCCACACCTCCTATAACATACACTACCTGAGCAGCCCGCTCACTGCAGCTCCCCACACCTCCTATAATACACACTACCTGAGCAGCACTCACTGCAGCTCCCCACGCCTCCTATAACCCACACTACCTGAGCAGCACACTCACTGCAGCTCCCCACACCTCCTATAACACACACTACCTGAGCAGCACACTCACTGCAGCTCCCCACACCTCCTATAACCCACACTAACTGAGCAACACACCCACTGCAGCTCCCCACACCTCCTATAACAGACACTACCTGAGCAGCACACTCACTGCAGCTCCCCACACCTTCTATAACCCGCACTACCTGAGCAGTGCGCTCACTGCAGCTCCCCACACCTCCTATAACAGACACTACCTGAGCAGCATGCTCACTGCAGCTCCCCACACCTCCTATAACAGACACTACCTGAGCAGCACACTCACTGCAGCTCCCCACACCTCCTATAACCCACACTACCTGAGCAGACTGCAGCTCCCCACACCTCCTATAACTCACATTACCTGAGCAGCACACTCACTGCAGCTCCCCACACTACCTGAGCAGCACTCACTGCAGCTCCCCACGCCTCCTATAACCACACCACCTGAGCAGCACACTCACTGCAGTCCCCACACCTCCTATAACCCACACTACCTGAGCAGCACACTCCCTCCAGCTCCCCACAACTATAACCCACACTACCTGAGCAGCACGCTCACTGCTCCCCACACCTCCTATAACACACACTACCTGTGCTGCACACTCACTGCAGCTCCCTACACCTCCTATAACCCACACTACCTGAGCAGCACACTCACTGCAGCTCCCCACACCTCCTATAACCACACTACCTGAGCAGCACACTCACTGCAGCTCCCCACACCTCCTATAACACACACTACCTGAGCAGCACACTCACTGCAGCTCCCCACACCTCCTATAACCCACACTACCTGAGCAGCACACTCACTGCAGCTCCCCACACCTCCTATAACACACACTACCTGAGCAGCACGCTCACTGCAGCTCCCACACCTCCTATAACCCACACTACCTGAGCAGCACGCTCTGCAGCTCCCCACACCTAACCCATACTACCTGAGCAGCACGCTCACTGCAGCTCCCCATACCTCCTATAACCCACACTACCTGAGCAGCACGCTCACTGCAGCTCCCCACACCTCCTATAACTCACACTACCTGAGCAACACACTCACTGCAGCTCCCCACACCTCCTATAACCCACACTACCTGAGCAGCACGCTCACTGCAGCTCCCACACCTCCTATAACCCACACTACCTGAGCAGCACGCTCACTGCAGCTCCCCACACCTCCTATAACCCACACTACCTGAGCAGCAGCTCACTGCAGCTCCCACACCTCCTATAATACACACTACCTGAGCAACACACTCACTGCAGCTCCCCACACCTCCTATAACACACACTACCTGAGCAGCACACTCACTGCAGCTCCCCACACCTCCTATAACTCACACTACCTGAGCAGCACGCTCACTGCAGCTCCCTCACACCTCCTATAACACACACTACCTGAGCAGCACGCTCACTGCAGCTCCCCACACCTCCTATAACACACACTACCTGAGCAGCACGCTCACTGCAGCTCCCCACACCTCCTATAACTCACACTACCCGAGCAGCACACTCACTGCAGCTCCCCACACCTCCTATAACTCACACTACCTGAGCAGCACGCTCACTGCAGCTCCCCACACCTCCTATAACCCACACTACCGGAGCAGCACATTCACTGCAGCTCCCCACACCTCCTATAACGCACACTACCTGAGCAGCACACTCACTGCAGCTCCCCACACCTCCTATAACCCACACTACCTGAGCAGCATGCTCACTGCAGCTCCCCACACCTCCTATAACACACACTACCTGAACAACACACCCATTGCAGCTCCCCACACCTCCTTAAACCCACACTACCTGAGCAGCATGCTCACTACAGCTCCCTACACCTCCTATAACACACACTACCTGAGCAGCACACTCACTACAGCTCCCCACACCTCCTGTAACACACACTACCTGAACAGCACGCACACGGCAGCTCCCCACACCTCCTATAACCTACACTACCTGAGCCGCACACTCACTGCGGCTCCCCACACCTCCTATAACACACACTACCTGAGCAGCACACTCACTGCAGCTCCCCACACCTCCTGTAACCCACACTACCTGAGCAGCACACTCACTGCAGCTCCACACACCTCCTGTAACCCACACTACCTGAGCAGCACACTCACTGCAGCTCCACACACCTCCTATAACACACACTACCTGAGCAGCACATTCACTGCAGCTCCACACACCTCCTATAACACACACTACCTGAGCAACACACTGATTTTAGAAATATACCCAATGAGAAGACATAATTTAATGCATGCAAGTTTTCATTTGGGGTATATCTACTAAACAGTGATTTTAGTTATTTTGTATTTGGGCAGTGGAGTGTCCCTTTTAATTAATAGTTATTTAAAGTCCCTAATATTAAGTTAATATGAGCCCCCAAAGGAACATTGCTAATTAATAACACTTCTTTAAAAGCATTGTAATAAAACTTTTATCAGGCACAAAATTAATCCACATATAACCACTTAATAAAATCTTCTACAGTTAAATGCACACAGATAAAATTATGAAATATAAAATGAATTACAGATCAAGACCAGGAATATTAGGCAACCCCGGTCATAAATACAATATCTCCATTTTTTTCCTCCCTTGGGTCAATAGATTTGAGTATAGTATGTTTTCTGGCACGCTTCAACGGACACCCCTAAAACACTTTATCCCGCTATTAAAAACATTTTTTTTAAATAAATAAATGCATATTATTATTATTAATTGTAATTTTTTTGAGGTGGGGCATTGGAGTGCCTCTTTAACTGAAGGATCGCCAACATCCCACTTTCCTTTACAGAGCAATGCCTTGCTATGCCAGAAGCTTAGGGTCAGCATTACGTACCTTTTAAGATGCTTTGAGATATTACATTGTCTACTAGCAATACAAATTACAATAAAAAATTATTCTGATAATTTTATAAAACGTAGCAGATACAAACATGTTCATACCAATATAATTTAGTTTTGATTCATACCGTTTAGTTAGAAAATTAGATTATGTTTAGCGCAATAATTTTTATGTTTTTTCATCTAAGTTTCTATTTTTAAATGTTAAAGTTCTAATTTTTGTTTTGGTGTCAGTGGAGCCATATGGTTAGCCATTCAAACGCTGGCAAAATATTGCTTTTCCACAATCTCCTGGAATGAAGGCCTTTTGGTGGGATCTGCCTCCCAACACCTCAGCATTACTTTGTGGATATCCTGAGTTCCTAACGGTGGCATAGGCAACTTGTACCCATCAGCAAGCTTTTACAGTACATCTTTCCTTGTTAATCCTTAAAAAAAATTAAAAACAAACCAATAAATGATGTAGTAGGCACTTGAATGAGGTCACTATAAGTTCTTGGGCTGATCTTGTGAATGTACCAACTAGGTCTGGTCACCACTCCAGACGTTCCCACTGTCTTAGAAAGACCACAGGCTACACAATTCCCTATCACAGTTCTGTACAGCTGAAACACATACAGTGAGAATGGTTGTGTTCTGAAGGCACTTTTTAGGAATCAAATGTCTTATAATACCAGCACATTTTCAATTTTAGTTTTTTTCTCCAAGTTTTATCAAATTGCTATTTGTCTTTCTCAAAATATGTAAAAAAAAATATATATAGTAACAAATATTATACCATATATATATAATTTTGATTACAAAGTATGTCAATAACGAATTATGAAAGCATGAAAATCAGTAAGTAAATTAGAATGTAAACTTTTGTTTGATATCCATAAACAACAGTTTTACATGAAATACAGTTTTGTCCTAACTACCTACCCTCCTAGTTATCCATCCAGGAGCCTCAAAAATGGCAGTAAAGCAATGGACACCCAGTTTAATGAATTTCTTATTTCCCTGGGTGGTCCTATTCCTTCTCGTGCCTGTAGTTGTTGCAGCCATTTTTAGGCTGACCATAGTTTATGTCTGAGCCCGTCATAAGTCAGTAACCATCAGTGGTAACCACTCTGAATTCTGGACAATAAATGGTGTGAGTCGCAGGATACCAGCTGTGGATAGAGCTAAGAGAGGCTGCTGGACAGGGGATAATGTTTAGACTTATCTTACCTTTGTAAGGTTCCTGCCCAAGAGTAAAAATCTCATACAGGACAATCCCAAAGGACCACACTTCCGATTTATTAGAGAACATGACATCATAAATACATTCTGGTGCTGTCCATTTCACAAATAGCTTCTCCATGCGGCATCTGCCTTTTTAAAAAAGAAATAGGGAAAAATTTTAAAAAATGGTCTTTAGACTCACACATTCACAGATCTGTACCTTGTGGGAGGGACACCACGTATACTCCTCTCACAAAATAATTGCTCCTTGTATTAGGTTATTACTTATCCCCCTATTATATAACTACTCCTCCTTTTATGTAATTTCTTTCTCTCTAATTCCAGCTGATCTCTCGATTGGCAGCTTCAGAAACAGTAGTGAGCAGAACATTGTTTCGATCAACACAAGGGAGTGAAATGCGTGGTCCGAGGAGCTAGAAGAAGAATGCAACTAACTTTGTATTTGTATCTATAAGTTTATTAACAATTGCATAGTGATCGATTTGTGCTGTGTAATGTAAGCTCTGTCTTCCTGAACCCTTTGTGGAGACAGAGACCATGTATGGTCAATCGCTTTTATTTTTTCCTCCTTTCATCTCCCCCAAAATACACAAAACAAATAATTTTGTAATGCTCTACATGTGTATGCATATCTCGTACCATTTGTACTTCTGGGGTTACTGGAATAAATCATTGGAGCATTGATTGATTAGACGTTATTGGTCTGAGTCTGTCACTATGTATGGTGTGAGTTTAGTACTCAAAGTGTTCTGTGTACCAAGGAGGGTATGGGGTGAACTTGGAGAAGAGGGTAAGGGAATCGTCACTGAGTCTGTCTGATGCTTTGTGGAGTTATAAATTGCTCTTTTTGAATTGTTAAGTCTGAGAAATTCCTTCTTGACCCCAGAATGGCAGTCAGATTTATCCTTGGATTAAGGAGCTATTACCCTACAGTGAAAAACTATATCCTTGAATATTCTGTTTTTGCAAGTATGCATCTAATTGCTGTTTAAACACCTGCACAGACTTGGATAAAACCACTTCTTCAGGCAGAGAATTCCACATCCTTATTTCTATTACAGTAAAAAAAAAAAAAAAACTTTTCTTCTTTTGTCTTTGACTAAATCTTCTTTCTTCCAGTTGTATAATATAGCATATTTTATGTTTTTATTGACTATTTATGGATGTCTGGATTGACATAAGTAACAGATGGTACCAATAAGTCACAATGCTTTCTTTGTCTGAGAAGTCTGAAATGTGGATTGGGGGGTCTTGTCCTTATATGGCTAGGGTTATATTCTGATGTTATTATGGTCATATCTATATAGAATAGGGGACAAAGGACCACAAGGTCTTGCTGTTGCTGCTTGGGGTTGTTTTTCCCCAGCTGTCTAACTATGTAGACCCAAACTCTCCCTTCAGTAGTCCAGCAATTACCATCTGCTGTTGAACATCCATTATCCTGTACAGGGCCGGATTAACATAGGGCCTGATGGAGCTGCAGCTCCAGGCCCAGGCCCAGGCCCATGGAATAGGTCCATTGAATTATTAAAAAAAAAAAAAAATTTTGTTGTTTTTTTACATTTTTTTTTTCACACACTACTCTTAGGGATTCCACCTGGCTTTTATTTTATTGGCACAGCCAGTATTTGAGGCTGCCTGGTTGGTGCCAATATTGCAGTGATACTGGCAATATAAATGCTGGTATTTTTCTCAGTATAAACAAGAGATTACTATGCAATACCAGCACTGGCCAGTATGAGATTACTATGCAATACCAGCACTGGCCATACTCGCTGTATGTGGAGACAGGCAGGGATAGGAAGTTCCAGCATATCCCTCCCTGCCTATCTATACTCACTGATCTGCAGGGGTGCAGCTACAGAGAGTCCAGACAGCAACTCCCACCCTGTAGAGACAGCCTACAGCTCAGGGAAGTAAGGGATGGGGGAAAGGCTGCAAGGAGACACTGGGGACACTGGGACACTAAGGGACATTGGGAGACATTATGGCAGACACTGAGACACTAAGGGACATTGGGAGACATTATGGCAGACACTGAGACACTAAGGGACACTGGGAGACATTATGGCAGACACTGAGACACTAAGGGACACTGGGAGACATTATGGCAGACACTGAGACACTAAGGGACACTGGGAGACATTATGGCAGACACTGAGACACTAAGGGACACTGGGAGACATTATGGCAGACACTGAGACACTAACATGGGACACATTATGGCAGACACTGACTAAGGGACACTGGGAGACATTATGGCAGACACTGAGACACTAAGGGACACACTGGGAGACATTATGGCAGACACTGAGACACTAAGGGACACTGGGAGACATTATGGCAGACACTGAGACACTAAGGGACACTGGGAGACATTATGGCAGACACTGAGACACTAAGGGACACTGGGAGACATTATGGCAGACACTGAGACACTAAGGGACACTGGGAGACATTATGGCAGACACTGAGACACTAAGGGACATTGGGAGACATTATGGCAGACACTGAGACACTAAGGGACATTGGGAGACATGGCAGACACTGAGACACTAAGGGACATTGGGAGACATTATGACACAGACACATGGGGACACAGTGTCCCCATGTCTCTCAGTGCCCCCATGTCTCCCAGTCAGTGTCCCTGGTGTCTCAGTGCCCCCTAGTCTCCCAGTGCCCCCAGTCTGCCAGTGTCTCACTGTCCCCATGTCTCCTAGTGCCTCCATGTCTCCCAGTGCCTCAAGTGTCTCAATGTCCCATTGTCTCCAAGCTAGTGTCCCTAGTGTCTGTGGCCCTGGTCTCCTTGTCCCCATGTCTCCTAGTGCCCCCATATCTCAATGTCCCCATGTCCCCCAGCCAGTGTCTCTAGTGTCTGTGTCCCTGGTGTCTGTGTCCCCATGTTTTCAAGTGTCCCCTATTTTCCCAATGTCCCCATGCATCCCAGCCAGAGTCCCCTAGTCTCCCAGTGTCACTGGTGTCTCCATGTCCCTAGGTCTCCCCGTGTCCCCAGGTCTTCCCGTCTTCCTAGTGACATGGGGACCCTGGGGCATGGGGGCACCGGGAGACATGGGGCATTGAGACACTGTGATACATAGGATCACTGGGAGACCTGGGGACACGACACTAGGGGACATGGGGCACTGAGACACTGATACATAGGAACACTGAGACCTGGAGTAATCGACACATGGGGGCACTGGGAGACATGGGGCCACTGGGAGGAATCCATCTATACAGCAGAATCAAACTAAGTAGTTTTTTTGGTGATTTTACAGCATTTTCTCTTATGTCACTCCTTGTGATTTACATCATGTGATGTCACCCATACATATTTAATTATGCAAATTAGCAAGGCCGGTATGTTTTTCCAAGAAAGGTGGCAACCCTAACTACTTTTCACATACTCTTACTTAAGTATGGAAACTTAAGAGGGATGTATGGGAACAAAACTTGTGTGGATTGGCTGACAATGAAAATAGTTAAAGGGACACTAGAGTCACCAGAGCAACTACAGCTTATTCAATTTGTTCTGGTGAGTAGAATCATTACCATCAGGCTTTTTGCTGTAAACACTGTCTTTTCAGAGAAAATGCAGTCTTTACATTACAGCCTAGTGATAACTTCACTGGCCACTCCTTAGATGGCTGTTAGACATCCTTCCTGGGTCATGGCTGCCTAAAATGCATCCAAACATTCAGTATCTCCACCCTCTGCATGGAGACACTGAACTTTCCTCATAGAGATTCATTGATTCAATTATGAGGAGATGCTGATTGGCCAGGGCTGTGTTTGAATCATGCTGGCTCTGCCCCTGATCTGCCGCTTTGTCAGTCTCAGTCAATCCTATGGGGAAGCACTGTGATTGGATTAGGCCACCACTTCTAATGATGTCAGTAGACTGCTTGTTTTTCTGAGTCTAACAGCATGCAGAGTTACAGCTTCAGGCTTGAATACAGTAAGATTTTGCTATATTTACGGAGGCATGAGGGGCCCAGGGGGGGCTAGATGGTGGTGTTAACATTATAGGGTCATGAATTCATGTTTAAGTTCCTGACCCTCTAGTGATCCTTTGGTCTCTCTAACACTGTGACATGTTCCCTTTCTTCTACACTCACTACATACAGCTTTTCTCTGTCCCAGACTATATACCAGGAGCTTCTGCCTGCTAGTAAGAAGGTAAGGAGACAAGTGGACCAGCGAGTGCTGGGGTACAGTCCTTAGAAAGCGTTGAGCGAGCGCATCATTAGATGCATTTATGCCAAGTTCAGGTTACTGTCTGCATAGTATGCCCTTAGTTGGCCAGCTGCATGATTGGCAGACAGCCTGACATGCATTTATGCCAGGCTGGCCTTCTAATTCTTTGGGCATGTTCGCCCCTCTTGGCAGGTTACGTGATTTGTGTCAGTGGCACACCCTTTTCCCATGCCCATTGACTTCCTGCTTGTCTGGACACTGCTGATAGGCAGGGCCGGCGCGTCCATAAGGCGGCACAGGCGGCCGCCTTAGGGCGCACCGGCACTGGGGGCGCAAAATTCCAGTGACCGGCAGGAGGGAAGTGCTCCCTCCTGCCAGGTCACCTCCTGGATCCCCGGCGCGGCGTGCGGCTTATTTGGATGCCGAGGGAGCTCTGATCTCTCTGATGTGCTCCCTCGCAGGCTGTTTACTGATGACGTCATATTCCCGCTCCCGCGGCAGCAGTAAGCAGCCTGCGAGGGAGCACATCAGAGAGATCAGAGCTCCCTCGCCACCTCGGCATCCAATTCAGCCGCACGCCTCCCAGCAGCCCCACTGGACCACCAATGAGAGACCCACGCCAGCTCTCCAGGTAGGGAGGCTGGGTGGGGAAATTTAATTTAGATTATTAATGTGTGTGTGTGTGTGTGCATGTGAGTATGTGTGTCTGTGAGTTTGTATGGTTCTGTCAGTGTGTGTGAGTGAGTGTGTCTGTCAGTGTGTGAGTATGTGTGTCTGTCAGTGTGTGAGTATGTGTGTCTGTCAGTGTGTGTGTGAGTATGTGTGTCTGTCAGTGTGTGTGTATGTGTGTCTGTCAGTGTGTGTGTATGTGTGTCTGTCAGTGTGTGTGAGTGAGTGTGTCTGTCAGTGTGTGTGTATGTGTGTCTGTCAGTGTGTGTGAGTGTGTCTGTCAGTGTGTGTGTATGTGTGTCTGTCAGTGTGTGTGTGACTATGTGTGTCTGTCAGTGTGTGTGAGTGTGTCTGTCAGTATGTGCGTGTGTGCATGTGAGTACGTGTCTGTCAGTGTCTGTGAGTTTGTGTGTGTGTGTGTCAGTGTGTGTTTGTCAATGAGTCTGTCAGTGTTTGTGTGCCTGTCAGTGTGCGTGTGAGTGTCTGTCAATGAATGAGTGTGTCAGATAAGTGAGTCTGGCTGTCAGAGATGTCTGTGTATTTGTCACTGAGTGTGTGTGACTGTCAGTGTTTATACACCCCTGACTGTAGCGTGGCCAAGCGGAGTGTACCGTGGTACAGGAACTTCGCTCCGCTCAGCCACGCTACAAGAAAGGTAGGAGGCACACCAGGAAGGGGAGGGGACCACTATGGGGGTGGGTGGCGCACCAAGGGACAGTGTCTGTGAGAGATACCCTAAGGAGAGATACCCTAAGGTACAGGAAAAGGAGGGAGGGGGAGAGGAACACTAAGCGACAGGGAACAGTGGGGGTAGGGGAGAGGAACACTAAGGGACAGGGAAAGGAGGGGGGAAGGGAAAGGAACACTGAGGAACAGGAAAAGGAGGAGAGAGGGGAGAGGTACAGTAAGGGTCAGAGAAGGGAGGGGACCATTAAGGGACAGGGAGAGGGGCTGGATGTGAAAGAAACACACACCGGGGCTTGAGAAGGAAAGAGACACAAAGGGGCTGGGAGAAAAGGAGTCACACAAAGGGGCTGGGAGGAGTAAGACACAAAATGTGGGAGGATGTAAGAGTCATACAAAGAGGAGAGATAGGAGACACACAAAGGCAAAGGGAGTCAGATATTTAAAAGACGGGATAAGAAACACAAAAGGAAGGTTAAGAGGCACATGGGTGAAGATGTTTTTGGGGGGGGCGGAAAAATGCATCTTCGCCTATGTACCCAAAATTCTTTGCACCGGCCCTGCTGATAGGGGTTATGGATTTACTTGAAAGATTAAAACATAAATTAGAGAGAGATTAGCCTAGGGTATGTGTTTTCTTATAGCTGCTGTTTTCTTTCTCTCCAGCACCATCTCCATCAGATACATGACGCTTGGGAGTGTTTTACTGTTTTTGGTCGATATGATTCTGTAATTAGGCCCGTCATAATTGTCAGCACCAGGCCCACTGGGCTCTTAATCTGGCCCTGGGGGGAGTGCCTCTTGCATGGGGACTGTCATTAAAGGCCAGTTGTGGCTGCCATTAAACAGATTCCTTTTACCCTTCATGAATTTTAGGCTCATGTTCGGGGGATTGGAGAGCTATATTCACTATGGGGTTTGCTATAATCACTATACTCCCTTGGATCCCAATGATTGCCTCAGGTGGCCCGGGAGCCTCCTCCGCCGTAGTGGGGCTTCCCTGGGTCTCTCTCCCCTGTCCCCCCCACCCTCTGTCACTCCGCTTTCCCTTTGTCCCCCTGGCTCTTTCTGTTCTGCCCCACCCCCTCCTTCGGTTTTCTCCCCTGCCCCTATACTGATCTGGTCCTGGCCCCCCCCCCCCCTTTTTTGCTTTCCGGGGGGCCCCAACTCCTCACCCGGTGTCCCCCTGATTCTTCTGTTTGTCGGTCCCTCTGTTCTCCCCTGTACCCCCTCCCTCTGTTCTCTCGTGCCCCCCCTCCCTCTGTTCTCTCGTGCCCCCCCGTTCCTCTCCTGCCCCTCTCCTCTGTTCCTCTCCTCTGTGTCTTCCCCCTTTTCTTTTCCTCCCCTGCTCTTACCTGTTCCTGTCTCTTCTGTTCTTCTCTCTGATGGTTACTTACTTCGGCTGCCTCCTGGTGGAGCGTGGGCTCACTCCTCTACCTGCCCTTCTCACAGGTCCTGGCTGCAGTTCATAGAAATGCCTAGCAGGTGGCGCCTGGAGCACCTTGGAAGAACACAGTGGAAGCTGAATTGAGTGTCTTCTGCTTGGACCTTCTGGCGGGTAAATACGTTGTTCCTTCTTTATCCAGTCGGGTCCCTTGGGGGTTCCTTTCAGAGCTGGGGGGGGGGTCTTAGCGCAAAAAAAAAAAAGAATAAATAAAATGAACAATACAAAATGGAATACTTGAAGACAAAAAAAAAAAAACGGGGAGGAATAGATAAATAAAATAAAAAGTACAAGATAAAATTAATACAAAAAAAAGGAAAAAAGTACAGGATCACCACTGTATGATGTGTTATAGTACACTTTCCTGCAGCGTCCTGCGCAGCTAATAGCGTGCAGGCGTTTCCTGTGACTGAGGTACGCTAGTATGGCCCGCCTGGCTTGCGCTTGCCGCGGCATACTAGGGAGCGGGTTGGTGAAGGGGTTTTATTAGAGATATGTTCCCCCTGCCATTGGAGGGTCGTGGGAAGATACCGTAATCGGATACACCCCATGACGCGTGGGCATGGTGTCCGGGCATCGTATTTTCTGGATAGCATGGTCGGGGAGAGGGCTCCCTGAGAATGCTCCGTGAGGTTCTGCTGTCAGGACACTCTCTGGGACGCATGTTGCTGCGCTACCCGTGGGCTCTCCTGGGTAAGCTGGGCTTTGCCTGTCAATGTTGCCCTTCGGGCTGTATTGGGTTTCCTTCTGGGCCTCCATTAACGGTGGCTTGTGCAATCAGGCCCCCTAAGTCCCTTCCACTGACTTCCACCTGTTGCCGCTGCAGCAGGTTTGGGTTTTTTTGGGGCCATTTTTGGCTCTCAATGGTGTGCTGACTCTTATCCAGTAGGCTGGCAATCATCGGGGCTCTTGCAGACTCTCGCTGTCTTGGAGCTTCCCCATTCTGGTGGCATGGTAGGCGTTGGGTACCCAACTCCTGGACGGGTGGGTAGTTCTTCCATTGAGACAATCGTGGGGTGGTGCAGGCTGTCTATATCATGTGACAGTACCCTCTACCCCGGTGGTACCCTGGTTGCGGCGCCTGGCTCGGCGCTGCTTGAGTCTGGAAGTGTCTGGTCAGGCAGGGTTTTTCCCGCGGGTTCTATCTTGTTCACGGTAGGACGTACTTCAGGTGGGGGGCTCCACGGGGCAAAATTATAAGGCAGTGGAGATATGGTCGCTCGGTCTAGCGACTGATGAAGCTGGTCCATGGGTCGATCTCTGAGGCGATGTGGGGCCTGCTACAGTAAAGCGTGAGTGATTGTGCCGGATGAGAGCATTTCCTTGGTTGGTTCCTGTTCATGTTACGGTCATCTGCAGGTGGGAGGGTGTTTTAGTGGATTGAGTAAGCATCGGAATGGACTTCCTTCAGGCTTTCGCCGCTTGACAGCTGTTGTTTTTGGGTAAGGTACGTTGGTAGCAGTTGGCTGATTCATCAATAGAATCTCTTCATTCTTGGACGTTGCGGGGTTTACATGACCGGGCCCTTCTGCTTTCTCCTGAGGTAGGTGGAATGCACAAGTTAATGGTTAGGCTCCTAACAGGATGTACTAGGTTCCCGGGATAGTTGGAAATATACCGTTCCCATCGGGGGAGATGCCGGGTTCCGACATTTGTCCTTTTTTTCCTTAGGTGAGTGCTCTTCCGTCCCCTGGATTATTCGGCCTCTTCACCCCTTGTTTGGTTCTCGAAGACGGGTTTTCTCTCCTGCGTCCATTTTGTTGGGGTGTTCCACTTGCGGCTCGAATTCCTGGGGAAGGATGGTGGGGAGTTCAGGGGGCATTCATTCCGGTTAGGGGTGGCTACAGGCGCCGTCAGGCTTGTTGTGCCTGCGCCAATGGTTCAAAGGGCTCGAATGGTGGGAGTCAGGGTGGCAGGTTCCTTAGGTTCACCCTGACGGTCTCCGGAGTTGATTTCTCTCCGCAGTTACGGTTTCCCCCCGGAATAGGGATGGTAGGTTGCTCCTATGTAATTTGGGCCAGGAGGCAGGGGGCGAGTGGTGGATCTTATGCCTTCTTGAGCGGAGGTTCGGGGGGTCTGTTACCAAATACATGAAGGGGTGTGGCTCCGCCCCGTCGGTGGTCAGCTGTCCCGCCTCCTGGGGTGTACCAGGGGTTTTTGTCATCCATCCGGGTGGAAGGACCTGGATTCGGTGATTGTTTGGGATTTGGGTTGATCTTAAATCTGGACATGTTACGCATTCTGTTTTCTTCCCAGAGGTTCTCAGGGGCTGAGGCTATCGCCCGTTCCTGTTGGCAGTGCACTCAGCAATATGAGTGCCCTGGTGCGCTGCCGTCGGAAATCGGACAAGATGGGTTTCTAGATTTGTCTTGGGGGTTTGGGGTATTCCAGTTCGCCTTGGGGTTTTGAGCGGGACGGGGCCTGGTTATCTTGAGGGGATGGATGCGCTTGCTGGAGGTCGGACTAGGCCTATGTTAATCTAGCGCTGCAAGAAGTGGTGGAAAAGGCCATGGCTAACTGTGGTGGGGTCCCCCGCAGATTTTAAGTGTATAACAGCAGGGTTGTGGTGGGGGTATGTCCTTGGCAAGGACGGTTGGGTCACTGTATAACACTATGTGTGGAGGTATATATGTATATTTGTTACTTTATGTTTATTTATGTCTAACGTTTTTGGTTACAGAAAAAGAAGAGATTTAATAAATAAAGTTATGGATGTGTTATGCAGTAATTTAGTTTGTGATAATAAATGATGTGGCCTGTTTCATCCATACTAAGTTGTCATTATTGGGGGGTTCAATGGGGCTAGTTTATGTACTATGCTGCATCGCGATTCCCCACTACGTACATACATAGAACAGAGCTTCAATCAACCTGCCCTCTGAGCATTATCAGAATTGTAGTCTACCATGACTTTACATTGCAAGTCATTTTAATTGATTCATAAAAATTAATAATTAAAAATGGCACTAGAATTACCATCACCACAAATACTACTACTAATAATAATAATTATTATTATTATATGAATACCTGAGATGCTCTGGAGATTTGCCCTCCATGCTTCTCTCTGGGGTGCATATAATTGGACAATGCCCGGTACTATGAATGAGGTGTTTAAGAGGCTAATATAAGATGCTGTACGAGGTCTTCTAATACAAGCAGCCAGAAAGCCGGCACTTGTTCCATGCAGGGTGTGCGATGGCAGCCATCCATACAGAACTAACTTTCATTGTCCCTTATTTCATTGTAAGCTGCTGAACTACGTCACACCCCCGCAACAACACACAGCACACAACCCTACTTACCTAACCACAACACTGCAAGTTAAAATAAGACAACAGCACAAGAGTTCGCTGCAGACAGGGTTATGATTAGAATACATACCCAAAGGGTACGCGTGTTTTTACATAAAAAAAAAACATGCTATTGCTAATCATAATTATTTTTTAGAAAGAATTATGAGAATAATCTTGAGAACTGGATGTGAGATTTAGCACTGTGTCAGTACTATTCTAAAGGTCCTGATGCTGTGCTGACACAGTACCATCGCTATTTATGATACTTACATTTGTTTTCTTAGTTTCTCAGAGTCCACCTTCGCGTGATCATTAGCGTCACCCATGCATCCATTGGCACCATCGCAGTTATCAAACTTGGCGTTTATTTTGTTTAGCCCGCTACCGTCCTCCAACATGCTTGCCTCCCTACTGACTGGGTAATGATTGGGTTGAACCGTTGTCACCAGCCAATCGCTTGGCTGCACTTTAAAATGATGGTAAATGAAATAATCAACGTCCTCCTCGGCATTGTGATATTTTATTAGACTCAGGAATCTGTCAAAGAGCCAAATGGGTTCATTCAATTCACTCATCTTGAGTGAAGATACATTGTATAGTGTGTCTGACTTCTCCTGTGTTACCAAAGAAGCAATGGCTCGTTTTACTCAGCCTTTGAACAATGAGAAATCAAGGAAGGGACGTGCAGATACAGGAAACTCCGTGGCTTTCTGAGACGAGAGACTTGTGGTGGGTTAGAAAGCTGGCATCCAGTACTCTGATAGAATGAAGACTGCGGTCCGAATAGCTCAGACTGAATTAGATTTTACTAAAGTAATAAGTACTACAGAAAATGGAACGATAGTTAATTTTAATTATTCTTTGAAAAGCAGACAGATTTATGGAGTGCAAACAGAGATCTCAGAACTGTATGAGAACGTTTAAACCTTAAGTGACAGCCAGTCAGGATTCAGTATTAAAGGACCACTCTAGGCACCCAGACCACTTCAGCTTAATGAGGTGGTCTGGGTGCCTGGTCCAGCTAGGGTTAACCCATTTTTTCATAAACATAGCAGTTTCAGAGAAACTGCTATGTTTATGAATGGGTTAAGCATTCCCCTATTTCCTCTAGTGGCTGTCTCATTGACAGCCACTACAGGCGCTTGCGTGCTTCTCACTGTGATTTTCACAGTGAGAGCACGCCAGCGTCCATAGGAAAGCATTATAATGTGCAATGTCAATCAGCAGTGACCAAGGCCAGTAAGGTATTGTCATGCATGAAAAAGGGCATTCATTCTCGGGACAAGAATATAATTTTGCCTCTTTATAAATCACTGGTAAGACCCCATATTGAATATGCTGTGCAATTTTGGGCACCTGTTCTAAAGAAGGATATTATGGCACTAGAAAAAGTGCAGAGGCGGGCTACAAAATTAATAAAAGGAATGGAACATATCGGCTATGAAGAAAGGTTAACAAATTTAAACCTATTTAGTTTAGAAAAACGTCGCCTGAGAGGGGATATGATAACATTATACAAATATATTCGGGCCAATACAAACCATTGTGTGGAAATCTATTCACAAGCCGGACTTTACATAGGACACGAGGCCATGAGTTTAGACTGGAAGAAAGAAGATTTCGTCTAAGGCAAAGGAAAGGTTTTTTTACTGTAAGAACAATCAGGATGTGGAATTCTCTGCCTGAAGAAGTGCTTTTATCAGAGTCCATACAGATGTTCAAACGGCTACTAGATGCATACTTGCAAGAACAGAATATTCAAGGATATAATCTTTCAATGTAGGGTAATAACTGCTTGATCCAAGGATAAATCTGACTGCCATTCTGGGGTCAAGAAGGAATTTTTTTCCTAGCTTGTTGCAAAATTGTGCTTCAAACTGGGTTTTTTTGCCTTCTTTTGGATCAACAGCAAAAAACGAATGTGAGGTAGGCTGAACTTGATGGACGCAAGTCTCTTTTCAGCTATGTAACTATGTAATGCTTTCCTATGTGACCGGCTGAATTCACGCGCAGCTCTTGCCGCCCGTGCGCATTCAGCCGACGGCGAGGATAAGAGGAGGTTCGGAGGAGGAGAGCTCTCCGCCCAGTGCTGGAAAAAGGTAAGTTTTTACCCCTTTTCCCCTTTCCAGAGCCGGGCGGGAGGGGGTCCCTGAGGGTGGGAGCACCCTCAGGGCACTATAGTGCCAGGAAAACGAGTATGTTTTCCTGGCACTATAGTGGTCCTTTAAAAATGCTAAGGCTGATTAAGGTTCTGCTGTGTTGACCTTGTCTTTCCTGCAGGTGGCGATGGTGCACTTCCAACATTTCTTCCAAATGTTAATGCTAGGAAGTTTCAAAGCATGGACAATGACCTTGGAATTCACCCATATATTTATAGTCCTGTGCTTTTTATTATATTCTAATCTGAATTTTATCTTAAAGCAGGGAGGTTATATAATGGTTTTGTTGCTTTTTTCACGCTCCGCCATTTTATTACTCAGAGTGAGAGCAGCGAGTTCTTTGTTTACCTTTAGTTACATTCCTGGTTTTTATTCTCGGTGAGGTTAATGTTTCGTATTGTATTTCCTGTGCAGAATCTCATTAAACACAAACAATAAAAAAATAAAAAACAAAAAAACAAATCGCTTAAATGCCCCTCTGAGTCTACGAGTATACACTGACCACAGGTCCACGGCTTGCAGACACAGAAGGAGTGCCCATCCTACAGCATCTACTAAGACACTAACAGGCTACTCACTAAAGTAAAAACTGTAGGAAATTCAAAGTCAATTTAACATTTTAGGTCAATAGAGTCGAACTGGGATGAGGTGGTGGAACTTTCCACAAATCTGATCATGCACCATATCTGACAGCTATTTCCTAAATCTCATCAACCATCTCCTACATCAGAACCCGCCAACCTGCTTCTAGGATCCAAGCTGTATGGACAGATGCCATTCTTCCATACCCCAAAACAGCATAAACATAGGCGCTATACTGGGCCTGTCTCATGCTCGAGTCTGGAGGCACTCCTCGGAAGATCTGCTGCGGAGGGAGTGAAAGAAACAGCAAGCCAAACAAAACCAGGTACCTCGGCTAACAGCAGGGACAATGCGGCCATGCTACAAAGTCTTGCACAGTCCAGACCAGCTCTCACGGAGTGCCTGCGTGTTACAGCCCCAGCTACAATACCAGAGACAGGGGCAATGGGTCCTTCCAGAACCTCAGGCTGGATAACTCCAACCTTCAGAGTCTTCTGAAGGCTCAGCTACCACTACCAAACCGGATTTAAACGTTCTACTGGCTGATATCCACAAATTGCTGGCAGCAGATCTGGCGCTAATCAAAAGCCGCTACAGACGGTGTGAGAGCATCGGAGGAGAATATCTTGGATATACAGCTGACATGTATAACATCAGAGACTCGGTGCAACAGCTTTAAAATCAACAGAGGGCACTGGCTGTCCAAAAATCCCCAGAGGGCACTGGCTGTCCAAAAATCGCCAGAGGGCACCGTCTGTCCAAAAATCACCAGAGAGCACTGGCTGTCCAAATGACAGGCCTGGAGGGCTAACAGCGTTGTAACCACATTCAAATTGGCAGCATCCACACAGCAATTTCGGTCAAGGAGCTGCCAAACTACATAAGGAAACTGTTGGAAACTATATTGTCTCCTGTTGCTAAGAAAACTGCTGTTGATGGAGTTTATTGCATTTCCAGCTCTGCCAAGTCCTCACATAACGTGGTCCAGGATGTTATTCTACCCTGCATGTCATCCCATGACAAGAGCTCTCCAATCCCCCAAACATGAACCTAGATTTCATGAAGGGTAAAACGAATCTTGTTTAATGGCAGCCACAACTGGCCTTTTATGACAGTCACCATGCAGGGGGCACTCTCTGGACCTGAGAGTAAACCACAGTAAAAAACAAATACACAATCACATTGGCTCCCAGGTCCAGGACACTCACATACAAAATAGGTCAATCCCTCCCCTATGTCTGGGAGATAATTGAGTCAGCACTGTACTAAACTCAATTATCTCCAGGCACAAAAAACACATTTTCCAAACACCCCAAAAGTACCTTAAAACACACAAAATCCCCTGATAACCCTGATCTGGGTGACCAGCATATCAAAAAATCAACCAGATCAGTTCAGGAATTTCCTGGAAATCTTAATTTTGATTGACCACCCACATGGTCCCATGCCCAAAACAGTTCCAGAGAATCAGGGCTTGTGGATGGTCTAGTTCGGTAGTTTTAAAGTTAACAAACTACCGAACAGAGTCAATAGTCTTACCCTGGAGCTTGATCCCCTTGTTTGTGGGAATGCTTCCACAGAACAGCTCTTTTCTAAGTGTTGTGGAACCAAGGCAGGCAATGCTGGAAGTCCAGCAATGTTCGGAAGTTTCTGTCTCCATTTTCAGTTCCATGAGATTCATGCCCAAACACCGCTGCCTGCTTTCATAGGAACAATATGTCCACCACCTCATGGTAATCCCTAGGAATTGTGGCCAACCAGACGAACACTTAGAACACTGCAGTGGAAACTGCTACAAAGTAACAATTAGGCTTAACAAGCTCCAGGGTGGTCTCCGGTTTGTGCGGCTGCTTGGTTCCCAAACCAAATATAAAATCCAACAAACCAAGTCTGTTCACATAGTTCTTTTAAAGGGCCCATAGTCTTTTGGTAAGAGGCTGGCCAGCAGGCCCCTCCAAGAACACGGGATGAGGCTCAGTTTGTCACAGCGCCTAATTTATTTTATATGAATATGTTTCCATTTTTTATCAACTAGAGCGGTTTTTTTTGCTTCAAAGCTAGATGTGTCTTAATTAGATTATTTGTGGGGCAACCCAGATCAAACCAGGGATGGTTTTTTTCAGTCTAATGAGTTACTTACCTTATAATAAATGGTGAGACACTTCCAGCCCCCTCAGCACACCTTATTACTCTCTCTATGACCAGGCTCATTAGTCACATTTCCCAATTTGTTCCATCACAATCTACATCCTGAATACTGGGTTTAACTAAGCATGTACCAAAAATGTACATATACTCTGATTGATCTTGTATTCTCCTGTGGTATTTCCACATGCATATTTTGTATCCCTCTCCTGGAACATCCGAGAGTTTTCTATTCTTTTCTAAATTTCGATTATGTTGTTGGCTCCTCAAGCTTACCTAGATTAGAGATAACTTGTATTATATATAAAAATAGCGCAACGTTTTTCACATGTACAATGTATGTACACACCTATGTGTATATAGGTGTGATTACTTGTCAACCGTTAAACAGGTTTATACAAAGCACTGCAAAAAAAGAAAAATTAGTCAAACTGGGAGCGTGGCGGACTTGGAGTATTTTTTCCAAATCAGCTACTTTGGACTCAAATTTGAAATTCTCTTTGAATTCCCCGATAACCCTGCAAGTGTCTTATTGTGTCTGACATACAGATTTACTCACTAACTACTGAACTGGCAAATTAATTTGTACATTAAGGCCAAGTACAAATGATTTTGAACAATTCTCGAACTCCACGATAAAGTCATTTAGGCTTTTTTTTTTAGCGTAACTTTTCGTGAGTGGGCCATTTTGGCCAAAGGTGAAGATGGACTTCCTGTGTCAATTCCAGGAGATGTCACCACATCACGGTGCACCATATTTCATTTAAAAACTGTACCAGTCACCTTTCTCTCACAGTTCAAGAGATATTGTAACACAGATTGACGGAGGACATTTCCCCCGCTGTCGCTTGTAAAATGACACCATGTATTACAGCTCATTAAGAAGCATCGGAAAGCCCTGATTGCGTGCGTACATGCTCACGGCTCCAGAACAGAGGATTCTCAATTGGTGAATTCCCTGGCACAGACTGGACATCAGTATCAGGAACACAGGGGGAGGCTGCAAAGGTGGTAGACAGTAGGATGGAGAGAAAAAAAAAATACCGCCATATTATATTTGGGGGTATATCTGTTAAACCGGTAAAACAAATTCAATGGACTGTTCCTTTAAGCAACCGTCGAAACTCCATAGAGCAGAGGAATCATCTCGTGGTTGGCCAAACTCAATCCTGAAGTGGGCAAAGTTCCACATACACGATGTAATGTGCGTAGATTTGCAAAATAAGGAGAAAATAAGGAACGTTAAACAGTGGTACACTTTCTATTTTATTATTTTGGCTTGCTATTTTTGGAAATATTTGTGATTGCATTATCTATGTAATATTATAAACAAAAACAGGGCATATTCCAGCAGCGGGTACCCTTTAAAAACATTAAATAATTGAATAATGCTTAGGATGTGTAAGACTATCCTGAAGACCAAACAATTAAAATCATCACAAGGTTTCACAAAGAAAGGATCCATGATTCTGTCTAATTCACCGAAATAGGATGCGCGTAATCGGAAGCACGCACAGCATCCCAGAACAGTTTTCTAGAGTCAGTGAGTAAATCAAAAACCAAAAATTGATCACAGGAACCACACTCACTCCCAGCGGCCACAGGTGCTCTGGAACAGGACCAGCAATCCCAATACGACAAGGCAATAAGAAAGTTTCCAGGCACTCCAAAAGTGAAAGCCGTAGGCAGATTTATTGCAACTAAGTGAACAGCAACGTTTCAACCCACCAAGAGGTCTTTTTAAAACTTGGTGGGTCGAAACGTTGCTTTTCACTTTGTTGCAATAAATCTGCCTACGGCTTTCACATTTGGAGTGCCTGGAATCTTTTTTATTGCCTTGACGTATAGAGTTAAAAACCAGACACACATCATATTATGTTAAAGTAAAGAAGTTTAAGCACCATAACCACTGCAGTATATTGTTACTATTGTGCAGAGTCTTTAGGTTCTGTCAAACCTGGTTCATGACAAACTGCAACTTTCCACCCTGAAGTCTGTGTATCAGATAATACCGACATGGATATCTACAGTACGTGTCCAACAGTGGGAGGCTTAGTCTTGCACATGCCACCAATCATTGCTCTGGTTATGGTGGTTGGAGTGTTTTGCATTAAGCTCGTTATCTCCTGGAATTAGACTGGAAAAACAAACAGAACACGAGACATCTTTTCTGCCATCAGATCAACATTTCTGCCATCAGCAAACATCTTCCAGGTGTTCTAGGGCTCAGGTAGTGAGTGAGTTAAAACAGGAACTAAACGATTGTTCACTTTAATCCTTCAAATATCATATTACAGTGATCGCCCATAAAAGTAAAAAAACAAAAAAAACTTTGTAATATTGAGAAGAAACAGTGATCAACAAGATGTGTTCTTCCGACATGAATGATCTGGAAAACAGAGCTTGAAATCCAACTGAGTGACAAGATATTGGTGGAAAAAACGTAGTTTCTCATTTAGGATTTTCTGACCAGTCCATCGTCTTGTGCCACGAGCATAATGTTCGATATATCTTATACTTGGGACAGGACACGGTTTGGGGAGGTATCTTTACCCCTTACTTACACAATGCAATTAGCTCTTAGAGGACAGTACTAAATGAGCAATCCCGTTAATTCTCCTTGTTCCACCATTTCACATTATGGAGGGACAACTATGGACTGTGGTTCAGCTAGTCTGAGTGGGGGCAGTTATCTGAAAATTACTGCTGTTCACTGACTGAAATCTTTCATAACAGCCAGTGTTTCCACAATATCTTGAAAGCTGGGCCTCTTGTTGGGATCTTTGTCCCAGCACTCCAACATCAGTTTGTACATCTCCGTGCTGCAGTTGGAGGTTTTCGGCAGTCGATATCCTTGCTCAACTTGATTATACACTTCGGGGTTTGTCATGTCTGGAGGAAAGTATAGCACAAAAAAAAATTAATATTGCACAAAAATATATTATCAGCTTACTTTAAACTGCTCACTGCCAAAAAGCTCAGGTCTTACAAAAATAGACTAAGTTTCTGATTCACAAAACCATGCAGAGCATTAAAGGGAAACTCTACTGCCCAAATACAAAATAAATAAAAATCACTGTTTAGTAGATTTGCCAAAATCAAAACTTGTGTGCATTTAATTATGCATTTTTTTCATTGGAGTTCTATCTAAAATCAGCTTGCAAAAGCTGCAGTTCTCTTGTCTGCTGCCTTTGCAAGCCCGCCCCTTCTTACCCCACCCAGACTTTCTGTGGCTGTCCAATCACAAACTCCCCAATGCAGCTCAATGGGCAATTACTGCCTCTTGAGTTTATCTCCACTGAGCTAAACAAACCAGGAAGTAACAGGAGTCTGCCTGAACCAGTGTAATTTATAAAAGTGACAATTTCTATTGAAATCTGCACATTTTGCAAAATGGAAAAAAAATAGGACAAACACTTCACTCATCATGCTTTTCAGCAAGCTAAAGTGCTTTAAGGGTCTGGAGTGTTGCTTTAAAGCAAACTGTAATTAAAATTGTAAAGATACGATGTAAGCGACTGTCTGAGCTGGGCCCATGATATCACCATACATTGGATACAGTGTCTCACATTACCATATGGAGCACCTGGAGGTATGTCCATCTATATTGCTTGCTTGTCTTGGTAACCCCAGTACATGTCCCATCATATAATATGTTAGACACTGCTCCCGCTGCGTGCTGGCTTTTATTGAAATCTGTAGAGCAGTTTTTTTTTTAATTTCAGTAAATTTCTGAAGGTTTAGAGGTGACTGTCACATTGTGAATCAGCTATAACTTGTGTTGTGTTGACTTTGTTTTTCATGTGACTCTCCATTTTCGTTTAAATGCAAGAACTATATTTATTACATCACAGTCTGACGCAGCTAAGAGGTCAGACATTAGGTAATATTTTTCCGTTTTTTTTTTTTTAAAGCATGTTTTGTCCGGTGAATTGCTCTCACCTTTATACGGCATCTGCCCAAACGTGAACACTTCATACACGAGAATCCCAAAAGACCACACGTCGGATTTCGTGGTATATTTGCAGTGTGAGAGCGCTTCGGGGGCTGTCCATTTTATTGGCACTGCGCGATTCTTCTCTGGAGAATACATATCATCCTGAACAGGCACAAAAGGTTAGGCTGCTGTAAAGTGTCGTTTAAAAAAATGGGAATATATAAACTGTAATCTAAAATATTTATACTAGAGGGGGAAATCGTGATACGTCCCAGTAATATGGATTTTACATAAATTTCCCTGGTAAAAAAAAGACATAAAATAATCCCAGTGCAATTTTTTCCCTGTAATAAATCCTGTGTATATGATGTGATTGTTGCACGCACCTGACTGATTCCTGATCCGGAACCTTGGTGATAAATACATGTAATAAATGTTATAGACAATGCAGATATGGCTGCCTTTAGGCGGGGGTAAATGGGGCACCTGCCCTGCTCCTTCAGGGGTTTGGCTTTTTATTTTATTTTTATGATAAACATCTCTGTCAGTATTACAAGTACTAAAGAGGTTGTGGTGGGGATGGTGTTGGTGGTGGAGATGGTGTTTTTGGTGGTGGGGATCCATGCAGCTTCCCTGGTGGGATGGCTTTAGGCACCGAATAGATCAGCTGGCATGTTTATATTGGAACTCAGCTGAGAACGGTAAGTATATTAATTGGTAACTATTCAAACACAATCGCAAAGTAATCATGAAGTTTTATTTGTCTATTTTTCTAAAATATCCTTTTTTACCACAGGGACAAGTGAACCTGTAGGACACCAACCTTGAGGATTCTTGCCAGTCCAAAATCTGCAATTTTACAGAGGAGATTGTCTCCCACCAGGACATTGCGAGTGGCCAAATCACGATGGACCACTTTTTCCGATTCAAGGTAAGCCATACCTTCGGCGACCTGATAAAAAATGTACAGGAACGAGTCGTAGCTTAACCGCGTTCCTTCGGGACCTGTCAAGGAAGACATTTATTAGAGTAGCTGAGAAGCTAAAGCATGTTGGGTTAAAGCATCACTTTAAGCACCATAACAACTTTGCCCTGATAAGTAAAAATCTCAGCAGCTATAAGCCAGCCCCTGAGATGTCAGACACCCAGAATTCTCAGTCCCGCGGAGCCTACATCAGTTTTGTCCAATTTGAGCAGTACGTCTGTTCTAAGTTTAAGGAGCAATTTGTCTAATTTGATGTAAAATAGTGACATGAGACGAGTGGAACTGCAAACGGGGAATAAATTACTATTTCTAAAAAGCCATTGGGGGAAGGGTTATCAAATAAGAGCGAACCAAACTACCCAAATTCTGCTTTTGATACTAGCTGGGCTATTGCAGTAATTATAGGAACTATACAAATAATATACAATTTGTTTACATTTACTAATTGCATTATCTAGATGTGTGTAAGAGGTTGTGTTTAAATTGTGTTCCTTTTATACACTCTACTTCTTATCTGTACAACATTTTAACTAAACGAGGGAGTGTGGGAAACGGAAAACTGTTTTGGCATTTTTAATATTTTATGCATTTAGTGAAAACACATTCACTGAGTATCAAGTGGAACAATTGCCATTAAGGAATATTCGCTAGATTTACCGCTCAAATCCAAATAGTAGCAAATTGAAATCTGCAAAAAATTCTGGCAAAAATAGCCAGCTTTGCCTATAGCGGAATTCTGCCATTTGTATTTGTAGTATAGGGAACACACTATGAGAGTAAACTGCAGTGAACTTGTAACCAGATTCCAAATTTGGGGCTAAAACAGCAGCGTAGAAAATGAGTTTCAGAACCCAGTTTTCTGGTTTAATTCTGGGTAACATTTTGCTATTAAAGCGGCACTGTCATGCCGAACTTACCTTTCCTCAATCTCTTCCTCTTCTCCCCCTCTCTCAGGATCTGTTCTTCTTTTCTTCCTGTCTTCTTTAGTTTTCTTTAAAATCATAAGACAAAGTAGGGACTCTTTGCCTTATGGAGGATTCCTCCGCTTGACCAGCTCTGACCAGCGGAGGAGCAAAGTGTGCTTCATTTCCGCTGGTCAGAGCAATTTTCCCATGATCCTTACCTTCCCTCTGTGTTCCCACAATGCTTCCTGTCATTTTAGACGAAACTGCCGAATTGCGTTCTAACTGAATGAGAACAGTATGTTTGTTTCTTTTAGAACGCAATTCGGCACTTTGTTGGTATCGGAATTTCATTCTAATGAATGAAACTCTGATCCTATTCATTGCCGCGGCTGCATCTTGCAGCCGCTTAGTAGATAACTCCCTAATTCCCACGGTATCAGGGAGCTATCTACTAAAAGGCTGAAAGACCTAAATTAGTCTTTCAGCCACATTTACTAATACTAGGTAAAGATTACTTAGTATTAGTAAATAATATGCCCCTACTCGCTATATCGCGAGTAGGGGCATGTGTAGTAAGTAGTGAGCAGCTTATAGCTGCTCACTGTAAAAAAAATCAAAAAAAAATAATAACCCCCCCACCCCCCGCCCATGGGGGACCTAAATAAAGACCTACTGTCCTCCCCCCCTGGCCCTCACCCCTGAGCGGTGGGTGGGGGCCCTAATAAAACAATAAGGGGGGGGGACCTACTGTCCTCCCCCCCTGGCCCCCACCCCTGAGCGGTGGGTGGGGGCCCTAAATGAAACACCCAAGCCCCTAGTCACCCCCCCCCACCCAAAAAAACCTATCCCCTACCTACCCCCCTCACCCTAAAAATAGTGAGGGGGGAATAAAATAACTAACCTGTAAAAAAAAATTAAACTTACCATTTGACGTCTTCTTTTTTCTAAAATCTTCTTTCTTCAGCCCCCAAAAAGGCCAAATAAAAATCCATCATACCCATCGCACTTAAAAAAAAAACAAAAAAAAACGAGCGCCAAAAAAAAAATCAATCCATGTTTGCCCTTCGAGGGCACGCCGCATCCTGAGCTCCGCAGGGCGGGTCAAGGCTTATACAGCCTTGCCCCGCCCTGCAATTAGGCTTAGAACACTCTGATTGGTGGGTTTAAGCCAATCAGAGTGCTCTGTGTCATTTTACACAGCGTGGGAAAATTCAAAAGAACTTTCCCACGCTGTGTAAAATGACACAGAGCACTCTGATTGGGTGGCTTTCAAGTAGGTCCCCCCCCCTTATTGTTATATTAGGGCCCCCACCCACCACTCAGGGGTGGGGGCCAGGGGGGGAGGACAGTAGGTCCCCCCCCCTGATTGTTTTATAAGGGCCCCCACCCACCGCGCAGGGGTGGGGGCTGGGGGGGAGGACAGTAGGTCCCCCCCCCTTATTGTTTTATAAGGGCCCCCACCCACCGCGCAGGGGTGGGGGCCGGGGGGGAGGACAGTAGGTCCCCCCCCTCATTATCTTCATGGCCCCCACCCGCCGCTCAGGGTGGGGGAGGGGGGGAGGACAATAGGTCAATTGGATGTAGTGGAGGCGGGAGGGGGGTTAAAAAAAAAACAGGATTCGGCATGACAGTACCGCTTTAAGTTGCAAATTCCCATTACTGCTTGACGTGCATCCCCCAGACAATCTTAACAACTACAATCAAACGAGTATGACAATCCCACGGTCTGTTAGCCTACTAACTCTTCAAATACGAATTCAGGTTTCCCTTGGTCATAAGCTCCGTGACGATATATACGGGCTCTCCGATGGAACAGATAGCGAGGAGCTGGATCAGGTTAGGGTGACATAGGTTCTTCAGAGCATTAATTTCTTTCTCCATGTCAGCCTGGACAATATGAGCTGGAAGAAAAGGGGAACATTATCACTACTTAAGATTATATTCATGATTAACGTCTTTATTACAAATCAACGTACATTTATTTACAACCAAGGCCAATCAAGCCATAAACACCCAAGGCAAACCCTTCACCCACCAAATAGGGGCTTTTTAAAGAACATTCCATGCAGCGTATAGGTAGGAGGGAGTAGGGGAAATCAGACACAGTTGTCTCACAGCGTCGTAATAAAACCGTAAGCCACCCAGTGCTATGTCTACTCGACACGTGGCCTTGAACGGACACGGCTCGGATACAAACCTCGTTTGAAGGTCTTTATGGCAACTTTTTTGTTGTTGTTTTTCCATACACCTTGCCAGACCTCTCCAAAAAATCCTTCCCCAAGCTTATTAAGCAGTTTGAACTCTGAACGGGGTCTTTCCCAGCTATCATTCGATCGGAGATCCTAAAATACATAAACAGAGGTAAAGAGACAATATTGGTATGACAGAACAGGGTTCCCTACATCTCGAACTTCCAGCAATTGGCAGAACTTAAAGCCCCAACATAGCCTCCTATCTACAACCCTTTCAGCTCTACTGGAGAACCAGGATGGTAGATCTTAGTCACCACTTATTAATCTCCACCAGGGAGCCAAGATGGAGGCACCCAGCTCCAGGATAGAGGTAAACACAGAGCTGTGGATTTCTGTTTTAATTTTATTTTTCAGACCTCATAAATACATATTTTAATAGTAATAGTAAAATTCCTCTTCAAATGTTTTGTCGATGTTCTGTGTGGTCTAAAGGAGGCTCCACTTGGCTGAGAATGATTGGTGTTGCAATACACATTATTTCAATATTCAAACATCATTTAGGGGTGCATTTTCGTGCACCCCATGTTTAAAAATTTGGCCTTGAAAATACAATGCTGAATTATTTATCAGTGAATATTGTGAGCACTACAATACAACCCTGTCAGTGGGTCATTAACCACCTACCTGCTCTGGGGTATACACCCTGTCAGTGGGTCATTAACCACCTACCTGCTCTGGGGTATACACCCTGTCAGTGGGTCATTAACCACCTACCTGCTCTGGGGTATACACCCTGTCAGTGGGTCATTAACCACCTACCTGCTCTGGGGTATACACCCTGTCAGTGGGTCTTTAACCACCTACCTGCTCTGGGGTATACACCCAGTCAGGGGGTCATTAACCACCTACCTGCTCTGGGGTATACACCCTGTCAGTGGGTCATTAACCACCTACCTGTTCTGGCGTATACACCCTGTCAGTGGGTCATTAACCACCTACCTGCTCTGGGGTATACACCCCGTCAGTGGGTCATTAACCACCTACCTGTTCTGGCGTATACACCCTGTCAGTGGGTCATTAACCACCTACCTGTTCTGGCGTATACACCCTGTCAGTGGGTCATTAACCACCTACCTGCTCTGGGGTATACACCCTGTCAGTGGGTCATTAACCACCTACCTGCTCTGGGGTATACACCCTGTCAGTGGGTCATTAACCACCTACCTGTTCTGGCGTATACACCCTGTCAGTGGGTCATTAACCACCTACCTGTTCTGGGGTATACACCCTGTCAGTGGGTCATTAACCACCTACCTGTTCTGGCGTATACATCCTATCGTTCTCGTCCAGTGCCACCTCAATATACGGCTGCAGGAGAGGGATTTTCAGGAGTTTCCAATTAATTTTGTGGAAGTTGACAAGTTCCTGTATTGTTGCAAAGACTCTTCCTGGCTTCAGGTAAAATTCCTCCCGATTGTTTTTATTAATGAGAAAATGAATCACTTTTTCATCTTTGCGCACTGTGAGGAAGTAAAGAGTGGGTACCGTGAGGGGCAGTCGGACTCATATTCTAACGTACAACATGCGCGCTAAATATTGCCTTCAACAAAAGTGGAGAAGAACATCTTGCCACACACAATGGGGGGAAGGATTTATCAAATGATCCTATTTAATAATGTCACGCAAAGTCACAAAAGTGAAGTAACTACCAACATTCTGTTCCTGCAGAGTTCACAGCACCAAATATAAGATAATTTTGATAAGTCTCTGACAATTTAGAAAACGAACGCAAACAATTGATTCTAACAGCCACGTACAATGCAGGGGTATTTAACGGTTAAAGCAAGACTCTCCCAAAAACAAACAGTAGGTGAGATCAGTTAACCGTCTATTGTCTGAGTTAACACTCAGCCGTAAATAACAGATGCTATAAAAATTAGCTATAACAAACAATTCTCTTATACATTTATTAATAACATTTTTGTAAAAAATATTTGCTTTGTTTTAAACAATGGAAAAAACCCAATCATAGCTTTATAATTAATGATGGCCTTAAATGAGCAATTCTTATGTCAATTCTTTGTATAGTGAATTAACCAACGTTTTATTCATTAAAGTGGGAATTGTTCGGAATTGAAATCGAATTCATATCAAATGAAAGTTTAAATTAACCGGACTGAAAGTGTAACGGACTGGGAGAATTTCTCCATTTTGACGGTAAATTTGAAATCCACTTTAAATTCATGACAATTCTTGCTGTAATGATTAACCCTCCTGGTTGTGTACGGTTCATTAAGACTCTAGAGATTCCTCTCATTGGAGTGAAGGATTCTCAGCATTACTATTACCAGCCCAAAACGGATATGTCAGAGCCCTGCTTAGTTTGCACCAAAAATAAAATAGAAATTATTTTTATAAGTGTCTTAATTTCGGTTCTGAATAATTGCGTGCAGGGCTGATGCCTCGTATCGCCCACAGCGAAGGCGTGTATCGGTGTAGGAATGCTGATAAGTCATCGACAAACTGAACTTTAGAATTTCTTGAATGTTGACAGACTGTACTTCTTTGACTTAATAGACTGGGAGCAAGGGTTCACAGTTTCACTTCACATGCTACGAATTAACACTCCCAAAATGCTAAGCCAGGATTGTGGATATATAGCTAAATATTGTTCATAGAACCAACAGTCTCTGGAGTGTTGTATAAGAGGTGACTGTAGAGCAGGGGTTCATAAAAGGTAGATCCTCAGATGTTGTAGAACTACAACTCCCAGGATGCTTTGCATGCCTTTCAAATGACAAAGCATCATGGTTTTAAAACACCTGGGGATCTACCTTTTGGGCAGCCCCAGCTGTAGAGGCTCCCAGATGGCAGTCAGACATTAGGGGTTGTGCCTCAGTTAATTCAATTCTAAGGGAACTCGAAGTTTCTTACACTCCCACCTTTAAAACTGATCATTTAAATAGAACACATCTAGTCAGCCCATCTCAGGTCTAAAATCACAGCCTGGAATATCTTAATAATGCCTGTTTGTATCATGTTTTACCACCTCTGCTGGGAGACTAGGCCATGCGCCTCCAACCCTCTGCACAAAAAAAAATAAATAAAAAGGTTGTGTCCCATTATACCTTTATTATACCTTTCCGTTTAATAGCATCCTTATGGTGTTAAATCCCGAGAGATATTTATAGTCTAGATATGTTTGACAATGACATTTGTTTTATCTGTTAAAGATATGTCTAGATAAAGCTGTGGACATTATTTGCCCATCACAATGTGTGTGTATTTATGGGTATGGAGGAAGGGATGACCATGCCATGGTTTTATGGATTGTATTCACTGAATTGCCAAACAGAGGCTCAGATAGCTGCGCTGTGGTTATAGGGGAGTGGGGAGAATTAATTCCAAGTCAGCTATTCTAGCCTCAATTTTGCAATTTGTTTTTCCAATTCATGATAATTTGGCATCTACCAAATAAAACCCTACATCTTTATTTAATGACTTGGGGTCTTCTGATTTAATCTTAGCGGAGGTATCAAAGTGTGAGTGCTTCAGTAAAGGCTGCAGGAGACTACAACGCCCATAAATCCCAGCTAGGTGATGGTTGGCTGAGTGTGATGAGCGTTGCAGGTTACAAACAATTGTTAGTCTGGATTTATAATGGGTTTTTAGAACACAGGATGTTCCAGTGCCAAGTAACAGACATAGCACCCCAAAATCACACGCCGAGCTCACCTGACAGTGAATACAGTCCGACATTGCTATCACTGGGCCGGATCAGATAGGAACCAGACACATTGGGGGGCATGAGGAGCAGTCTCTCTGCTTCTGTTCGGCTTACCTCTACGAAACCCCTGAAACCGCAAGAGAGGAAACAGACAGGAGTAAGTCATGGATTGGGAATGTTATGAAAGCAAAATAAATAAATATAAATACATTAGAATCCCCATGATCCCACACAATTCATTCATTAAACAGGGACTTGTAGTATTTAAAACAAAATTATAAAATTCAGACTTAAAATAGCCAAAGTATGACTGCAGCAGGGAGAGAAATGTTTACAAATCAGCAACTTGTTCTAATTTTTGCAATTCAGTTTTTACTTCAATCTCGCGGAATGGGAAGATTTTCAGGGAAATGTATACTTTAGGTCAGGACAGCAAAACTGGTATTAATGTAAATAGATTTAACCAAAATCGCCATGTTTTCATGGACACACCACTTCTACATATCGATGGGCTCTGCATGACGGATGCTGCCCTAAACTATGCAGAATGGGCACGCTGATAATTATATTAATAACAGACTAAACTCTCGTGTTCTTCCTTGATTGCAGAATTGGTTTACATCTCATGTAAAGTGTAGGGCATCACTTTTCATTCACTACAGAATTTGCTGGCGCTATATAAATAATAAAATAATAATAATAATTAGCATGAAGTCACATGTCCAGGAAAACAACGGGGAAACTATTGGACAAGGACCCAGTGGGAGGAACAAATTAAATACTGTATTTGGGGGTTAAGGGCTTTTGGATTATGAGGTATGGGGCCAGTGTTTGGCTCCCAAAGAAGGAATTCATTTCTATGCTTGGAATATACAAACGGCTAAACAGCTCTATGGATAAAAAAAGAATGGTTAGTCCACACCACATGCAGGGTCAGATCCCCCCCATGTGTGCCACCATGTCTTCCATGGGCCCCTAGCAAAAGACAATGGTGAACGAGGAACTGTCCCAGCTTAATGTAACATGTAATATAGAATTATTACTATCACGCAGCTGGTCAATGATCAAAAATCACGTTAGAAATAGTCAAATAAGGCTGCGGATAGAGAGAGCTGGGAGAACCCTCCACCAAGGGGCCCATAGGCTCCGGTCTGTTCTGTCCAATAGGATAACCCTCCCAAGATGTACATTAATAAGGAATATAACTGATCAGAGGGGAATAGAAGACTCAGCAAACAGGAATTAGTATTTTTTTTTTATACTCACGATTCAGTGTTGGAAACAGAGTTTACGGGGGAACTTGTGAAGGTCACGTAGGTTGAAGGAACCAATCCTATCTCCAGGCTGCCCGTTACTTTCCGTACCATCATGTACTCCCCCTCATCACTTATCTTACAAAGCTCTTCCCCCTGCATTACGCTCAGCTCGTCGTTGGTTCGGGCATCAAAATCGTACAGGACAGTCATCATATCTAATTTCTGCCCTGAGACCGTCACCACGACGGGTTCCCCTGGTGCTTCTTCTGGTGGCCATATTTTATCCCAGAGGCAGCGAAGGAAGCCGAGATGGTCCTTTAAGAAGGAGTTCATGCTGTAGCCATCATCCATCTCATCGCCTATCTTTACCCACTTCACGCAGGAGCAGCATTTGATGGTGGCATGTTGCTGCAAGTGTGTCGTCCCTCGCCTTTCTCTTGGGAAACTGAGAGGAGGAACAGAACTGATGGATTTTCTTTTTTACCTGCTGACTTCCTGATCACCTGAACTTTGTAAACAAAAAGTAAAAGTTTAAGTCTTGACTCCTGAAGAGGAAGCAATGCTGAAGGAATGCGGCCAGACCTGCCTCTCGATCTCATTCACAGTCAGGACTTCTGGTAACAAGATACCTGCAGCTACTTTCTGTCACTAATGGAAAAATAAGAGAGTTCTGCTTACGTGAGAAATAGATTTTGTTGTGCTTCATTTCCTTGTAGTCTAAAATAAGTGCTTTTCATAAGAAAGCACATTCTGTGCCCTGGTGTGAAAAGTCCACATTGACAGGATCCACACAATATTTCAGAATAATTGTTTATGTTCTCTTTCAGTTCCTGAAAATTCCCCCTTTAGTGAACGAGATATCTATTGGCATTTACAGCAAAGGCCTTGCCTCTGTAAATTTAGAATGTATTTTATTAATATTCTATTGGTAATACATAAAAAATACCAAAAAGATGAAGTGGCTACTTCCACACCAGGATGACATAATCCAATGACAAGCGTCTCATTCTGGTCTATGGAGGCGATATCGCAGAATTCCCTGTGCAGTAGAAGAGACTGCCCCCCCCCTAGTTTGAGGTGAGTAGTGCGATGGAGCTGCAAGCAAAATAGGGACACAATTGATGCAGGCAAATCAGGAACCAACTCATTGAAGTGAGAAGTGAATGTAACGTTTTAGCCAAACTGTTAGCACAAATTTTTCCAGTCAGCCACATTGTCCTTAAATTTGAAATTCAACTTGAATTCCCCAAAATTCTCACTTACCTTTATTCATTGAATAAGACTCGACAGGTAAATCCTAGAGGGGTCAACATTCAAACAAATGGAACCAGCAAAACTATCCCGAACAATGACGGTTAAAAATGTCTACCACGTCCAGGTAGGGCAGGAGAGCCGTAAACTCATGGGAGAATGCAGTGGACAATATGGGAAGTGGGTTCTACGGGGATCATTGCTACTGTTTATTTCAAAGGATTTATTGAATGGGTTGGGGGCCTGAAATTCAGGTCTGTTGTATTTTTTATTTCATAATCCTCTATAGGAGTATCAGGGAGACTCTGTGCCCTGTAACCATTAAATGATGGAACACCTTTGGCATTAATTATGGGAAAAGGTAAGGACCGCCGTGCAAAATGGAGGACACAGCAAAGTCAACCTATCCACCGCCCCTATTTTGGCTTATTTTATACAACTTGATTGTCACTTGGATTATAAACTCCAGGAGGTTCACCATCGCTGAATGTCTGGGGCATGTTGGCCATGCTCCATAATGAGCACAGGGTACATGGGTACTCCTTCAGACTACAGTAATAAAACGGTTTATACTGAGAGTAAGGGTTTAACATTATAACAAACGTTATGACAATTACAAGCTTAACAAACCATGCCTCAAAACAGATCACAATGCCCAGGAAGGGAGGGGTTCATTCTACCCTCTGACCAGCGTTTAAAGCTGTAATATGAATCATTCTTGTGTTTAACCATGCACAATCAGGAATGTGCTTATTCTATTATCAGACTGAGATTAATAATTTACCAACTTATCAGCGTTGGCAGAGGTGCAATCGCAGAAACCGGTTCTCTGAACGATCACTACATATCCTCTGTTCCCCTTCGCCCCCAACCTCTCCTCTCTGGGAAACCAGATATCCATAAATATCGTTATTTTAAATCACACAACAAAGGAAGGCCGGCTTTAATATTATTTCTATGCATTCCTGAACAAGATATGATTTGACACACAGACGCGTAACTTGCGTTTGGAATATATTTCACGAGGTACATTCGGCCTTTTCACGATGCCAATCAACTTGCATTGTTCGAACTAGCAGAGGAGGAAAATAACAGCTTTGTGGGTAGGAAGTGAAATATACAGTTAGAAAATGGTATCAAACAAACTAATAGTTACTTTTTTTATGTAACACCAATGTCAGTGAGATCGAATGTTACTGATAACGGATTACTGGTTCGTGCTCAGAGAAAAGAACAATAACAAGTCATTGTGAAGAGAATGTCCTGCAACGGGGGACTGAAATCTGAAAAACTGACAGTGCAAGGCATTCTGGGACGCAAGTGCCCGGAGCAGATTTTAGTTAAATTTTGTTATGTTTGTTAAGTTAGGTAAGTTTTTTACAGTTTTTTTTTTCTTTTTAGAACTGATTAATATGAGGCGGTTTTGACATATGAGCTTTTATTTCTTGATTTGCAAGATTCTTCACATGATTTTACATACACAATATTGTGAAATCTTTACAATGGAGTCACTTCACATAAGTGGCTTCTAAATTAAACTGTCAGGGCCACTGATTTCCTACACACACACTTTATTCATAGCAATGGGTAGCACACCAACAATGATCAATTGATTTCTGGACTCAGTATACTGAAGGGCAGCCCTCTTCACGCACTGCCCATCAATACGTAGAAGTGATATCCGTACAGGAAACCCCAATATCTAAAACAAGTTCACTGAATTTTAAAATGTCCCTCTAGACACCATGCTGCTATGGTTGTGATGCCAAATATTTAACTCTTACCTTGGCTCCCGCCCCCCTCTGGTCTGGCCCTCTCTCTAGAAGTCTCTAAAGTAAAAGTTTTCGATATATCAATTTCCTCTCATGGGGACCCCCAGGTACACCGGACACTAAAGTGGTTATGTTGGTTACAGTGTCTTTTTAAAGAAAAAAAAAAATCAATCTTTTCTTTCAGTCTTCGATGTATCGATGTAGTCTTGATGGTAATCTGAGGTTTCAATAGATGAAGTGCCGGAATCCCTCAGTTCAAATCGATCATTTCAAATCAGCCCAGTATCTCCATAGCTGAAATGAGGACAATGAAGATTTCTTATCTACACATCATTTACTATCTCTACACATTAAACCACATTAGGGAAAAATCTGACACTGAAGGTCCTCATGCAGAGCGGGAGAACGCCCAGCGTCAGATAACGTTCCAAAGGTGTGTTTCAAACCAGGAAGCCCTATAGTGGCTGTCTGGGAAACAGCGACTAGGGGCTGACTTAGTGCTGAAATGTAAACAGTGAACTTTCGCTGGAACTGCAATGTTTAACATATGCAGAACTAAGGGCAATAGGGACACAGCACCCGGACCACTTCAATGAGCTGAAGTGGTCTAGGGCCTATAGTGCCCTTTAAGGAATATAAAATAAAAGAGTCACATAGTCTTAAATTACAGGGGCAAAAGTTTAAAAATAATATCAGGAAGTATTACTTTACTGAGAGGGTAGTGGATGCATGGAATAGCCTTCCAGCTAGTAAAGGAGTTTAAGCATGCGTGGGATAGGCATAAGGCTATCCTAACTATAAGATAAGGCCAGGGACTAATGAAAGTATTTAGAAAATTGTGCAGACTAGATGGGCCGAATAGTTCTTATCTGCTGTCACATTCTATGTTTCTACATCAGAGTCACATTGGAGTCCCAATATGCTATATTTTAACTTTTGGTCTCTCCATGTTCAGCACATAGTTAGCTAGTGTGTATATTAAAATAAAAATAAAAAAAGGGGGTAACAGATTCAGTGGAGTCCCTTACACAAAGTTATATGTCATGCAAAAATGAAAGGTCACCATACCTCCTTAAAAATGTGTATTTTGTAAAGATAGAATCTTTCTGAAATACTCATTATAACTGTTAGAATTTCACTGAAATTCCAACCCAGTCAAGATTTTCTTTGACACAAGGCGGAGGACTAAGTGACAATCCCTACAGCCTTCACCGGTGACTGCTGCAAGGAAGTAGCGGTGTCTACGGAGGATCCTGCGACCTTGTGGGATGTTCCATAGACCTCAATGCTGTACTATAGCGCATGCGTGAGAGGATAGCAGTGACATCGGTTCTGGCGCTTGAAGACGAGCAGCGCGAGAAAGATGAAGATGCCTGTATGGCACAGGTTCAAGTACGCAATCTCACCTTTACCTTTCCCCCCACAGTCACCAGACTACCAGCGGCAATGTCACAGTTGGGGAACTTTGTGAATTCGCAAAGGTCCCCAGACAGTGACACATTAAATGGTGCTGAGTAAAAAAATCCAGGAAAATAAATTAACACATTTAGAGTAGTTTTCTCCGCTGGATGTTTTCTGGGCTGATGTTTCTGTATGAAGTTCAAGAAATCATTTTGTGCTACAGTCTATATATAAAGATAACATTGAGATCTCCCGCCGAAGCCTCTGGTTATTGGCAGTCAAGATGTTCCCATAATCCCCATGGCTGTCATGTTCCTGTACTGGCTGTTAAAAAATTATGGGAATTGTAGTCAAGACTACAGCAGGAGAGGCAAGGTATTTCTTTATATTAGGAATACCCCTGGGGCAGAACAGGGACTTAGAGAACTGTTTTAGTTCAATTATTTTGACCTTAAATTTTAGATTCAGCATTAACTCACTTAAAATTCTCACATTAGTGAATATCCCTGTTAGTATCAGATTGAAACTCCCGACTACTTACCTCACCCCTGGTAACGTATTCTACAATCGTCGCCGCCTTGCTGGAGACTTTCGGTAAATCCAACTCAGCTTGGCTTCAAGCTCTTGGACCTGCAGGGAACAAAGGGACACTTACTTTATTCCCAGAAACTGCAGAACTATGGCCCTAGCGGAACGTTCCACCATTCAAAGGGTTATCAGCTAAAAAAAGTTAACTCTGGTTACAGGGCTCTGCATGCTCTATTTCTGTTTCCATCTAATTTAGGAATAATTCAAGGGACACTGTAGGCAGTATAACCATTTAATCTCATTGAAGTGGTTATAGTCCTGGGCACCGTCCCTCCACCATAAACCATTTTTGATCAGTTTAACACTGTATGAGGGTCCCTGCCCACCCACAGTCTGCCTCCCCCCCCCCCGGAGGTGTGGCTAAGGTACAGATTACAGACTTCCTTGCAGTCACAACAATTCATAACAGCAATGAGCCCTGTGATATTGTGTTTCCATTATGTACGAGAATCTAAGGCCTTAAAGAAACTATATTAGTTCATCTTTGTAGCCTTACCTTGCTCTTCAGCTCAGTGATGGCTCCTTCAAACTGATGCACAATGTACCCCATGCTGTATTCTTGAGGGTCTTCAGCCAGTCTGCAAGGAACAAACCACCAGATAGGTATCACATATTTTAGGACTTCCTTCTTTACCTGTCACATTCTTTTCCCATTAGCAAAATATTCTAGGAAGATCTGTTTGTTATGAATTATCAGCCATAACCTGAGGGTAACCTTTCACCTGGGGTGGGATGGGTTGTCCTCTTTGTGGCTGAATTTCAGAGATCTTCGGAGTCGGAAATGTTGAGACAGAGCCTCGGATTGGCCACGAGTCCCACAGCCTGCAGAGAAGTTTAGGGGGAGATTTGTTAGGTTGAGGCATCTAGTCCTAATATTGTTACATGTTATATTATTAACTTGCTGTTCTGGACTGTAACAACAAAACAAACCTTAAGGCAGAAGTACAATGAGTGCCCCACATTTAAACTTGAACAAAGAATATGCTGTGCGGTATGGGAAGGAAAGGTATCCTGACACAGAACTGGGTATGAGAATGTCTCCCGAGCGACATGGTCACCCAAAGATCTGAGCACACTGACATCGACACAAATACTGTGTAAGAGCATGCACATGATATTTCTCACAAGTGCCAGGCCTACACACATGGCACTGTACAGGTTACATTATTGCTCTACATTTGCCTGGACATCCAGAAATCCACTTTTAAACTGCACAACTCACTTTCAAATTTAGTTACCCATCAGGGTGTGCAAAAATCTGAAGAGACCATTGTGGAGTGTGGATTGTTATTATTGCTCCCTAGATCTTTGGACACTGAATAATTGTAGTGATAGTCTGTTTCTAAAATAAACTTGCAACGGGATCTTTGCTCCCTTAAAGCTGTAAACGCTATAACATACTATAAAACATGATAAGCCAAGAATGACCGGGAAGCAGGCGTCTGTTGGTAGAGTCTATCATACCTGAAGAGAGCCATAGGGACCAATATTGAAGAGCCCGTAAACCAGCAACCATTATTTAAGGTCTTAATACAGTATTTAGCAAATGCATTAAAGGGCAGTAAAATCTACTCTGTGGTGTTTCTCCGTGGTGTAAAAACATAATATACAATATAAATATAAAAGGATGGGGCTAGGGATGAAAGAGATATTGCAGTGATTTTTGTCTCTGACTTTACCCACAGGAGGGAGACAATGACTGATCTGTTGTCTCACCATCACAGCACTCCTGCCATAGGCGCAGGTCTACACCAGAGAGGTCCTCACAGGCGTGCATGCCGTTAGGGTACGTGGCCACGTGGAACACATCTTCCTGGACATGTCTGATCTGATCTCCGTTATCACAGAGGACACGAGCCAGTGAAGACTGCCGAATCTGAGCCAGCTGAGCAGCCGTGAATACACCGGGGTTACTGTACCAGAACCTGAACGGGGTACCAATGGTTCATAAGAAAATATAGCCAACGTGAGAATTCAGGGGAACGAGTGAATAAAATCTGCACAGCCCGTAGAGGACAGAAAAATGTACAATGTTTGAAGAGAAAGATAGAAAGTGATCGAAAGAAAACGTGCAGGAGAAAAATAATAAAAATAATAAGGGACTGAATAAATGAGATGGAAAAATAGCAAGGAAATTAGATGACAGTGGAAAAAATGTGAGAGAATGAAATAAAATAAAATAGAGAAATGGAGAGCAAAGAAAAGGAAAATTAGAACAAGTGGGTAACGAGAAAGACAACGGTAGAAAGAATACAAGCAGCTACATACACCTTTTTCCATCCACGGTTGTCCTACTTGCGTTGGTAACTATTTACACTAAACCTTAGTAAATAAGAGAACTTTCCACTGATCCCTACACAATCAAAGCTGTGAATAGGTGACCGTAAACCCAACTACAGCATGATCTGCCAGCACTGAAGGAACGTAGGGTTGTGTAAAGGTCCACGTAACAGATCACAGGATCATTTAAAACCAATTAATATCCTGTAACAGTATGAAACGGCCAACCTGAATCGGCAAATTTTTTGAATCTTGAATGCAGAATACTGCTTATAAAATTACCAAAACATAGGACAGAGAAAGGAAGCACATGCCTGTCTCCATTTCGAATGAGTTTGAACTGATTGACTAAGAGGCACATCAGGGTGGGTCCAACTCGAGTCCCCGGTACCAGGTCTTCCACCATCAGTGCTGGGAACAGATCCACATTTTTTGGTGTTCCATAGAGGCTGGAAAAATAAATAAATAATAAAACGGAGATGTGATGCCAGCATTCCTTTGGATCATCATTATAATGATTGTAATTTGTGCTGTTTTAAAACCTGTTCATTTTTAAATTATCCTGCCAAGTTTTTTTTGGGGAAAACTAACAAAATGGTAAAATGCGAGTTTTTTTGTGTTTTGAACAAGAATGCGAACATCTATTTTTCTAGTACAAGGGCACAAAAAGCACATTGATGCACGACGATGTCTAACGGAGACCCTTGTTCAGCAGACAGTGAAAAAACGTCAAGTATACAGTTAAAATATGAGAATCTAATATTGTTTCTATCATTTCTCCCCCCCCACTTTTCCTCTTTTTTCCTCTATGGTAGGGATGGGAGGAAGTGATCTTATGTCATGAAATATGTTAGTTTCAAATATTTTGCTTTTAATTTGTTCTACAGTTCTGTTTTTAAAAATCTAAGTTGTTAAATTTTGATTTGGGGTGGGGTGGTGGTGGGGGGCTTGAAATGAGCTGGTCATCCCTGGGGAACAGTAGTCTAGCACCATTCCTGTGGACTGACAAATCGCCCAACATGCGTTCCGGTGATCCAAACACCACCTTCAAAGGCATGTTACTCAGCCAGCATTGCTTTTTAGCATGCTATGGTATGCAGAATTTATCCTCTCCATCTTGGCCCTCATTGCCCTTTGTAATACATTACTAGGTCATTCAGACACAGCACTGGTTACCCTATATCCAAAAGCTTGGGCTCTACACGTTCTCGAATAGGGACCTGTTGTCTCCCATAGTAGAATGTAGGAACAGCCATTCTTTGGCATTGTATATGTGGTTGAGATTCTAGGTTATTCTTCTCTTCCTACTGGGACAATTTATCCTTATTTTTATCTGCATTAATTAGCACTTTCAGCCTACCCAATTGTACAGCGCTATGGAATATGTAGGTGCTTTATAAATGCCAGTAGCAATCATACTATACCAAGTAAATAAATATGGTTTTATTTTACACGGGCACGTCACATTTCGTGTTCATATATTCTCGGAAGACTTATTTTGTAGTCCTTTCCTTGGATATTACCGTATTTTATAATAGAGTTTATCATTTTATTTAGGAACATATATTATACAAATTAATATTTTGTCTCTCCTTTGCACTCATTTTCTTAAATCTTCAAATCCTGCTTTTAATCCTGAAGAGCATGTTATTTAATTTGTCATTATTTAGGGTTTAAATAAATATATTTTTTATCAATACATATTATTTATATAGACATAACACAGACTCTTTTTACAAGTTCTCCAGCTGCTTTGAAGGGAACTGACCTGCGGAGTATCTCCCTTATCTCTTGGTTTTTGATCTCTTCCTTTAAGTCGTCAAATTCCTGAGCAGAGGTGAGATTGCAGAAGACTCTGTAGTCATTGTATGGTGGAATTCCGTGATCACGCCCTCGTTGGATGTTAATGGCAGCCAAATCTAAAGCCACAGAATGCACTGCTGAGAAAAGCTTCTCCGTTAGCTCTGTGTTGAGTAACTCGGTGGGAACGCGCATTTTACCAGGAACTCCATAGAGGCCGCGTAGTATGGGATCAATGCCTCCCTCCTGGAGCAACCTAAATGGACTGAAGAAAGCCTTATGTAGTGGGAGGTGTCCTTGTGGAATGGGCTGGAAGGTTTCATTCAAACGATATAGGATAGGGTTGATTAGAGTGTGGCCAAATCGAAATGCAGCAGTGGCGAAGGCATTGAAGATACCACCATGAAGGTTGGGATTATAGCCATTGTATTTCCCCAACATACTCATTCCAGCTTCTCCAAGAATTTTAGGAAGCCAGTGAGTGTAGGTAATGTGCTGCATTTGGGCGCCCACCAGTTTCCTGGCTTCGTGGTATATTCGATCGCCACTCCAGTGAGGATTGAGCTTCAGCAGCTGATCTGCAATACGGTTATGTTCCCGAAACCATAAAGTGTGCATTGCTGTGAGTCCGAGCTGCTCATTGGCTCGATAGTCTCCAGCTAGGAAACATGGTACGGAGCTCTCATTCTCATCACGCATGCATTCAGTAGGAGGTCCACTGGCATATGGTAGTAAATACTTGCCTGAGCTGGATACCACACTGCCCCTTCTCAGGAGCCCTCTCTGGTTGCTAAGATCCCTCAAATCCTGAGCCTCCTGTTCTGTGCTCCCATAAACATTGGAGGCATCCAAGTAGGATGTGAGCAAGTTCATCTGCTCTCGAGAATAAAGTGAGTTCAAAAGCAGAGAGGTCACCCCGCTGCCACAAACTGGACTGGATCGGGCAAAGAACATGCATGGTCCACTGCTCACACGAGGGTCATTCTCAGGAATCATGATGGGAAAACAAGGGGGGTCATTGGAGCACACCTGACTGCAAGGAGCATTATCTGAGAACCTGGACATGCCAAGGGCTGGTACAGTCTGATCCAAATCATGATCCAAGAATTGACCCCACTGCATAAGCATATGTGTAAATTGCTCATCTGGTGTTATGGTCTCTGTGCCAATCATGGTAGTGGACACCAAGCGAGGAAGTGGTAAAGGAAGTTCTCCTGACTCTTCTGTTAATCCAAGACCTCGGGGGAGGTTCAAACCATTCTGATAGGCTGGTTTAAGCAGCCGCAGGAAGGCTGTGTTCGAAGCACCCCACATAGGATGTTGGAGGTTGTTACACGAACCATCATGTGTGCGGTAGTGTTGGTGGAAGCACATGTCTGAACAGTTGGGAGTACTGCGGTGGGCCGAGCAGCCGGAGACATTGGCGATCATACTGATGTATTGTGGAGAGACCAGGTCAATGTAATGGAAACCTGTGACAACAACGAACATTATTAACACTCAGGCAATTTGCTTGGTTACAGGAAAACTTATAAACACTTCACTCTACCCTAAAAAGAAAGATCTAGTATATTTTAGTGAGAATATGTCATCACGTGTCACAACATATTAAAGAAAAGTTTACAAAGACATTTAAAAGCACAGGAAAATGTGATTGCACGTAGACATAATGGGTTTCAAATTGCCTCTGTTCCCAATATAAAATGATCTGTAACTGGAAAACTAAAGGCTACTTATTTAAATATTAATATATTTATAAAACATTTTTTCTACAGGGCACTACAGATAAAAGATGATAAAGGGTTAAAAGAGGAAAGTCTCTTTAATGGTTAGGCTGCAGGACATTACTCTGGCTATCAATGTCTTCAGCAAGCCCTTCCCGAACATGTTCTTCAATTAGCTCCAGGGTCCTTTCCATGATCTCTGCTGCTTTCGCGTCACTGACTGCTTGAGGGTCTCGGGGATAGCGTGTGAGAGCCAGAAGATCACCGGGCATCTTGGGGAGTCTGCATCAATAGTACAATATGAAGATGTGAAAGATAACATTGAACTTCGCTACCGTTACCAGACTGTTCATTAGAATATTGTTAAATTCTATTAATTGCAGGAATTGGCACAGTTCTGCCCAGCATATCATACAGCCAGGAATCCCTCAAATTACAGCATGGTACAAATTAACGATAATGGGAGGGAAGTGTGCAGGCAATTACTCTTTAACCCCTTAAGGACACATGATGGAAATATTCCAGAAGTTGTGTCCTTAATGGGTTAAAGGCCCACTCCACACTCCTAAAGTGGTTTCTTACCGAAGTGCTTTGTGTTAAGAGTGTTTTTTTCTTTTTTTCATTTTACAAAAAGAGCGGTATTCAACAGAAATGTTCGCTTTTATAAATTAACCTACTTTCACCCTACTGGCTGTCAATCAGACAACAGGTCCTGTTACTTCCTGGTTTGTTTAACTCAGTGGAGATAAAAAGGCAGCAATTGCCCAGAACATCTGCCTTGTAAACACTTCTTATTGAGCTGCATTGTGAAGTTTGTGATTGGACAGCCACAAAAAGTATGGGCGGGGTTAGAATGGGATGACTTGGAAAGGCTGCAGACAAGAGAACTGCAGCATTTTATAATTAAATGCGTACATGTTTTCAATGGGCATATATCTACTCAATTGTTAAAAAAAATTAATCGGAGTGTTCCTTTAATGTGTGCAATTTATATACTAAAATGAATCTACATTGTCTGACTATGTGGGAACAGTCATTATACTAGAACTATGCAGCCTACCCAAGTGCCTGGTGGTGTGGAATAAAAGTACCATAATTTATCTTTGAGTGTCTGGTTTATTCCCAGTGAAAGCAGGCCTAATTCATGTCCCTCTTTGCATTAACAAGGATTACAACTCCTTTTCTCCGCTTTAACAATTGACTACAATTTCTGGTAAATCTGTCACTTCCTCCGTTTTTAAACTATTATCCTGTAAAACACAGGGCACACCAACAGAAATGTAAACAATGAAATAATAACTGAAGCCAGACAATGTCAAATATATCGTGGGCATTTTTCTTGCAAAAATATCAAAAGGGATATTTAGTCAGCAGTCCTTGCAGATATTTGTAAGGACCCGTGCTGAATATTCAATGGATAAAGCAAATCAGTTCATCTACCAGCTAAACAGAAATCTAGGAACGTGCTCACGTGCTGAATAGATGTTGCTGAGTGGAGGTGATGCTTGCGTTCACTCCCCGGATCGCTTCCTGTAAAGATATCTTCACAAATTCATCGCCAACACGCACATCATCTGCAGTGAAACAAAATAGATGTTTTACAGACTAGAACGAGTCTAGAACGAGGAATGAGGTTAATCGATAATAAAATATATATATATATATATTTTAACAAATTCGTATTACAAGTCTATATTAATGAAATAAACTAAAACGTGAATACTGCGAACGGACAACACAAATAGCTTGTCCTTTGGTGCGTTCCCGCTCAGTTCTCCAACTGGTTTTAGTTTATGACAGGGATAACCTAAATCATTTGCATATGAGACTGATCCACCCGAAAGGACAGTCCAGACGCAAAATGCAGGCCGGCTCCCTCAGCGAGGTGTGGATGATATACCCCTCCTCTAGGCACAGTGAGTATTGGGTTCATGTTTGGAGTGTTGTTTTACCTTTTACCATAGGCACTTTGTAAACAAACCAATAGAGTGCAAGAGAGAGAGACATTATGAGATGTGTATATGGAGATTTTATTAGAATGGATTAATATGTATTGCTTGTGAGAATCAGATACCATAGAGTGAAGAACCAGTCATACTGTGATAATATAGTCCTTACCTTGTGGCCTGACGCGCAGTTTCACAGTTACAGAGCTGACGCCAAGACTGCTGGTAGCGTGGCATTGGTACTCACTGGAATCACGCAGTCCTACTCTAAGCACCCGAAGAGTACCCGATGACAGAACATTGTGTCTTCCATCGTTTGGTAACTCTTCACCTAGTGAACAGAGACAATTAAACTTCAACACAATTCAAACCACCCTTAGTAGCATCAACGACGCACTTCTCCAATCACCATCTGATCTAATGAATGTTACCAATCACCGATCTGATGTAATGAATGTTACCAATCACCGATCTGATGTAATGAATGTTACCAATCACCGATCTGATGTAATGAATGTTACCAATCACCGATCTGATGTAATGAATGTTACCAATCACCGATCTGATCTAATGAATGTTACCAATCACCAATCTGATCTAATGAATGTTACCAATCACCAATCTGATGTAATCAAGGTTACCAATCACCGATCTGATCTAATGAATGTTACCAATCACCGATCTGATGTAATGAATGTTACCAATCACCGATCTGATGTAATGAATGTTACCAATCACCGATCTGATGTAATGAATGTTACCAATCACCGATCTGATCTAATGAATGTTACCAATCACCAATCTGATCTAATGAATGTTACCAATCACCAATCTGATGTAATCAAGGTTACCAATCACCGATCTGATCTAATGAATGTTACCAATCACCGATCTGATGTAATGAATGTTACCAATCACCGATCTGATGTAATGAATGCTACCAATCACCGATCTGATCTAATGAATGTTACCAATCACCAATCTGATCTAATGAATGTTACCAATCACCAATCTGATGTAATGAATGTTACCAATCACCGATCTGATCTAATGAATGTTACCAATCACCGATCTGATGTAATGAATGTTACCAATCACCGATCTGATGTAATGAATGCTACCAATCACCGATCTGATGTAATGAATGCTACCAATCACCGATCTGATGTAATGAATGTTACCAATCACCGATCTGATGTAATGAATGCTACCAATCACCGATCTGATCTAATGAATGTTACCAATCACCAATCTGATCTAATGAATGTTACCAATCACCAATCTGATGTAATGAATGTTACCAATCACCGATCTGATCTAATGAATGTTACCAATCACCGATCTGATGTAATGAATGTTACCAATCACCGATCTGATGTAATGAATGCTACCAATCACCGATCTGATGTAATGAATGCTACCAATCACCGATCTGATGTAATGAATGTTACCAATCAACGATCTGATTAATGAATGTTACCAACCAATGATCTGATGTACTGAATGTTACCAATCACCAATCTGATGTAATCAAGGTTACCAATCACCAATCTGATGTAATGAATGTTACCAATCACCGATCTGATCTAATGAATGTTACCATCATCGATCTGATGTAATGAATGTTACCAATCACCGATCTGATGTAATGAATGTTACCAATCACCTATCTGATCTAATGAATGTTACCATCATCGATCTGATTAATGAATGTTACCAATCACCAATCTGATGTAATGAATGCTACCAATCACCGATCTGATGTAATGAATGTTACCAATCACCGATCTGATCTAATGAATGCTACCAATCACCGATCTGATGTAATGAATGTTACCAATCACCGATCTGATGTAATGAATGCTACCAATCACCGATCTGATGTAATGAATGTTACCAATCAACGATCTGATTAATGAATGTTACCAATCACCGATCTGATCTAATGAATGTTACCAATCACCGATCTGATGTAATGAATGTTTTCTGCAATCTGTGGTTCCTGGCGCTTACCACACACAAACACACACACATATATATATATATATATATATATATATATATAAATATATAAAAAGATAAAGCCTAAAAAGTGTCTAATTAAAAATAATTATAACTTAAAAATTCAATAAAAAAAAAGTGTGCTTTACGCAACAGCCCCGTGCGCCTCTGGCCCCAAACACCTGCTTTGGTCCATGATATCACAGGGGTTGGGTGTCCTTGTGCAGCACACGGGAATTCTGTGTCACTGCCCTCTGTTACCGTTTGGTCACTGGGAGTCACAGTAAATTTCTGTTTGTCTGCAGATAAAATAAAAAACAACAGAGAAAGCAGTTATACCGAAAATAATACAGTTCATCATCACAATTCTGTCATCAGCTGTAATTCCATATACCTTGTACAATAATCAGTGCAGATGCCTCGATAGACCCCTCATCGTTACTTGCATGACATCGATACAGTCCGTGATCGGAAATCTTAACGTTCTGGATAAAGAGCTCTCCAGAGTTGGTTACAGTAAACCTCTCACTACTGGGAATAGGGTCACCATTAGCTGCCGTCCAGGTAATTACAGGCTTAGGGTCCCCAAATACGCCACACTCCAGTGTCAAACTGCCCCCTAGAAGCACCTCTGTGTTCTGTGGGTGGATTATAAAGACAGGCTTTGCTGGAAACAGAAAGGGATCATATAACACTATCATTTACAAAATTCTTAAACGAATGCAAACTCTACAGTGTAACAAACATTTATCTATCCTTAGTAATAAAATCTAAAATACAATGTCACAAATCTTGTTTTTTTTTGTTGAACTTCTTTAGTAAAACTCTATAAAGCAGTACATTGTGTACTACGGGAATCTGCTTACATCATAGGCTACTGGAACTCTTAGATATTAAGCTCCTAGTAACAAGACCTCACTATGTAAATATACGGGGACATGTCTCAGCCTCCTTGCCAGTTAATCTGGATTGTTGTACAATGTATATTGCCTTTAAACAATACAATGTTAGTAAAACATTAAAAACTGCATGATTTGTAAACTTGCTAATTGAAAGGGACACTATAGGTCACCAAAACAATTTTAGCTTAATGAAGCAGTTTTGGTGTATAGATAATGCCCCTGCAGTCTCACTGCTCAACACTCTACCAAAAATCACTATGTTTATACAATCCTAGCCACACCTCCCTGCATGTGACTTACACAGCCTTCCTACACACTTCCTGTAAAGAGTCCTCTAATGTTTACACTTCCTTTATTGCACAGTCTGTTTAATTTATAATTTATTTTCTCCTGCTCTGTTGATAGACTTCTAGACCCTGCAGGAGCCTCCTATGTGTGATTAAAGTTCAATTTATAGAGCAGAATATGAAAACTTCTAAAGCAAGTTTACATCTGATTGAAAATTAAACCATTTATTTATGCAGGCTGTGTCAGTTACAGCCAGGGGAGGTGTGGCTAGGACTGCATAAACAAAAACAAAAGTGATTTATCTCCTAAATGTGGCAGAGAACTGAGCAGTGACACGTCAGAGGCATGATCTATACACCAAACCTGCTTCATTAAGCCAGTTGTTTTGGAGCCTGTAGTGTCTTTTACGAAATATTTTGAAAATATTGGTAAAAGATAGTAAGTAAATCCCTCTCAATACCTCACACCTCATGCTGTATACATGCAATCTTACCCACACAGTTATCCAGTCTCTTAATCCCTTAAGTACTGAGCCAAATGTACACGTTTTGATCAAAATAAAACGTAAACAAAACCTGGATTTGACTATATGTTTGTTCAACTGTAATTCACCTCTTTCATATTAAGTGCACCCACACTTATTATATATCATTTTATTCTGGAGAATTGGGGGGTTCATTCAAATATTTAGCTATGAAACAAAATGTAATATGAAGAAAATAAAAAATGTGAGAAATTAAGACATTTTGTTATTTTTTTTTAGTTCTGCGTGACATTTTAACTGTGAATGTCATAGTACTGTTTGCTTTTACTGCAATAAAATACACATATTTGTATTCAGCGATGTCTCACGTGAAAAAAAGTACCCCCTATTTACAGGTTTTATTGTGTTTTGGGAAGTTACAGGGTCAAATATAGCACGTTACATTTTTCAGTTTTTTCCCAATTTGAAATTTGCCAGATTGGTTACGATGCCTTAGAGATCGCATGGTAGCCCAGGAATGAGAATTACCCCCATGATGTCATACCATTTGCAACAGTAAACAACCCAATGTATTGCAAATGGGGTATGTTCAGTTTTTTTAGAAGCCACTTAGTCACTAACACTAGCCAAAGTTAACGTTAATATTTGTTTGTGTGTAAAAAATGCAAAACACTAATTTGAACGCCAATTTTGCCCAGTGTTTGTGACTAAGTGGCTACTAAGAAAGACTGGACATACCCCATTTGCAATACCTTGGGTTGTATACTTTTGCAAATGGTATGCCATCATGGGGGTAATTCTCATTCCTGGACTACCATACGGTCTCAATGGCAACGTAACCAATCTGGTGAATTTCAATGTGAAAAAACTGAAACACAAGCCTTATATTTAGAAACATAGAAACATAGAATGTGACGGAAGATAAGAACCATTCGGCCCATCTAGTCTGCCCAATTTTCTAAATACTTTCATTAGTCCCTGGCCTTATCTTATAGTTAGGATAGCCTTATGTCTATCCCACGCATGCTTAAACTCCTTTACTGTGTTAACCTCTACCACTTCAGCTGGAAGGCTATTCCATGCATCCACTACCCTCTCAGTAAAGTAATACTTCCTGATATTATTGTTAAACCTTTGCCCCTCTAATTTAAGACTGTGTTTCTTCTTTTAAATATAGTTTCCTCCTTTACTCTGTTGATTCCCTTTATGTATTTAAATGTTTCTATCATATCCCCCTGTCTCGTCTTTCCTCCAAGCTATATTTTAAGATCCTTTAACCTTTCCTGGTAAGTTTTATCCTGCAATCCATGAACCAGTTTAGTAGCCCTTCTCTGAACCCTCTCTAAGGTATCAATATCCTTCTGAAGATACGGTCTCCAGTACTGTGTACAATACTCCAAGTGAGGTCTCACCAGTGTTCTGTACAGTGGCATGAGCACTTCCCTCTTTCTACTGCTAATGCCTCTCCCTATACAACCAAGCATTCTGCTAGCATTTCCTGCTGCTCTATTACATTGTCTGCCTACCTTTAAGTCATCAGAAATAATCACCCCTAAATCCCTTTCCTCATATGTTGAGGTTAGGACTCTATTAAATATTCTGTACTCTGCCCTTGGGTTTTTATGTCCAAGATGCATTATCTTGCACTTATCCACATTAAATGTCAGTTGCCACAACTCTGACCATTTTTCTAGTTTACCTAAATCATTTGGCTTATCCCTCCTGGAACATCAACCCTGTTACATATCTTATTATCATCAGCAAAAAGACATGAGTTACCATCAAGACCTTCCGCAATATCACTAATAAAAATATTAAAGAGAATGGGTCTAAGTACAGATCCCTGAGGTACCCCACTGGTGACAAGTCCAAGCTTCGAATATATTCCACTACAACCCTCTGTTGCCTGTCACTCAGCCACTGCCTTACCCATTCAACAATATTGGAATCCAAACTTAAAGATTGCAGTTTATTTATAAGCCTTCTATGTGCAACAGTGTCAAAAGCCTTACTGAAATCTAGGTAAGCAATGTCTACTGCACCACCCTGATCTATAATTTTAGTTACCCAATCAAAAAAAATCAATAAGATTAGTTTGGCATGATTTCCCTGAAGTAAACCCATGTTGTCTCTGATCTTGAAATCCATGTGTTTTTAGATGTTCATCAATCCTATCGTTTAACATGGTTTCCATCACTTTCTCCACTCCTGAAGTAAGGCTTCAACTTTTGAAAACCCCATAAACCTGTACATGAGGAGTACAGTTATACTCCAGAGACTTCACTGAACACAAATATTAGTGTTTGAAAACCATAAAACGTTTCACAACAATTATATCGTCAGTGTAAGTGTCGTTTGTGTATGAAAAATGCAAAAAACGTCACTTTCACTGATAATATCATCGTTGTAATACATTTTACCGTTTTAAAACACTAATATTTCTGTTCAGCAAAGTCTTCTGAGTAAAACAGTACCCCCCCCCCCATGTACAGGTTTTATGGCGTCTTGGAAAGTTAAATATAGTGCTAGCAAATTAAATTCTCTGGACTTTCTGCCAGGGTTATCCCGCAAATTGTAATTAATAAAATGTCCTAATTATGTAAAATTATTACATAAATATATACGTAGAATAAAAAAAAAAAATAATTTAATTTTATATATATATATAAAAAAGAAAGACTTGAGGGACAGGACAACCTGATCCTAAAGTCAAAAGAAGGACTAAGTGGGTAAAGTGGGCATAACCAAAAAAAATTCAAGAGAAAGAGAGTACCTTACGCGGGTATATTGAGAGCGAGGACCCGAGTGCCAAAGACACACGGATATTAATTCTCAAAGAACAGCCAAAGATTTACCCACATTAAGAACTCAATCAAAGGGTTAGAAAGTACAAATATTGATATCTTTATTCAATACTTTACGTTAGACTGTTACATATACATAAACATGAAACCAAATAAAATAGTGATGCAAAAATGTGCTGGTGACTTAAAAAAGGAAAACTCTATGTAGCCTGCCTACTGTATCTTATAAATAGCTACTGTGAAAGTATCCAGTTACAAAGCAGCTCATATAGCTATTCAAATACACATTGTTAAGTATCCTTAGAATATTAAATAGGAGAATAGCCACTAATACAGATATGTAGCAACAAAGAACAGGTGATTGTATACACCCGATTGTATACACTCGCGATCACATGGCCCAGAAGGCCGGATCAGCAGCAGGGGGAGTGTCTGGGATGCCAGTTAAGTCCCCCCATCGCGATCGCTGGCGAGCAGGTAAATGCATAGGATAGCGTGGATGTGCTATGCCGCCCGCTGGCATTTAGAGCGGGGTTCCCAAGGTAGGCATAGCACCCCCGCCGTCCTCAAGGGGTTAAAATAATGGGACATCAGCTCCAGATTCTGCATTGTGTGCCCCTCTTCTGGACACTAAGATCAAACTACTTACTGCGGCTGCCAAAGTAGCGTAGAACCGCTTCCTGCGTCCGCACCTCGCCAGCTATGTTTTTGGCTGCACACTGATAAACTCCTTTATCCGACTCTCTTGTATCTTGTATCATCAATGTCCCATCATGCAGCAGATTTAAACGGCCATCATAACTCAGATCAATCTCATTTCTGGAAAGAGGAAAGAAGTAAGGATCATTTAATGAAATTTAACACAACAAAACTCTGTTCCCAGTTAATCAAATGTAGTAAATGTGTGAAGGGTAGTTCAGGTTCTATAGTTACACTGGGTATCCCTCCCACCCACCAAACAGGTGGACAGTTGGACAATTCTCAGTCTTCAACATTCAAACACAATCTTCAACCATAACCTTATACACATCCTGAGCATTCTTCAATTCCTTTACTGTGTTAGCCTTATACACATCCTGAGCATTCTTCAATTCCTTTACTGTGTTAGCCTTATACACATCCCGAGCATTCCTTAATTCCATTACTGTGTTAGCCTTATACACATCCTGAACATTCTTCAATTCCTTTACTGCGTTCACCTTATACATATCCTGAGCATTCTTCAATTCCTTTACTGCGTTAGCCTTATACACATCCTGAGCATTCTTCAATTCCTTTACTGTGTTAGCCTTATACACATCCTGAGCATTCTTCAATTCCTTTACTGTGTTAGCCTTATACACATCCTGAGCATTCTTCAATTCCTTTACTGTGTTAGCCTTTGTAGCGGAGTAGCAGGGGTTAATCCAAGGATTCTCCCCTGGAAACAAAGATTCAGCATACAGAAGTATAAAACACAGCATAATCCCTCTCCCCAAGGACTAGACGACACATAGTCTAGGAGTCAACTGGCTTTTAATGCACAAGCTCTGCTTTTATGTGTTTTTCCCATGCAAGGGAGGCAACTTCCATAATTATTACAGTATCCAATCACATAGTCGGTACCTCCTCCACATCTCCTGCCCTTAGCTTAACAGTTAAACTTATTAACATGTACACATTTCCCCCCAATTCTTGGATGTACCCCAAATACAGGGGGTACACCTTTAAATGAGAGATCCCCTGGTAGCCCTGATCTGGGTGAGAAACATACTCAAAAATCACCCAGATCAGACCAGTGGTTCGGGAGTTATTGAAGGGAAAAGATTTGACTGACCGCACGGGCAGTAGCCGAAAATAGTTCCATGAGTTCTGGCCCTGCGGTCGGTCTCAGTTCACGTATAAAAAGTCCCGAAAGTCTTTGCCATCCATGCTTGACTTTGCATTCGGATGAATCTCCTAGTTCGCGGGATTCATCCTACCGAATGCTGAGCTGTTCGTGCGTTTTATTTGTCCCTTTCCGGAGTGCTGGAGGTCTTAGTGGTGCTTGGTTAGTCGAGTGTCCGATTTGAGTTCCAGACACTCAACGACCAAACACCGCTGTTCGTGCGTAAGATGGCCGCCGCCACATGTTCGGCAGGCGAATGGCAGCCGCACACGAACCTCAATTACCAGCCTTTGCAACATTGTTGCCTTCGGTAATGAGGGACACACGACTACACCGGGGTGGTCCTTCATTCAGTATTTTACACGTTTTCGTGGATAATGCAATGGATGTAGTTCGTGAACCGATTGCCTGAAGATAACCGTCCTAATAGCAATACAGCCATTTTAATCCAAGTTCATTCGAATCTTGAAAGTCCTTTCTCAGTCTCTTGGTGGCTAGGTTTGCCACAGCCTTATACACATCCCGAGTGTGACGAGACCAATCTCGCCACATTGCACTGGAGAAGCCTGGTTGCTCGCCTGTTGCCTTTGGATTATGGCCCCATGTTAAAAGGCTTGATTTTCCAACAGGTGGACAGTTGGACAATTCTCAGTCTTCAACATTCAAACACAATCTTCAACCATAACCTTATACACATCCTGAGCATTCTTCAATTCCTTTACTGTGTTAGCCTTATACACATCCTGAGCATTCTTCAATTCCTTTACTGTGTTAGCCTTATACACATCCTGAGCATTCTTCAATTCCTTTACTGTGTTATCCTTATACACATCCAGAGCATTCTTCAATTCCTTTACTGTGTTAGCCTTATACACATCCTGAGCATTCTTCAATTCCTTTACTGTGTTAGCCTTATACACATCCTGAGCATTCTTCAATTCCTTTACTGTGTTATCCTTATACACATCCTGAGCATTCTTCAATTCCTTTACATATCCAGAGAATACTTTAACTCCTTTAACCTTCCTTGGATACATCTCCCCAAAAAGTGTTTTTCACTGCATTTAAACGATGCACTTAAAAAATGTGCATTTATTTTTATATTTTTTTTCATTTGCTTACCAAATTCCCAATATTCTATCTTTTCATAGTTGCAGAACTGAATACAGTGAATACAATAATTTTATGCTAAAAGAGTTCCAAGTCAGTAGTGGCTGTGTTAATACTGTAGGAGATCCCTATCATATCCCACAGGAGGCGCTGGCAAAGCTCTATGGGAAATCAGGACTCTTCTACCCCCTGCTAGTTCTAAAGTAAATACTCTGCTGAAACGGAGCGTAATGTGAGTCAAGGAAGCATGGTGGGATGCTATGTGATTGACAACCAGGGAGGTGTGGCTAGGGCTGCCAACATAATGCCATGTAAACCCTAATGTCAGAGAAATGAGCAGAGCGACTGAATGGCCATGATCTATACACCAAAATCACTTCATTAAAGGGACACTGTAGGCACTACAACTATTTAATCTCATTGAAATCTATTTCAGAGGACAGCGAGTATGCAGCATTCAAAATGCCACATTTGACAAATAAATAAATAAATAAATGCTCACGTGTTATGCAGCCACACAATATGAGGTTTGGGGTACCCCTCTGCCCGGCAGGTGAAATAAACAGTGTTCCCCAATGTGATGTCAGCATCTCGGGGTTCAGACAGAATGCGAGGGATCTCTGCAAAGAAAAACACAAATAATAATATGCAACCACGACCCCATCCCCAAATAAAAAGCAGAACACAAAATAATAAATTGATTATATTAACAAGAGTTTAAAGATCTTCTAATCAGTTTCTTTAATGTAAAGGAAGCAAAAATACTAAAGCGGGCACAAAAACTGCAGGTCATACCTTATAATTGTTATTTCAGAATCTAATATTTCAATAAAGGTTTTTTAATTGAATGGGGCCCTTCTGCTGAACAGCTGCTCTATAAGGCACGGAATGAGGGCCTGCTCACCACATTTGAACTGATCAGCTGACAGAGAGCTCACAGATTTCCCCTGTAGGTGTATCGGCTGTTCACAGGTAGCCGCGGCATGCGCACTGCTCTTAACTGCGTATTTCCTCAAGAGATCTGCTAGCCACATGAGCTCACAGTCACAGATTAATGGATTGGAGTCTAGACGTCTGTCAAATATAAAACAAACAAAAAACATTCAGCAAGACCTTGCCCTGCTCAGAAATCACATGCCATGAGAGACCTGGCAGTGAAACAAACATGGCTTCCCATTCAAGTAAAAAAAAGAAAATTTTACTTACAGGCGAGTCAACGATGGGAGCAGAGAGAAGGTAAGTGGCTGGATCCTGGTGATTCGGTTATTTTGTAAGAATCTGAGTGAAGCAAAGACACTGAGTTATTTGCAGATAACACAATACAATAAAATGGGAAAGACGTGTTTTACTTTAGAAGCTGTTCATATAAATGGAGAGATAAAAACCGTAACCTGTTAACGAATATGTATCTGTGCTCTCTTGAGTTTAACATGAAAGCTATGTTTATAGAAAAAAGGGTTAATCCTGGCTGGACCTGGCACCCAGACCACCTCATTAAGCTGAAGTGGTCTGGGTGCCTATAGTGGTCCTTTAACATGAAAGCTATGTTTCCTGTTACTGCTTGACGATTTTTAGTGACTGTTTTGCCCTGAACTAACGTCAACCTTTAAAATAAAAACAAACAAATAATAAAAGCATTGCAGGGAAATCTAAACACTTATTATGTTCTTTTCCACAATAGTACAAATACGCCTCTTACAGTCTTTCCAGTTTGGGCAGCTCTCCTAAAGTGTCTGCATCCAAATGTCCCAGCTTATTGAAATGAAGATATCTGAAACAAACATGAGGTCATTCGAATTAAAATCACATGGAAAAACAATGAGAAGCTAAAACTAAAAGCAAAGTAACAAGAGGTCTTAAATTAGAGGGGCAAAAGTTTAAAAATCATATCAGGACGTATTACTTTACTGAGAGGGTAGTGGATGCATGGAATAGCCTTCCAGCTGAAGTGGTAGAGGTTAACACAGTAAAGGAGTTTAAGCATGCGTGGGATAGGCATAAGGCTATCCTAACTATAAGATAAGGCTAGGGACTAATGAAAGTATTTAGAAAATTGGGCAGACTAGATGGGCCGAATGGTTCTTATCTGACGTCACATTCTGTTTCTAAGTAAGTAAAGTATTTGAGAATTATTTTAACAAAATGTGACTTTTATTCTTAGCAACTTTTTCATTTACATAAACCTTTATCTTAAGTTGTGAAGTTTCCTAAATTACTCTGAATGTACCGGCCTCTAGCCACCTCCCCTCTCTGGGCAGTAGGTTTTTACAATCGTTATAAAACACGATCAATGAGATTTCATCTATTTACACAAACCTTCCCTCTCCCCATGAGGGCCACTCTCCGTATAAAGGAAGCACACGGCATGGAATGGGTGAAATGACCACCTTTAGAATATGAATTGCACTGGTCCGGACACAGAACCTAATTTGCTGGGTCTAACCTTAACTCAGTCCAGAGGGAACACTTAGTGATCCCTTCTACGAATCACTCACAATAGACAGTAAGATGATTCCCTGTAAACCTCCCAGCATGCAATGCTAGAAGTGACATTTGTGAGGACAATGAATTCAAGGTAGCAATATTTAGATCCCTCTGTATAACGGTTACAATCGATTCTGTATCATCACACGCCATGTTGGACATTTGAAGTGAACCTGTCGTGGTAGAGAGAAGCTTGCAGTTTTCTAACATGTTGCTTGAATCATATTATACAATTTTTTATTCCATTAATACTGTTAAAAGCTCATACTTGAATTTATTTCCGTTACCCCCGTCTCCCGCTGAGAGCACCAATCATGTTTCAGTGGGTGTTACACTAGCTGTAAGACGCACCTCTCCTTTATACTCCGATTGGGGAGAACTGACGTGCAGTTTAGAATTGCTCGGTGTAAATAAAACGTATCTGTTCTCTCCATTCTCACATTGCCCGTTTCAAAGATGCAATAGATCATTCTGGCTGTTTCTCGGTTCTCTGAGCTTGCCCCTTCTCCCTGAGCTCCCTTGGATTCAAGCATGAGAGACACCCAGAGACGGGTTGTGGCAGAAGCAGCCACAAGAGACTGTACCTGCATTATTATTCCCTTGTATTTGTCCTAATAATCGCTGGAAAGTGCCGAAGGCACGACCACCCTGCTGTGGTCGTGTGCTTCCCCTGTATAGAGGGAAACAATGTTGCCAGAGAGGTAATTGGGTTCGTGGGTGGCCGCCGTTCGCACAAAAACCACGTGGCGGCGGCCATCTTAAACTGCCGAACAGCGGCGCCTGGTCGTCGAGCGCCTGGAACTAAAACCGGGCGCTTGACTACCCAGACACCGCTCAGACCTCCAGGACCACGGAACTGCCCGATTCAAACTGCCGAACGGCCCGCCGTTCGGTAGGATGAATCCCCCAGACTAGGGGATTCATCCGAACCTAAGATTAGAGCCGGATGGCTGAACATTCGGTACTTGCAGTTCAGTGTAATAGACCGACCGCAGGGCCAGAATCCATGGAGCTGTTTTCGGCTACCAAATCCCTGCGGTCGGTCAAATCTTTGAATGTCTGTAACTCCCGAACCCCTGGTCTGATCTGGGCGAAATTTGAGTATGTTGCTCACCCAGACCAGACCAACCAGGGGACCCCTCATTTGTCACCATACCCCCTGTATTTAGGGGACATCCAGAAATGGGGGAAAACTCTGTTCCCACTAATGAGCTTAACTGTTAATCTAAGGGGAGGAGAGGGAGAGGAGGTAACCACGATGTGATTGGATATGTTAAGTTACCTCCCTTGCATGGGGAAAAGTCATAAAAGCAAATGTGTGAATAAACCTGGCAGTTGACCTCCAAGCTATGTGTCGTCTAGTTCTTGGAGGGAAGGGATTGTAACTACGCTACCTGTTTTATACCTGTCTTGGATTGCTGTTCCTGTCTACCAGTGGAGCTACCTTGGATAATACCTCTACTCCGCTACAATTGGTGGCAAGCGACGGGATCGTACTACACAGCAAAAAGGAGTCAGCAGGAATTAAAAAGGACTGAATGGAAACGGATTATACCCTCTTAAAACGGGACACGCTAAGAGAGCTACTAGAAGCGAGAGGGAGGATAGCAAGCAACAAAACAAAGGCTATCCTAATCGCAGAACTCATGGAAGGAGACAGAGTCGCAGCTGCTGCAGCACCTCCAAGGGAGGAGGAATCTGAGTTTGCCAGGGAATATAGGTGCAGGATGGCTCTATTCCCACCAGACGTAGCAGCGCAGAAGGCAGACCAGATTTACAATGATGTACAGGCATACATCATGCTGCGAACGACACCGAGGAGCCAACAAGAGGGGGAAGGAATCACAACGGCTGTCCCCACCCCGCCAGCAAAAGCTAAAATACCGTACCAGGCATTTAAAGCATTTAATGATACCGAGGGGGACATTGATGGCTATTTACAGGACTTTGAACGGTTGTGCCAGCTACATGCCATTAGCACCGAAGACCAAGTGCCCCTGCTAGCGGGTAACCTGTCAGGCCGCGCCGCAGATGCCTACCGAGCCATGCCGGCAGAGGACATCCGGGACTATCAGAAGGTAAAACAAACCTTGCTCGCACGGTATGCCATTACACCTGAGGCATACCGAATACAGTTCCGGAAACTACTCAAACCGGGAAAAGACTCGCATGCAGAATTCGCACACCGACTACAACGGGCAGCCACCGGGTGGATAGAGGCAGCAAAAGCCATCACGTCCCAAGAGATCACGCAGTTGATGGTGCTGGAACAATTCTACCAATGTTTGTCAGAAGATCTACAGATCTGGGTAAGAGATCGTAAACCCCGTACGCTGCAAGAGGCCACTAAGTTAGCAGATGAGCATCAGGACACCCGGCGGGAACAGCACTCATCTACTAGAGTGCAATCCACGCCAAACGTTCCCCGACTTACCCCAGTAGATTCACCCCGACCAGGGGGGACCTACCAGTCACAACCCCCCCGGTACAACAACCGGGCATCTATCCGGTGCCATACCTGTAACCAGCTTGGGCATATGCAACGAGACTGTCCCCGAAACCGGGCCAGGCCGGCCTGGACCCCTCCACGACCACCAACCACCCCTCGAGCCGCAGTCCACTGCTATCAGGCCAGAGCATTGGCTCAACCTTTCACCCCTACCCAAATAGAGGAACCCTTGGGCACCCTCCATGAGGTAAACCCGGTACAGGCGGCATCCGACAACCGCCAAGGCCACCGACAAGTGGTCCACGTGGAGGGAAAGCGGATGGAGGGATTATGAGATTCTGGGGCCACCATCACTCTGATACGGAATCATTTAGTGGCCCCGAACCATCTCACTGGAGACTGTATTGCGGTTAGGGTGGCCGGGGGAGCCATTTACAAAGTACCCACCGCGAAACTACATTTGGACTGGGGAGCGGGGGCAGGGCAAATTGAAGTGGGGATGATGCAGGACCTACCTGCGGATGTGATTTTGGGGAACGACTTGGGGGAGCTAACCTCCGCTTTTGTTACCCGACCTCCTCCACAGGAGGCATACCCGGTCGTCACCCGTCAACAGGCTCGCACCACGGCACCACACATCGACTCTGAGGCTCCGGTAAGCCCGAACCCCCCTGATCACACTGTGTTACCCTGGGCCGCCCCATTAGAATTTGGTAGCGAGGTCGCCCTAGACCCATCCCTACAAGTTTACAAGGACCGGGTAGATAAAAACCAGACTGGCATAGAGGGGGAAAGATACGCTTGGGATAAGGGGTTATTATACCGGTATGCCGAAAAGATAGTAGCTGGATCAGTTCCCGTACCCATCAAACAGTTAATTGTGCCTCGGAAGTATAGACAAGAGTTAATGCGAATCGCCCATGACATCCCCATGTCAGGCCACCTAGGGATCAGCCGAACCAAACATCGGCTGCTGCAAAATTTCTTCTGGCCAGGGATATCCCAGGATATTAAGCAGTACTGTAATACCTGTGATACCTGCCAAAGAGTAGGGAAGCGAGGGGACCGATACAAGGCCAAACTACACACCCTGCCCATAATCGAAGAACCCTTTAGCCGGGTAGCAGTAGACATAATCGGACCGCTGAAACAAAAGAGCCCGTCTGGCAAAAAATACATCTTAACCGTAGTAGACTACGCCACTAGATACCCAGAAGCAGTGGCCCTAACAAATGTGCATGCAGAGACCATAGTAGACGCCCTTATGCGCATATTTACCCGCATGGGGATACCCCGGGAGATTATTTCCGATAGGGGTACCCAATTCACCGCTGAGGTCACTCACCAGCTGTGGAAAGTATGCGGGGTCCAAGCTATCCTTAACTCCCTCTACCACCCCCAGTCCAATGGCCTCTGCGAACGTTTCAATGGAACGCTAAAACAGATGATTCGCACGTTCGTAGCAACCCAGAAAGACTGGGAGCGGTTCCTACCCCACCTCCTGTTCGCCTACCGAGAGGTGCCCCAAGAGTCCACTGGGTTCTCCCCTTTCGAATTGTTATTCGGCAGGAGAGTAAGGGGACCCCTAGATCTAATCAGGGAACACTGGGAGGGGGGAACGACCATTAACGGCACCCCTATCGTACCTTATGTGTTGGAGTTTCGGAACCGCTTGGAGGCATTGACCCGGGCCGTGCGCGACAACCTCCAGGCGGCTCAGACCCGCCAGCGCCGATGGTATGATAGGGGAGCCAGGGACCGCAGCTTTCAGGTCGGCCAGAAGGTACTAGTCCTACGACCCGTCACTACTGATAAGCTGCAGGCCTCCCGGGATATACCCCGCTAGCTACCCATCGAGTAGAAACCCTGGACCCGACCCCGCTCCGCCAACCGCCCTACCGCATTCCTGAAGCGGTGAGGGGGAACATGTACAAAGAGTTGAAAGAAATGTTGCAGTTAGGAGTAATTGAGCCTTCGGATAGCCCCTGGGCATCCCCCGTAGTACTCGTGCCGAAACGGGATGGAACTACCCGCTTCTGCGTAGATTACCGGAGACTCAATGATAAAACCGTGTCCGATGCCTATCCCATGCCCCGGATAGATGAGTTACTAGACAAAATGGCTAGGGGTAAATACTTAACCACCATTGATCTTTGCAAGGGATATTGGCAAATTCCTCTAGCCGAGGACGCTATTCCCAAATCGGCCTTCGTCACCCCATTTGGCCTGTACCAATTTCGGGTCATGCCCTTTGGGATGAAGAACGCCCCGGCCACATTCCAGAGGATGGTGGACCGATTATTAGACGGGTTTCAGGAGTACGCGTGTGCCTATTTAGACGACATAGCCATCTTTAGTTATTCCTGGGCAGATCATCTGGACCATATCGGGGCAGTACTAGACCGCATCCGAGAAGCCGGACTGACCCTCAAGCCCAGTAAATGTCACATAGGGATGGCCGAGGTCCAATACCTAGGACACCGAGTGGGCAGCGGCCACCAAAAACCCGAGCCAGCCAAAATAGAGGCCGTAGCTAAATGGCCAACCCCCCACACTAAAACCCAGGTACTAGCCTTTTTGGGGACCGCAGGGTATTACCGAAAGTTCGTACCTAACTACAGCGCCCTAGCCAAGCCCCTTACCGACTTAACCCGCAAGAACCTCCCGAAACTAGTAGTATGGGCCCCAGAGTGTGAACAGGCGTTCCAGCTCCTGAAAAATGCTCTTGTTAATGCCCCTGTGTTAGCTGCTCCCGATCCAACTAAACGTTTTCTCGTCCACACAGACGCTTCCATGTTTGGATTGGGAGCAGTACTGGGCCAGATCGGAGCCGATGGCGGTGAACATCCGGTAGCTTACCTCAGCAGAAAACTTTTACCCAGAGAAGTAAGCTACGCCGCCATCGAAAAGGAATGCCTTGCCGTGGTGTGGGCCCTCAAGAAACTGCAGCCCTATTTGTATGGGCAAACATTCTCACTACTCACAGATCACAACCCGTTGGTCTGGCTGAACCGGGTGTCCGGGGACAATGCCAGGTTGCTGCGCTGGAGCTTAGCGCTACAGCCCTTTGATTTCACCATCCAATATCGCCTGGGGAAGCTCAATGGAAATGCCGACGGGTTATCTCGACAAACTGAACTGGACAAGTGATCTGTGAGTACTCCTCCAGACATCCCCAAGCCGATCCGTTGGGATCAGACTGTGTATGCTGGCTTGGTTCTGGGGGAGCATTGTGGCAGAAGCAGCCACAAGAGACTGTACCTGCATTATTATTCCCTTGTATTTGTCCTAATAATCGCTGGAAAGTGCCGAAGGCACGACCACCCTGCTGTGGTCGTGTGCTTCCCCTGTATAGAGGGAAACAATGTTGCCAGAGAGGTAATTGGGTTCGTGGGTGGCCGCCGTTCGCACAAAAACCACGTGGCGGCGGCCATCTTAAACTGCCGAACAGCGGCGCCTGGTCGTCGAGCGCCTGGAACTAAAACCGGGCGCTTGACTACCCAGACACCGCTCAGACCTCCAGGACCACGGAACTGCCCGATTCAAACTGCCGAACGGCCCGCCGTTCGGTAGGATGAATCCCCCAGACTAGGGGATTCATCCGAACCTAAGATTAGAGCCGGATGGCTGAACATTCGGTACTTGCAGTTCAGTGTAATAGACCGACCGCAGGGCCAGAATCCATGGAGCTGTTTTCGGCTACCAAATCCCTGCGGTCGGTCAAATCTTTGAATGTCTGTAACTCCCGAACCCCTGGTCTGATCTGGGCGAAATTTGAGTATGTTGCTCACCCAGACCAGACCAACCAGGGGACCCCTCATTTGTCACCATACCCCCTGTATTTAGGGGACATCCAGAAATGGGGGAAAACTCTGTTCCCACTAATGAGCTTAACTGTTAATCTAAGGGGAGGAGAGGGAGAGGAGGTAACCACGATGTGATTGGATATGTTAAGTTACCTCCCTTGCATGGGGAAAAGTCATAAAAGCAAATGTGTGAATAAACCTGGCAGTTGACCTCCAAGCTATGTGTCGTCTAGTTCTTGGAGGGAAGGGATTGTAACTACGCTACCTGTTTTATACCTGTCTTGGATTGCTGTTCCTGTCTACCAGTGGAGCTACCTTGGATAATACCTCTACTCCGCTACACGGGTTACCTAGAAATAGACATGCAGAGCGCTGCCTTCTTATTGCTGTGCCAATTGGCACAGACTGACTGAGAGGAGGGGGAAGGGTTGTTTTTTTAAACCTCTGATTTTCATGAAAACCAGTGCAATTCTCCTAGCACAGCGTATAGCTGGAATTTGATTCCCGGTTATTTACAATTAAGATGTATTGTCAGGACGGGTACCCTTTAAGAGCTCTGTATTTTAAGAGTGCTGGTTACAGAATCACGTGTCTTTGAAATGCGTTCTGCAGAGAGCTAGGCTCACACTCCTACTTACAGCTGCTCCAGGGAGCGCAGACCTTGAAATGAATTCTTCTGGATATTCTGAATTTCATTCTTGTAAAGGTAGCTTTAATGGGAAACAAAAACAGTACAGGTGATAGGAAAGTGTCCTGACGTCTATCTCTGTATTAGGAGCAGAAGACATAATGTTTGTATATCAGGAGGTGAGAGGTACGTGTCCTGATGTCTGTGTATTAGGAGGAGGTGAGAGGTACGTGTCCTGATGTCTGTGTATTAGGAGGAGGTGAGAGGTACGTGTCCTGATGGCTGTGTATTAGAAGGAGGTGAGAGGTACGTGTCCTGATGTCTGTGTATTAGGAGGAGGTGAAAGGTAAGTGTCCTGATGTCTGTGTATTAGGAGGAGGTGAAAGGTAAGTGTCCTGATGTCTGTGTATTAGGAGGAGGTGAGAGGTAGGTGTCCTGATGTCTGTGTATTAGGAGGAGGTGAGAGGTAGGTGTCCTGATGTCTGTGTATTAGGAGGAGGTGAAAGGTCCGTGTCCTGATGTCTGTGTGTTAGAGGCAGGGCCGGACTGGCCCACCGAGATACCGGGAAATTTCCCGGTGGGCCGCGGCACCTGGGGCTGTCATTGCTCAGGCTCCTCTGATCCCGGCTGGCCATGTCCCCCATGTGTGAGCTGTGCGGCCGCACAGAGCCCCATGGGAGCAGGGGGAGACAGGTGGACGGCACAGCTCACACATGGCCGGCTGGGATCATAAAAAAAGAAGAATGTTTGCGGCGGGGCGGAGCTAGCGGGGGCGGGGCTTAGCGTACGGCAGGGGCGGAGCTTAACGTGCAGCGGGGGCCCTGGCTGACTGCAGCATGGGAAGCAGGAAGGAGTCCCTGCTTCCCCAACAACCAGCCTCCAGGAGCTCCAATCAGGAGGTAAGAAGCAGGTCAGTGTGTCTGTGTGACTGTCTGTGTGTGACTGACTGTGTGTATGTGACTGTCTGTCTGTGTGACTGTGTGACTGTCTGCCTGTGTGTGTGCGTGGCTGTCTGCCTGTGTGTGCGTGACTGTCTGTCTGTGTGTGCGTGACTGTCTGCATGTGCGTGTGTGAGTGTGTGGCTGTCTGCCTGTCTTTGTATGTGTGGGTGTTTGCCTCGGTGTCAGTGACTGTCTGCCTGTGTGTGTGTGTGGCTGTCTGCCTGGGTGTCAGTGACTGTCTGCCTGTGTGTGTGTGGCTGTCTGCCTGGGTGTCAGTGACTGTCTGCCTCTGTGTGTGTGTGCGCGCATCTGCTAGTGAGGGAGCCTCTGTGTGTGTGTGTGTGTGCCTGCTAGTGAGTTTGTGTGTGTGTGTGCCTGCTAGTGAGTGAGCTTGTATGTGTGTCAGTGAGCTTGTCTGTAGGGATCATATGTGTGTGTGTGTGTTAGTGAGCTTGTCTGTAAGGAGCATGGGTGTGTTGGAGTCTGTCTGTGGTGAGCATGTGTGTACAGTGAGCTTGTCTGTAGTAAGCATGAGTGTGATCGTGAGCTTGTCTGTAGTAACCATATGTGTGTCAGTGAGGTTGTCTGTAGTGAGCATGTGTGTGTCAGTGAGCTTGTCTGTAGTGAATCTGTGTGTTAGTGAGCTCTTCTGTAGGGAGCATGTGTGTCAATGGGCTTGTCTGTAGGGAGAGTGTGTGCGCATCAGTGAGCTTGTCTGTAGTGAGCGTGTGTGTGTGACAGTGAGCTTGTCTGTAGTGAGCATGTGTGTGTCAGTGAGCTTGTCTGTAGTGAATCTGTGTGTTAGTGAGCTCTTCTGTAGGGAGTGTGTGTGTCAATGGGCTTGTCTGTAGGGAGAGTGTGTGCGCATCAGTGAGCTTGTCTGTAGTGAGCGTGTGTGTGTGACAGTGAGCTTGTTTATAGTAAGCTTGTGTGTGTGTATCAGTTTGTCTGTACTAAATTTGTGTGTGTGCCAGTAACCTTGTCTGTGTGTGTCATTGTCTGTCAATGAGCCTATTTGTGTGCATCAGTAAGATTGTCTGTCTGTGTGTGAGTATGCTTTACTGTATAATTTAATTACCCTAAAAGAACTAATATTTTGAATTAGAATAAGAAATGTATCAATAATATATATATATATATATATATATATATATGTGTGTATATATATACACACACACACTGTTGCATCACCAGGACTCCAGTATCCACTATATATAGGCAATTGAAATAGTTAGCTGCACTCTCGGATTTCCTTAAAATTTTACTTTTATTTAAATATTTAAGAGAAGATCAACGTTTCAGTCCCTCTTGTTGACTTGCATCAGGATCATGACGAAAGTCCACAAGAGGGACTGAAACATTGATCTTCTCTTAAATATTTCAATAAAAGTTACATTTTTAGGAAATCCGAGAGTGCAGCCAACTATTTCAATTGCATATATATATATAAAAACACCCTACATAGCACAATAACTTATGGGGCTGGCATAGATTTTTTTCCAGGGCTGCTTCGTATCCCCAGTCCGGCCCTGGTTAGAAGGAGGGGAGAGGTAGGTGTCCTGATGTCTGTGTATTAGGAGGAGGTGAGAAGTAAGTGTCCTGATGTCTGTGTATTAGTAACAGGTAGGTGATCATGATACGAAGGAAGCTTACAGAAATCGGAGGTTGTCTAATCCTTGGAGTGATCCATGCGTTATAATTCTGATGTGATTATTGTTCAGTAATCTAAAGGGGAAAACAAACTCCATTTAAAAACTATTATTTCACTAGTTGTGCTGCAACACCTAGAATCATTAAAATACCCAAACTGCAGCCCCAGCACACCGTACTCAAACTGGAGCCCCTGCCCACTGTACCCAAGCTGCACCCCTGTACAACCATCCCCAAACTGCAGCCCCTGCCCACTGTACCAAGCTGCACCCCTGTACCACCATCCCCAAACTGCAGCCCCTGCCCACTGTACCAAGCTGCACCCATGTACCACCATCCCCAAACTGCAGCCCCTGCCCACTGTACCAAGCTGCACCCCTGTACCACCATCCCCAAACTGCAGCCCCTGCCCACTGTACCCAAGCTGCACCCCTGTACCACCATCCCCAAACTGCAGCCCCTGCCCACTGTACCCAAGCTGCACCCCTGTACCACCATCCCCAAACTGCAGCCCCTGCCCACTGTACCCAAGCTGCACCCCTGTACCACCATCCCCAAACTGCAGCCCCTGCCCACTGTACCCAAGCTGCACCCCTGTACCACCATCCCCAAACTGCAGCCCCTGCCCACTGTACCCAAGCTGCACCCCTGTACCACCATCCCCAAACTGCAGCCCCTGCCCACTGTACCCAAGCTGCACCCCTGTACCACCATCCCCAAACTGCAGCCCCTGCCCACTGTACCCAAGCTGCACCCCTGTACCACCATCCCCAAACTGCAGCCCCTGCCCACTGTACCCAAAATGCAGCCCTGGCCCACCATAACCAAACTGCACCCCCGTATCACCATACCCTCAATCAATGTCTAACATGAAAGAAAAGCAGGAGTTTTACTAAGTATTGTAACGTGGAGCAGTCCCCAAGGAAACAGCAAAACATTTCACTGGTTTCCATGGAGATTCACCCATTTTTCTGTGACGTTTTTACGAATCTCTCTCAAATGAATCTGAAGAGAGGACCCACAATGAGGTGAATGAAGAAAAAAACAAAAAAATGCCATTTGTGCTCTCAGGTCAAAGAACAAAGAAGAATTCTCACAAAGTATTGAGGTGCCGCAGTTTCTGGAGATGATCTGAGTTAATCTCTCGGATATGGTTAAAGCGCAAATCCCTAGAGAGAGAGAGAGAGAGAGAGACATGGGTCACAATTCATTGTACGTTTTGGAAATGTACCTTTCTTTGAGATGAAATAATTAGGAAGTCATACACCAATGTAAAGCTGTTAATTCATGCAACACATTTAGGAACATCATAAAAAAGGTACCTCAATTCCTGCACCAGTCATTAAGTTACAAAGGTTCAGAGCAGCCAATCAGCAATAGGAGGTCAGATGCATGCTGTGAGATCTCATTTTCCTTTTTTGAAATTCTTTATTTATGGTACATTTTATGTATTTTGGTGGGTAGGGTATGGGGTACAGAAGAGAAATTTTCATCTTCTCTGTTAACAATCGCACAATCTTCTGTCTATACATATATAGGCATAGTAAAAGCTTGTACCGTACATATTCTGAACTTAGACAGTAAAAAGGTTGTAAGATAAAACAATAGAATCTAAGTGCCTGGACTCTATACCTTTTGGAGGTACTGAGAGGCTCGCCTGAGCCTGGGGCATGAGTTCATTATTTAGATCGGTACCTCCGTAGGATTTTTACGGCCCCTATGGGGGGTATATGGAAGTTGCGTTGGAGCGTCTCCTTCAAGGGTGGTCCTTATATTAAGCAAGTATGATACAGACGTATGTTGGACATATGTGTCAATAAAGCAGGGGAGAGAAAAAAGAAGAAAAAAAAACCAAAAAACCTCCCCAGTTATACAGAGTTGTGGGTCCTATTTGGTCGTCCGTTATTACCTAGGGGTGATGGCGTTATGGCCACGCTTATCCCCGTGTTCAGTCCAACTGTGTAGTGGTGTTGTCCCATGTCGGGTATATGGGTCGCTTAGTCTTCAGTTGAAGTTTATCTTGGAGCCAGGTGGTTCGGTAGTTCTCTATGTTTTGGTGTAATTGGGTTTTGTGTGCCCCGAGTTGTGTGTGCGTCACGTGGGCAAGTTCCATTGCCTGGTATTCCTGTGCAGGGGTAGTGAGGTAGAGTAGTGGGTATAGAATGGGTCATGGGGGTGGATTCCAAGGGTAGGGGGGTCCAAGAATGGGTAATTGGGGTGATCTGCCATGTGCGCGGGGCCCGGTGGGTATTGCGGGGTGAGCGGATGTTTGGGCTTGACAGGAGCTTTGAGGGGGGGTTGGATCCTGAGAGCGAGGTGATAGTGTGTTTATAGTATGTACTCTTGTGCAAGCTGAGGTTGTGTTCACCAGGGCAGGGAGGTATCTCCCTCTAGCCATGAGTCCCAAACCTTATGGAATTGTTTGGGAGTGTTGTGGAGCTGGGATGTGAGCCTATCCATTTGTATGTTATCCTGTATTTTTTTAGTGATGCTCGCTTGTGATGGTATGCGGGTGGTGGACCAAAGCTCTGCTATTGCCCGTCGTGTGGAGAGGGTGATGCGTGCGCTAAGTTTGTTTTCTGCTCTGGTTAAATTTTCTAGAGGTTTTGAGAGTAGAAGGGCCCATGGGTCTAATGGGTATGGCTTATGTAGACTTTTTGTCAGTAGGGCAATGACGCTGATCCATAGGGGTTTTATTTTGGGACATGTCCACCAACAGTGAAAAATGTCCCTTGTTCTCCACATAGTTTCCAGCACGTGCTGGGTGTTTTGTGGATTATTGCTAGGCGTTGGGGTGTAAGGTACCATCGAAAAAGCATCTTGTATGCTTGTTCCGCGTGTGTTACACAAATTGATATCGAGGCCGTAGCTTCCCAAATATCTGCCCAGTCTGTGTTGTCTTCTGGGGGTCCCAGGTCTTTTTCCCAGGCTGCTATATAAGTTAGTGTTACTTGGGTAGGGTGGGTTGCCAGGGTCATGTATAGGTCTGATATTTGACCTCTTCTAATTGGGTGGTGAGTGCATTCCTTCTCAAATCGGGTAAGCGTGGCTGTGCCGGCTTGTTGTATTAGTGGGGTTAATGCGAAGCTGCGCAACTGAATGTATCGGAAGTGGATGAACGATGTCAAGGTGTCCGCATCTTTGATTTCCGAGTATTTTATTACCGCGTTATTTTGGTACAGGCTGTTGAGTCTCACTATGTCCCTTTGGTTGAAATGGGCGAAGTGGGCGGGAGTGAGCCCTGGTGGAAATAGTTTGTTCCTCCAGATCGGGGTCATTGGGGAGAGGAACGAGGATAGTTCAAATTATTCCTGTAGTTTGTCCCAGAGGTCCAGGGAGTGCGTGATGGTTGTTGCGGTTGGGGGGGGTAGGGGTCGATGCGATTTAGGGACCCACATGTATAGGGATGGGTGGTCTTTTCCGAAGATTGTGTGTTCGAGGTCTACCCATCTTTTGGTTTGTGGTGGAGCGTGCCATTGTTGAATCTGAGCTAGGTGTGCTGCTGCGTAGTAGTGTGTAAAATTTGGGAGCCCTAGGCCCCCATGGTTTTTGTGGATGTTCCAGATAAAGTGATCTACCGCCGTTTGTAGCGTTTTGAGGTCTGCTCTGTAGGGTGGTATGGGTAGTGTTTGAAAGAGATATAGCAATCGGGGCGGTAGGTTCATTTTTACCGATGCCACCCGACCCAGCCAGGACACACCCAGTGTCTTCCACTTCTGTAGGTCAGCATATGCTTACGTAGTAATGGGGTGTAGTTTTTCGTGTATATAGTGTTTAAGTCAGCTGGGAGTTGTATTCCCAAGTATGTTATGTTGGAGGGGCATATTCTGAATGGGTATCTGTTTTTTATGCTGGCTAGTTGTGTGTCGGGGTGCTGGATCGGAAGTAGTTCCGATTTTGCTAGGAAATCTCATTTTCCAAGCACCATAGGGACTGACATGGAGGGGTCCATGTATAAATGGCTCATTACAAACAGCAAGATCATTTTTAAAAATCTCAATTTACAGACTACTCGTAACATACGGACAATGCAACCAATGGAGGTGACGCAGAGCACCCACAACATGTTAGAAGTGCGCTGAATGGCACGAAAATACAATGATTTACTGGTCTATATATATGTTACTAGAAAATTGGGCAGACTAGATGAGCCTAATGGTTCTTATCTGCCGTCACATTCTATGTTTCTATGTGGAAGGGGGAAGTATACGTTGAGACGTTAGGAAGACACAGTGTCGAAACGCGTTGTGCTGCTGGTGTACTGTTTTACCAATATACTACTCAATGGTTGGAGAAGTCTTTTTCTTGATTAAATTAAAGTTTTTTTTTTTTAATCTTTTAAATAAATGTTCTTTTTTGATAATCCTGGTTTATCTCCCTTTCTTTGGAAGACCTGTGAAATATTTGCTCCCGTCTTTTTTGGAATCCTTAGACCCATGCTGTATATACCTGAGCCAGTATTTATGGGCTCAATAATATGTGAGTGCACACACACACCTCGGCTGTAAGTTTATGTTGATGGACTTATACAGACATACTGCACAATACATTTTTGTATTCTTGTTTTTATCCTGAAGGGAATATTTGCATGTTTTCTATTTTCACATTAGTTTTTATTGTGGACAGTGGACAACGTACCACCATGCTGTGGCCATGCTTGACACAGAGCTTAGAATTTAATTATTGGGCTTGTCACTCATCGAGAATAACGCTGCCCTGACAGATAATTATACTATGTTTTTATCTCCCCTTTCTCCCTAATACAACCATACAAGCAAGAGAATTATGTTTAGCAAAGTAAAGTAGATAGAAGCAGCCACACAACTTAGCGGTTTACACTCATATAACGTATATACATGCAGATGGAAATAAGTAAGTTCTGAACATTTTTGGGAGTTCCAATGTTACTTTAAAATAATAACTAAACAAAACACCCCAAAAAATGGTACAAAGATCTAGGATAACAAACAAGCCTTCGTCTACCAGGACCACCTGCCCCGTGTGAAACAGCCGAGAGCCCACCCAACCCAAGAACAAGGGCTGTGAGAATCTTCTGCTCGTATTAGAACATTGGGAAACAGTTAGAAATGCATGATGTCACATTAAGCACTCACCGGGACGGTCTCTCCTAGAGGGGTGGCAAAAAGCCCGTCTTAGCAACTGTTCCCTCAAAGCATCGTTTTGTGACAGCTACAGCATTTGACAATGGATGAACCAATAGCATAGTAAAATACAGGACTGCAGTAGGGGGACTAAAAACTGAACAGTTTCCATATGAACATAAAAAGTACTCGATGTTAACTGTCTGGTGTTGTTGTGATTAATATTATTTAAATGCGGGTATCTGGCACACACACAGTGGCAGTTCACTGAGAGCTGGCTACCCAAACATTGAAAACGCTTTAAGAAATGTTTTACATTGGGGCCTAAAAAAATAAGTTGTTATATCAGCATTTAAAAAAGGCATTGCCTTATATATACATGAGACGCACTTGGAAATAGCTGAATAATGAGGTAGTGTCCCTCAACGAGCAGCCAGCAACATTTTGAAGAACATGGAGAGGTCGGCCAAAGCGAGTATTTAGACGCATGCTTCCCCAAACTCCGGCCCTCTACATGTTGCTGAATTATAACTCCCACGATTCTCAGCCAATTTCATTCATAGAATCATGGGAATTATAGTTCAGCATCATCTGGAGGGCCGGAGTTTGGGGAAGCCTGATCTAGAGCCTTGCACTACTTGGCTTTACTCACTCCTGGAAGCAGGGAACGCAGAGAATGTTCATTACAGCAGGTGTCAGAACACACTTAGAGCACTACCTGCACAGGTGCAAACATCACAGAAATGCTCATTGCGGCCGATGATCAAAAGGTGCATGCTAACTAAGGCTGCCAAAATTCACCACAGCAGAGTTGACTTGTAAACCAGAAAAGGTGTATAGTACCCCTAGGGCAGTGTTTGGCGATGTTGTATATGAAAGCCCAGAATCAGTATTAAAAGGCTCACAAGACACATTCCAGTTAACAATGCAAAACTGCAGCAGATGTTTTACAAAATAAAAACATGTCTCACTTTTAGTTTTTCTGAATTTGAAAATCTAAGTATGAGGCAAAAACAGATACAGAAAAGAAATGGACAGTAGGGTAATGCTTAATCTTGATGTAAATCGGAAAGGTGAGCGAACAGTTATATACACTGCTCAAAAAAATAAAGGGAACACTTAAACAACACAATTTAACTCCAAGTCAATCACACTTCTGTGAAATCAAACTGTCCATTTAGTAAGCAACACTGAGTGACAATCAATTTCACATGCTGTTGTGCAAATGGGATAGACAACGGGTGAAAATTATAGGCAATTAGCAAGACACCCCCAATAAAGGAGTGGTTCTGCAGGTGGTGACCACAGACCACTTCTCCGTTCCTATGCTTCCTGGCTGATGTTTTGGTCACTTTTGAATGCTGGCGGTGCTTTCACTCTAGTGGTAGCATGAGACATAGTCTACAACCCACACAAGTAGCTCAGGTAGTGCAGCTCATCCAGGATGGCACATCAATGCGAGCTGTGGCAAGAAGGTTTGCTGTATCTGTCAGCATAGTGTCCAGAGCATGGAGGCGCTACCAGGAGACAGGCCAGTACATCAGGAAACGTGGAGGAGGCCGTAGGAGGGCAACAACCCAGCAGCAGGACCGCTACCTCTGCCTTTGTGCAAGGAGGAACAGGAGGAGCACTGCCAGAGTGACCTCCAGCAGGCCACAAATGTGCATGTGACTGCTCAAACGGTCAGAAACAGACTCCATGCAGGTGGTATGAGGGCCTGACGTCCACAGGTGAGGGTTGTGCTTACAGCACAACACCGTGCAGGACTTTTGGCATTTGCCAGAGAACACCAAAATTGGCAAATTCACCACTGGCGCCCTGTGCTCTTCACAGATGAAAGCAGGTTCACACTGAGCACACGTGACAGAGTCTGGAGACGCCGTGGAGAACGTTCTGCTGCCTGCAACATCCTCGAGCATGACCGGTTTGGCAGTGGGTCAGTAATGGTGTGGGGTGGCATTTCTTTGGGTGGCCGCACAGCCTTCCACGTGCTTGCCAGAGGTAGCCTGACTGCCTTTAGGTACCGAGATGAGATCCTCAGAACCCTTGTGTGACCATATGCTGGTGCGGTTGACCCTGGGTTCCTCCTAATGCAAGACAATGCTAGACCTCATGTGGCTGGAGTGTGTCAGCAGTTCCTGCAAGACGAAGGCATTGATGCTATGGACTGGCTCACCCGTTCCCCAGACCTGAATCCAATTGAGCACATCTGGGACATCATGTCTCACTCCATCCACTGTCACGTTGCACCACAGACTGTCCAGGAGTTGGCAGATGCTTTAGTCCAGGTCTGGGAGGAGATCCCTCAGGAGACCATCCGCCACCTCATCAGGAGCAAGCAGTCAAGCATGTAACAGGCTGCTTGCCTTTATCAGAAATGTTCCTTTAGACCAAGAATCCACCTGCTGTACACTAGAAAATAGTGGGAGGTCATACAGGCACGTGGAGGTCACACACACCACTGAGCCTCATTTTGACTTGTTTTAAGGACATTACATTAAAGTTGGATCAGCCTGTAGTGTGTTTTTCCACTTTAATTTTGAGTGTGACTCCAAATCCAGACCTCCATGGGTTGAAAAATTTGATTTCCATTTTTTTAATTTGTTTGATTTTATTGTCAGCACATTCATCTATGTAAAGAACAAAGTATTTCAGAAGAATATTTAAATCATTCAGATCTAGGATGTGTTATTTTTGTGTTCCCTTTATTTTTTTGAGCAGTGTATTATATATGGTTTATTCGCTGTCGAAACAACTGGAGACAATTGGAGAATTTTCCCATCTGTTTTGCATTCGGGTTACAATTTTTAAGATTTTTGCCAAAATGTGAATGTGACATTGCAATGTCCGTCTGAAAAAATTGCAAACACGGAAAAGTGAGTGAAACAGATTTGACAATTTCTATGTATCAAAATATCACGAGAAGCAATAATTTGCATGAAATGCCCAATCTGTGCCTTTTTAGGATAGCAATGGGTTTGTTTCGCTTTTCCCCTTTACCACTGCAGCTCTTAATATTCGCCTTTTAAAGTTGAACTTATTCTCAGTTATCATCTAACCTGTGAACTTTATTTTCTTTCCCAGTAATACTTTACAAAACACTAAACATTTACAGCTAATCTTACACGTCAGGAATGTTGTGAAGTTCGAGATACGAGGATTGTATCCAGTTGCTTCACGAAGGAGTTTAAAAAGCCAGATAGACGTTTCCATCCACAATACGTCATGGCTTTTTGTAAATGTTTGGCCATAGCATGTAATCAGGAACGTTCTTTAGTGGGGACTCTTGCTTGCGTGTTTGGATTCTGGTGTTTTGGAGAACGGCTGGTTCAGTTTGAAGCATACACTTGCAATGATGTAATCTGACAAAACACTGGGAGACTCGAGTCTCTAAATAAAAAACAGACCCACTGGTCACCTGCATTTAAAATATACCATGTGCAGAGCCACTGTGCCAGTCTGGATAAAAATGCAAAATTTCATAGTCTCCCCTGGCCCTGGTGAATGGTGTCTAGTGGGGTTTATCCACTAAACAGGGAATCCAAGGTAAATACACAAACTTGCAAATTAAAAACAAACAAGTAGTTAAATTAACTCCAAGGCCTGATTTCATATTTTTGAAATGATAACGGTTTGAAAAACTTGCCAAATTATTTATTTATCCACAGAAATCGCCATTAAAGGCTATGGGGATATTCAGAGACAAATAATTTGAAAACCTTTTCTAACAGATTGTGATAATTTGAAAAGCTTGTCCTATCTAGCTAGCTACTAGGAATAACTAAAAATCCAAAGTGAATTTCAAATTTTAGACTAAAGAGAGCCAACAACTCATATCTTAGTGAACAAGCCTTGCAAGTGTTTTCAATCCAAACCAATGTTCTACTTAACAAATAAACCCTCAGTGTGTAAACTATTCAGCACAAACACATTATTTAACCCCTTAAGGACCAAACTTCTGGAATAAAAGGGAATCGTGGCATGTCAGACATGTCATGTGTCCTTAAGGGGTTAAGGTTTTACCTCCTAATTAGATTTACACCAGGAATGTGAATTGCCAAAGGAACATTTAAACTGGAAAAACCCTTCAAACACAGCTATTCTTACCGAAACTTTGTAATTCCAAGTTTATCAAAATGCACTGCATGCTGAGAATTAATAAAACGTTAATAGAAATAGCTGCACTGCACATGAAGATCCAATTTTTCCTTCTAAACCCGTTTCAGTAAGGTCTGTTTGCTGAAAAAGAATTGTCCGGAGAACCAATTCTGTTCCTCGTCTGTTACAGCTCCTTAATTCTAATACTTGCACTAATGGAATAGTTTAGACTCTCACCTGGTTATTCACCAATGACTGAACCGGAAACATTCTCTGGCCTTAAATTTGATATTCACTTTGAATTCTCATTTTAGTATAGAAGCCTGTATCAGGTAAGACATGAACACCAGGAATAGTAAGTGCTCCTGAACGCACACCACATGCTACCAGTGATCTTCCAATGACTGTACATTCATTTTAAAACACACGGTTGGACTCACAGTATCCTGGTCAGTGGCGGGACATTAGGAATGGTGTCCAGCATCAGATGCATGCACCGTACAGTGGTCCTGAAACACAAACAGCGACTCGGACAGGTATCCGTGCGGTCCTTTAACAGGAGAACGAGAAGCAGACTTGATAGCCAGAGACGTCCAAACAGCATGTTTACAAGGGAGTTATCCGGGGTCTCTGCACAGCAAGGACCAGGCTGAGCCTGCTAAGCTCTGAAACTCAGTAGGAGGGCCCCAGGAACATGTGTTTCTTGTTAATATCCATCTTTAAACACCCTTTTGACTGAACACACACTGCCTCCCACTGTTATCCTCGTGTTCCATCGAATGCTTAATATCTGAATTCTGGCCCAACCCTTTTGTAATTGGACTGCAGTCAAGCATGTAACAGGCTGCTTGCCTTTATCAGAAATGTTCCTTTAGACCAAGAATCCACCTGCTGTACACTAGAAAATAGTGGTCCAGAAATAGAAGCTTATTTCTGGAACGGTGCCCCTGGACCCCTACAGATAAAGGATCATGGGAGGTGGATCTAGGATATCGGTTTTCATTCATATATGTTTACCTTACAGTTATATAGACATGGTAAAGCATCAAAAGAAAGTACGTTTGGGTAGACAAGAGGATATATCAAGCTGGAACTCTCTATCAAGGTCTCATAAATGAGCTCGATATAATTCCTCAGTTTCTCAATCTACAACTATAGACTTATCCTTAAAGCAGTTCTTCTGGGGTCTTCGCATATTCTGACCTCGGATAGTGCAGGCAAGTTATAATTAATTCTTCAACTCCGGTCAATTCATCCGTTGGTGGCCAATATCAGTGCTGTATGCTTGTGCATGCGCACGATTACTACACAAATCTCTATGGAGAATCCCGCATGTCCGCAGGAGCCTCCATATTATCTGGAGATGGCCGGGGGAAGTGACAAAACATGACGTTAGGAACTCTGCCTTTTGCCAAGCAGAGGATTTACCATAAGACAGAGTAGTACCTAATTTGACTTAAAGGGACACTCTAGTCACCAGATCAACTACAGCTTATTGAATTTGTTCTGGCGAGTAGAATCATTACCTCCAGGCTTTTTGCTGTAAGCACTGTCTTTTCAGAGAAACTGCAGTGTTTACACTACAGCCTAGTGATAACTTCACTGGCCACTCCTCAGATAGCTGTTAGAGATCCTTCCTAGGTCATGGCTGCCTAAATTGCATCCAAACATTCAGTGTCTCCTCCCTCTGCATGCAGACACTGAACTTTCCTCATAGAGATTAATTGATTCAATGTATATCTGTGAGGAGATGCTGATTGGCCAGGGCTGTGTTTGAATTGTGCTGGCTCTGTCCCAGATCTGCCTCTGTCAGTCTCAGCCAATCCTATGGGGAAGCACAGTGATTGGATCAGGCTTCCACTTCTGATGATGTCAGCAGACTGCTTGTTTTTCTGAGTCTAACAGCATGCAGAGTTACAGCTTCAGGCTTGAATACAGTAAGAATTTTCCTATATTTATGGAGGCATGAGGGGCCCAGGGGGGCTAGATGGTGGTGTTAACACTATAGTCTCAGGAATACATGTTTGTTCCTGACCCTATAGTGCTCCTTTTAGATAATTTTTGACTGAGTTGGAATTTTAATAGAATTCCAGTAATCTTTAGGAACATTTCATGAAGATTTTAGCTTTTTTTTTGGTTGGGAGAGTGGCTTTAACAGTAAGCAAAGATCAGTAAAATGTAATTAAATCTCACTACTAAAATGCACATTTGTAAGTTTTCAAACAGAAAAGCGTTGATACAAAGGAAATTGAATTATTAAGACATGAACTGATGTTTATTGGGTAAAGCACTAAGAAATAGAGAAGCTGGAGGTTGGAATTTTTCCAATATTGCTATTCAGGCCCACAATTTGCAATTCATTGGCTAACCCACCACAATCCTCCGCTTAGTGTAAGTAAGACATTATGGCTGGGTGGGGGACAGGGGGACGCAATATTACACAGGGATCAACATTTCTAGTAGCCAATGGCAAGTAGAAATTTAGCCCTGGTGAGTGGAAATTCAGGCACGTGGTGGACACCCTACTGTCAATGTGGATCCTCAGGGTTATTGGAAAATAGCAGAATCGATATAAAATTCACTGTGATCAATGTTCATAACATGTATTCCATCATTACTACCGCACACAAAATTGCTTCCAAAAATATAGCAAAACAGCCATTTCCATATTATTTTTAGGATTTCCATAGGGATAACAACTACTAATATGGAGTTCACAGGAAGCTGTAGCACCGTTCTGCCACTCTAGCATGCTCCCACATGCAGGAAGTCTCAGAGGCTGTGAGCGGAATGTACACATGCAGCCGCCTGTCCATTCCTGGGAGTCACATGACAGAAGGTTTGCAGGGTCGAGTAGACCTGACCAGTAGTATTCGTAATGTAACTTAAAGGAACACTATAGTCACCTAAATAAAGCAGTTTTAGTGTATAGATCATTCCCCTGCAATTTCACTGCTCAATTCACTGTCATTTAGGAGTTAAATCACTTTGTTTCTGTTTATGCAGCCCTAGCAACACCTCCCCTGGCTATGATTGACAGAGCCTGCATGGAAAAAAAAAAACTGGTTTCACTTTCAAACAGATGTAATTTACCTTAAATCTCTAAACTGAACTTTAAATCACATACAGGAGGCTATTTCAGGGTCTAGCAAGCTATTAACATAGCAGGGGATAAGAAAATCTTAATTAAACAGAACTTGCAATAATAGGGCTCTCTTTACAGGAAGTGTTTATGGAAGGCTGTGCAAGTCACATGCAGGGAGGTGTGACTAGGGTTCATAAACAAAGGGATTTAATTCCTAAATGGCAGATGATTGAGCAGTGAGGCTGCAGGTGCATGTTCTATACACCAAAACTGCTTCATTAAGCTAAAGTTGTTCAGGTGACTATGGTGTCCCTTTAAAGAAATGTATAACATATTATTCCCCTTGTTTTAGGTCCTTGCATGGAGACAAGCTGTGTGTGCAGCAGGCTATCTCACTGGGTTGCAAAGCTAAGCAAACAGTTTATGAAATAGAATTTTACTCTTCCCTAAGTAATAAAACATGATCGCACTTCTTTTACAAACTCACAAAGGAAAGAGAAACCACAACAAGGCTACAAGTCTACTGGATACTACTGAGGCTGGACACATTGCCCCCTTCTGGATACACCAAAAACACTTGCAGTACATTCAGCTGCACTGGACATCCAATTTTATTTTAAAGTTCCAATATCTATAAAATGAATGTTATAGAGAGAGTGCGACATTATGCAAATTTCCACTGGAAGATGACAAATGCGTTTTATACATTATATGCCAAAAACCACCCGTACCTACAATAGAAAGGAAGTAAAGTTCAGTAGATTGTTTCGGAAGCATGAGAGAGGTAACTGTGCAGACACCCTGCTCTGCGATGGACTAGAGTTTGGGAGCAGACGGCACATTATTTAAATGTGCAGAATCACCCTGCGCCAAACCAACTCTCCACCAAGCATCTGCCAATATTGTAAAAAAAGTCATAAACGGCTGGGAATTCTGAAAGCAGTCATTAGAAAATTAAATGCATCCTGGAGTTTGGGTGGTTCCCATTATTTACAAGGGCATTTTTTTTTTAATTTATATAGAAATTAACAAATCTCTCTGGAAATGAAACAGATTTGGCTAGAGATTTACATTTGCATCCAACCGAACGAGAACATTTACAGACCTGCGGTCCAAAAAAAAAAAAAAACCTCTTACCAATTCGCTGCATAAATTAAAGGAAATACAAAGTATTTGCTCCTAAGCAAAAATTGACAAGTTAAATAAACCAGTGAAAATGACCAATTCTGGCCAATTATCCCCTAAAATTTGAACTTTGTGGTGAAACTAGTTGTGCTTTGGAAAGAAAGTCGTGAAAAAGCACCAGACGTGTCCTAGACAAGTTCTCTTCACCCACAAAAGAAAATGTCTAGCAAAGCAAGCCAAATATTGTAACAGGTGATTACAGGACAAGTGTTAGCCCAGCAGAGAAAAAGTCTTAACCACAGAGTACTGAGCTGGGGAAATAAGGAATGTGGTCTAAATGAAGCAACACCCACTGCTTGCCCAAAGGCCACGGCCGGAGCCAATCACACCCAACGGAGGTGGCACAGTCTGCGGAGCATGCTGGAGATGCAGGAGAAGCCCCCTTACTGTACATTTCAATGCCATCAAGCTCGGTTTATTTTTCCCTGTAGTAAAGCAGATAATATTTCAGAGGGTCCGGCAGTGGGAGGCTCAGGATCTTCTCTCGCAGTAAATTGACCTGTGGCTCTGCCTTGGGTTCACTTGCTGCTCTCTCCTCTTCCTCCCTGTGATCGTCATCCACATCTTCGCAGTTGTTGTTATCGTCGTCGAAATCAAATGGGTTAGGGATCCGGCTGGCGTAAATCTGCTTGTCCAAAAAGACAATAGTGTCCAAACGGCGCCTTCGCAGTCTCTTGCGCTTGAAGCGAGGTGGGTTTTTCTGTACTCCACTAACTCCTCTGCAACCAAATCCTTGGTTTATCTTTTTAATGCGGGTCCTGATGGCAATGCGAGACAGGTCCTGAAGAGTGCGCACGTTTGGAGGAGCTAAAAACAAAACAAAAACAAGTCAACGTTTGAAATATAACCTATGCTACCAAAATGAGATAAATAATTTCTTAGAGAGTAATGAACTTGATTTCTATCAAACCAGGAATCTCTGTAAAACCTGATTTTCCTGACAGGCACAGAACAATTCCTCCTTGTCCTTGGCACAGATGGCATGCCCGGCATAGAAACATACCCTGCATTAGAAAGAGGTGGCAAGCTGGTGGGCGAAATCTTCCCTTGTTACTGTTCAGAGCACTTCCTAAGCATTTAATAAAATCAATAAAATGTGCTAAACTGGGCAAAATAAGACATTTACCCAATTGGTGTGATTCAAATTTACAATAAAGTTTTAAAAACGGGAAGGAAATATTTTTAATGTATAGTTTGGTTGTATGTGTATCCTGTTTTAGTATGTTTCACAAAATATAAAACATAACTTTTTAAAATATTTATCCAAATTCAGTCTTCGCGTGTCACATTTTCTCACAAAAACATTCAAATAGAATTAGGACAGATTTTTTAAAATCGATTTCCATTCACCCATATTATTTACTTACGCAGTATGAGGCTCTTGGCTTTCCCAGTTTCTCCTTTCGAGGGCTGAATGAGGGGAGCAAATGACACTGCCAGGATTTTCTTGGTGTCCCACGTGGAGGTGCTGGTGCGGGTTATCTTGGTGAGCTAAACAGAAAATGAGAACTGTAATGGATGGAATGGAATAAGCCACAGACAAAGACTGAAAGGGACCCTGCATGGGGAAAGATCTAGTTTCCCCCCCCCCCATTGGAGTATTTCTTTTAGTAGACCAAGTATCCTTTTAAATCACAACATAAAACACAGCTCACACTCCTTACAATCTCTGGACATGCCATTTTCTGACACAGATCCTAGCCTGTTCAAATGTCCTTCGTGGCACGTGGAGTAGATAAACGTGAGCTAATGCTCAGTGTAGTTGCTATATGGATAGACGGCTGATAGGCAGTTACTCTATTACACATACAACCTGAAATGTCTGTTGCATTGGGAAAGGTGGGGATCAGTACCACTGCAGTTACCTTCTCCTCTATTGGCATGACGAGGATTCCTCCAATTTTCAGAAGATTCTTCATATACTCTTCATGCTCTTTCTGTACCCCAGCCCCGCAATACACTCGGTCATACGCAGAGAAGTCCAGAGAAATGTCTAAGCAGTTTCCACTTACAAAACAGGGTTCACAAAAATCAAACCTGGGGAAGAGCACATAATATAAAACAAGGGGTTACAAAAATCTAACCTGGGGGAGGGGCACGTAATATAAAACAAGGGGTTACAAAAATCAAACCCGGTGGAGGGGCACATAATATAAAACAAGGGGTTACAAAAATCTAACCTGGGGCAGGGGCACGTAATATAAAACAAGGGGTTACAAAAATCAAACCCGGTGGAGGGGAACGTAATATAAAACAAGGGGTTACAAAAATCAAACCCGGGGGAAGGACACGTAATATAAAACAAGGGGTTACATAGGTTAATGCTACAAAGAGTTCAGTAAATGTTCTCATCTTGTTCGATAACAACTAACGTGGTCTTTCCTAGTGTCAGGCTACAATGTACAGCCTATTCTCATTGTTTGGCTTCGCTTGTATTTTGAAGAGGCCCTGAAGTAACTGCAATTCTTTTAATTTTTTTACTATTGTTATATCAGCTTAAAAGGAACAGTCCTGGCACCAAAACAACTATAGCACTATAGAGGTAATGATGCTCGGAGCTGGGGGTCTTTGCATTGAGCCAAGTCTGACGCTGCAGGACTTGGCTCACTGGCTGAGAGCGATCCCCTGATGCAGCATGGCAAGGTTTAGCTGAAGAGGAACTAACAGAAGCTCCACGTAGGAACAGCCGGCTCTCAATGTAGGAAGTGACTAGTGCCAGGTAGATCCCAGGTAAGTTGTCAATTGTTAAGCAAAAAGAGAGGAGTGTCAACAGATGCACACACATAGATGTATAAAAAAAGCAAACCATTCACATTGGGGATGCCAGGGCGCTCCTTGCACTATAACCAGTTTTCCAAAGGAGTGTTTCTTTAAAGTAATACAAATCTATATTCCCAAATGCTATAGTGTTCCTCTATCTAGCTCTAAAGAGGTCCCACCTTAGAGCAAAAAAAAAAAAAAAAAAAGTCTTACTTTATTCCAATGTCGAGGCTCCCTCTGTACTGCTCACCTCTTCTCCCCCACTGACAACACAGAGGAGGCCCTGCCTCTTCCGTGAAGGTCCAATCCAATATTTAAAATAGAGAGCATTGGGGACCTAATGCCCATGTGCGGTGAGTGCCACACGGGATTCAAATGATCACATAGGGAATTCTGCGCCATGTGTCAATGTTAACTCTGCAATGTAAACATGCAGTTTTACATTGAGGGATTAAGGGGACAGGGGCACTGCACCTAGACCACTTTAATGAGATGTAATGGTCTAGGTGACTATAGTGTCTGTTTAATATATATGAGCTTAGCACTTACTACCATCCTGTATATTAAAAACCTAAGAAAAAAAAAAAGAAGAGTTACCTGCGCACTAGCTCAAATCCTTATGTTAACATTTTAGAGGGGACTCGTATATAGAAAATCAGTGTAGCGATGATTCAAATCCCACACTTCCCCTCATTTACGGCAATGTAGCCAGATGAAATATAAATCGTATAATATATCTGAATAATAAACTTCCTGGAGAGTTTACGGTCTGAGCCTCTCTATGGAGAGGATAGACAGATCAATACAAGCTGTGCGCAAGCACAATATCTACGAAAATAATAAAGGCAGCCTAAAACGAAGCCTGACAGCTCTGAGAGGTTGCTTTACGGCTTTTACCAACCATTACAGTTATAAGATACTCTTATTGAGGAGGTTGGGTGTATTGTATTCTCTGCTCCCTCATGCAAAGTTATTTTAGTACTTAGACTCTTAATGACCTGTTTGGTGCACCCTGAACCTCAGGGGTTAATCTTACTTGTCAAAGCTGTCACTGGTGCGTACAAACTGATCGAGTTTTTGCTTTGCGTATTCGATAACATCAGCATGCAGCTCCACTCCGTGATTAATGCCAAACGGTCCTGTTCACAGAGACAGACTAACATCAGGCGCATACAACACACTGGGGCTGTGAAACTAACAGCTGGTAAAAGCTACACATCCGTTAGAATGTTTCTTACACATGAAAGCAAAGTAAAAAAAAAAACACACAACAACCCCAATATACATGTAGACATCATACTGGAAGGAATAATATATATTATTTTACATACTCTTGTCTGTGTAGTTTATTTGTCCACATATTTAAAACAGTCACCATTGTAAGAGAGTCATCATTTCTTACAATACTGGTGGGTTTCAGTAGGTTGGAGAGAAGCCCTTTTACAAACATCCCATTTCCTCTTGCATAATCTACATGTTCCCATAGTGTTTACGTATAAAGTAAATCTATAGGTTGTAGTGGAAGGCCCACCATGTGTCTAAACATTGCTCTACTTTTAAACGTTTTACCCCAGAAATGCTCTTTAACAATGGACATGATATGTCAGCATGAGGACTATAACTCCAAGGTGTATTCTGGAATTTCATGGAGTCAAACTGTGCAAGATACGTTATCAAAACGTAATGTGGAAAGTTGCTCCTTAAGCTACACTTAGAATAAATTTCATAGAACATTAAAAAACTGGGGGCAACATCATATGTTCCCAGTGAACTAACTCACCCAGGATAAGTCCCACCATGGTGCTGAGATAACCAGTCCCGCTGCCCAGGTTCAGGAATGAGAGCCCAGGGTGCAAGTCGAGGGCTTCCATAACCTCGGAGTAGATGCAGGGTGCGGACAGGTGGATATTACCATGTTTCCAGGCTAAGTCTTTGTAAGCATTTTCTTTAAATTCATCCAAGTAATAATCTGCACGGTCAATGGCTCGAAAAGCTTGTTCCACCACATCTGACCGAATGTATTGGGCCTCCTTAAGGTTATCAATTAGCTCATCATTGTCTTCTCCAGCACTCACAGCTCCTCCCATTGCGGCAAGAGTTGTGGCCCAGGTGCTAAAAAACAAATGTAAAAGTATTAAATAAATCAATCAATCAGAACATTTCAGAAATGTACCGAGTAATGCACTAATGCAATAGGCAGCTGGGAGGAGGGCCAGCGCTCCCCAATGCTGGGAGGAGGGCCAGCGCTCCCCAACGCAGGTAAAGGAGATAGTTTAATTTTTTTGCTCCATGCACTTGAGGATGGTTAGAGGAGATCACTGCTACTTGTGTGAAGACAGTTTGGGGAGATCACTGCTACCTGTGCCAGGATGAGAGTGTTGGGTAAGTTAAGTGGGTTAGGTTCCTGTACAAGGGAGGCTAGAGGGGAATTGCACTCTATGCAAGCTAGGCCCTGTATAAGGCGAGATTAGGAGACAGTTTTCTCCATGCATTGGGGTCTTAGGTGGCATTGCTCCCCGTGGTTGGGGTTAGAGGGGGGAGGGAGGATTGCTCCCCCTGGTTGGGGTTAGAGGTGGGGGGG